TTCTCTAAAACCCGGCTAAAAAGCAGAATAATACCTTTCCTGGACTCAAGTTGTTCACACTTTTTTGGCTCAGCATCCTTAACTGTAAAACTTGTATCATACTCATCTAGCTACAGCTATGCCAGTTCACCATTATCTTGAACCTGCAGCACTCCAAATCCTGCTGAAGCAAAGTGCCTGACATACTAGATGGATTCTGTCTACACTGATCTCCCCCTGACCAATCAACAAACTAGAGATCTTCAAACCTTCCCTCAGACAGCAAATAATGAAGCCTTGCCACAGAATAACTGAAGCAACACCGTTACATCTGCTGTCTAACAAATCGCAATGCTAAGAAATGAACCACCACCAATTTTAAATTATAGGACAGATATAGCTGAGTCTCAGGAAGCATTTTCATGTAAACTACTTTGGTAGCCCAAGAACAACAAATATAATTCCTGTTGAATAACCACCAGCTGCTCCACATACTGCCCTTCAGCAGTTTAATCAAAACCTTTCTACCTTTTTCTATACAGAATCAAAGATGCCTAATACAAACAATTAACTTGGCTCAGGGTAAAGATAATACTGTCTAGAAAAGAGCAGAGACTTGCAAAACTAGTAAAATCTCAAAAAAGCACATGGCCCTCATTTGTGTGCACTGGTTCTCAAGAAGACACTAGACAAGCTATTCCCACTATGTACATAAAGCTACTTTTACCATTTCTCACCTTCCATCAGTCACTAACTGCAGTTGTCAACCTCAAACATATCTGAATGTTTGCTTGCAGGTACAGCAATAAAAAAAAAAATGCTGGGACATCAGAAACTTACCATTAATATGAAAGATAACTGCTATATAATGTTCTTAACCTGGCTGGAATCAAGCAAACTTGATAGACATCAAGTTTACAGGAACTGCCCCACAACAGAACTGAATGGGAACCTGCAATATAAACATCAGGTTAGGAAGGAGGTCAGAGAAGTTTTCTTCCATGTCCCATTTCCTTAGATAATGGGGTTGTTCTTGCCAACTTGATCTCTGTTACAGTCTGCTCTCTATACAGATGCACCAGAACAATAGATCTAGCAAGGTGAGCTTCACTGAAAAAACAGCACTGGTCAAAGTTTTAACTGCAGTATCTTAAGAGCATAATTGCACACCCACTCTGCAGAGGAATAAGCTCTACACCAGCTTAATTTTACTCACACAACATAGCATAGAAGTACTGCGTCACAAGACTAAGCATTTCAAACATCGCCTTTACACATGTCCAAATTCACTGCTTAAAATGATTTATGCAGGTGAGCCGAACAATACAATAATGCTACAGTTGTCACAGGCCACTGTTTGCAAATCCAGTAAAACAACTGCATGTCTGCACAGATCTGTCCATAACATGCAAAATTTTATAACTGTACATTTTCAAGAACTACCAGATGATTATTTTCTTGCATTCACTAGAAGACAGAAAGCAGACATGCATATTAGACTTTTTCAGAATAGGCATTTCAGAGAGGCTCAAAGACAAGATGACAATCCAATACCTTGCACATTAGAACCGGGAATCCCTAAAATATGTCATCTATCAAATTATATGCAGACGAATACAGATTCTCAAAATCTTATTTTGATTCTAGAACTTCTTCAGTAAGTCAGCTAAAGATGTTAACCTAGATCAATATTGACTATTTCCAAACCTCTTCACTTACGCAGCTGCAAATATTGCTAAAGATATACAGTGACATGTGCCCTTTGGTCATTCATGCCAGCGATCTTAAGTCTGTATTAAGGTTGTTACAGCAATAACACATACCAAGCTACAAAACTTCCTTCGAAAAGGGCCATCCACCAATCTGTTCTGCAAGAACCTTAAATTAATCAAGACAGAAAGCAGAAACATATCAGAAGACCCAAAAGTCTCCCAGGACACAACACAATAATGCAAAAAGCTCAGGGTCTCTGCATTGCTACTTAAATGCCGCAGTTTATTTCAAGCCATACCACTATCCATATTGCTTGAAACCTACTAGTTTAATTCCCTCTGTGAAACTATTGTAACAGCAAAAGCAAAAGGATTTTTCAGGAGCTGCTATTAGCCAGTTTCACTATAAAGCAAGCCATCTGCAACTTAATTATTCTCAAATATAAGAGAGCAATTCACTTAAAACATCTACAACATTTGTCAAATGAAAATGTCAGGTATTTCCCCGATACTTTCTCTTATTATACAGTCCTTAGCTGCTTTTCTTTTTAAACTATTGCATGAACTTTCCCCATGACAAAAGCTTGAAATATGCTGACCATTAATATTTCGAATAAGGGATACTAGGAAGCTATCTTTCCAACATAATCTTCTGGATGAGTCAGTCTCTGATATAAGATTTTCCATGCTCCTCCCTCTGCATGCTGGTAACCTTTACAACATTTCTGTTCTCATTGTTGTACTCTAGAAGCTGGTAAAAGCCACAAAGTACAAGTCTGTCACACATTTAACTGTAGAGTTAACTCTCCTAATCAGCTAATCAAATAATCTGTGATTGCCAGTGTAATAGCTTAATGAGAAAAGAAACATATGGAAGTTAATGTAGCACATGTGAAAACACTGGAACAGTATCTGAAATTCTATTCCAGTGAAATCCACTTAGAAGTTCCTTTTAGAAATCAAGCTTCAGAGAAACTTTGGTGAAACAGTAATAACAAGGGCATTCAATCAGAGAGAGAAAAAGAAAACGACTGATGAATGGGGAGCTGTGGCAACATGAAAAATAAGATTAATTTCTTTCAATGTTATTCTTACTTCAAAGTTTAATAGCTTGCCCTCTCATCTTAGTTTTAAAGCAATACTCCTTTTTTGTCTGTGTCCTGTACAGCGTTAAAAGCGCATTCTTCTCCAAATATGGTTTGACTGAACAGAACTTGTACACTCCTTTTCCACAAACTCCTTTTACCACCTGCTCTAATTATCATGAGCTATCCTGACATTTGTAATACTTCAGTCTCTAAGCACGGTTCTCCTAGCAACTGCTAGTGAGATTTTAGTTGGTTTTATACCTAAACTGTTCATATTATCAGATAGAATTCCTGCATTAAATTATTTACAGGTTTTACCATGGCATACTCAACATCACTAATGAACACTATAATTATCAAGCATTAGTCCATAACTAGAAAAACCTAAAGAAATAATTGGAATTATTTTACTTCTTAAAAGCATTTAGTAAGCATGCATTAAAACTACTTCAAATTCCCTATCTCAATAGCAGCATTTGCAGTTATAATAGAAAGCTAATGAAGGACCAATTCTATACAGGAACAGACTACAACAGAGGCTATTTACGTACTTAAATCCCTGCTATTCTCTTTTTAGCTCTATAGCTGTGGTAAAATTTAGATTACTGACAATACTCATATGGTTTAATCTCAAGTAGCCTATGAATAATTTTAATTTATAAATTTAAGTTATCTGGCAAGCTTACTGAAATCTTCCTGTTCAGACGGAAATTTCTCATTTCAGGACACTTCTCAAATAGACGTGAACAAACACCTTCACAAACCAAAGATTATCTGATGACAGACAGAAAAGTAGAGTTAAAGCCTTCATTCAACCACAAGAGCCTCCTTTCAGACATGTGTAGATACACATCTCTTTGTAACATAACACAGTCCCACTTCTGTCACCACAGAAGTGGTTTTAAGAATGAGAGTTTCCTGTATGTTTTGCCTAAACAATTTAACCAGCTTCTACCTTGACAAAATATGGGCATATTCTCCCCCACTGGCTTGTTATGATAATACAGCAAGTACCTTTATAAAAACTGTGACAGCTTTTATGCAGGTTACACTGAGAGGAAAAAAAAAAACAAACAAAACCTCATGTACTTATTCAGCTGAGGACACTAACATGACAATAACAAAATTCTCATAAAAAAAAAAAAGAATTTAATACATACATTTGCTGAAGAATCAAAGCCCTCCTCTTCCCAGCTCCTTATTTGTGGATACCTTTGCACATCTTTATACATACACATATATATATATGCACAGAGTAATTTTGAGATTGATGGACAAATCACCTTATTTCTTTAGTTTAAATACTTGAGAATATGCTTTTAGTAGAGTTTCTTGGCCAAATTACACCTGAAAGTATTTCATGTAACATGTTTATACTGGTAGCACTTGTAACTATATAACACGTTAAGTGTTTTCATTATTGTGATTCAATCAACTAGTTACTTGACAACAAGTCAAATTCGCAGGATAGTAAAATTTATACATCAACTCTCCTAGCACAAGTAAGAGCCACTGGCCTTTAGAAAACAACTGTGAAAGTAATTACTGACAGAAAGGCTGTAAAATAAATCAGGATTTGGACTGGGATTTTGCTGCTGAGGCATACAAACCTCTCTTGAATTAAACACCTCCTCTGTATCACAAAAGCAATCTTCTGTGCTGCCAGGTGACATTATAATGAAAATGCAATTCAGATACTCCAATTAAAACAACCCAAACCCAATCATCTACAGCTGCACATGTTTATGTTGGCCTTAACCACTAATCACACCGACAGCATTTTACTCTAACATGCCTTTGCCATTAAAATGCCTGTCACTCTAGCTAATTGCCATTGATTACAACAGAAATTGCTGGTGCCTCACCCTCCAGCCAGCAGTGATCCAGAAAAAAAGCCGTTCCCACACCAGCCCTTCAGCGAAGAGGTTGCCTAAACCGGGACCTCTGACACCCCCCTCCTCGGCCTGCCCGCCCTACGGCCTGCAGCACAGGCCCACCCGCCCAGCCCCCTCTACGCCCCGGGGAAACGCTCCCCGGACGAGGCCACAGGCTCCCGCCGCCCGCCCCACAGACCCGGCCCGGACGCCCAACAGTCCCCGCCGCAGCCTCCGAGACACCGTAGGCAGCGCTCCGGGACCCGGCCCCGCCGCTCCCCGCGCCCGCAGCCCCTTCTCCCCGCGGCGGCCTGAGGCGGCGGCGGCGGGTCCCATCCCCGCCTCACCTGGAGGTGATGGCGGCGGAGCAGCGGACCCGCTCGCTGAGGTCGCACAGGGCCTGGTAGTGGAGATCGCGGCCCTTCTCCCGCTCCAGGTGGCAGGCGTAGAGGGAGAGCAGGATGCCGGCCGCGCACACGGCGGAACGGGCCACCCGCTCCCAGCGCGGCACCGACACTCGCAGCAGGACGGGCGTCGCCATCTTACCCCCTCCCTCCGCCTCAGCCCGCGACGCGCGCCCGGCGCCGACCAGCCGCGCACGCGCGCCCACACCCCATTGGCTGGCGGGGCGGGCGCGTCCCTCCCGCCCCGCCCACGCCGCCCGCGCCGGACGTGGCGCTCCGCGACGACGTCACGTCAGGCCGGATCGGCGGCGGGGGGGCGTGGCCCGGTGTGGGGGGGTGGTGTGTCACGGCGCCGCCTGGCGGCCGTCAGGCGACACTGCAGGGAGCCCCGGCCCGCGCTGCCCGCGTCCCCCCGGCCAATTCCAACAGGAAAATTAGTTTTTCCCTCTTTTTGCTCAGAGTTGGGCTGTTCCGGGGAGTGCTACGGCACCCGGCACGGCTGACGCGGCCCTCGGGGCTGACGTGACCCTTCACTATGGCTACGGCGACGTGTGTCCCTTGGACAGGTACTCCAGTGAGTGCTCCAGGTTTTTTTCCATTATTTTTGAGAGAATGAGCCAAACTGCCACAGCCTGCAGACACATAAAGCCCACCTGGTGCCTCCTATGCAGAAGGACCTTGCTGAGGGCCTGCTACATTCCCAGAGTTTACCCTGAGCCTTCCTGGGGTGCATAATTTGGACAAGTGATAGGAAAAACACATTAAAAGTTTGGTTTTTTCTAGCTCATACCATAGCCTGGTGCTCTGCCTGGCTCTGGAGCAGCTGTCAGTGGATCCCCTCAAGCTTCGCTCAGCCTCCTCTCTGGAAGAATACACTTTGCACTTGAGCAACAGGATTTTGTCATCTATTTCCCAGATCTAGGATCACATTCATATCACACCTCTAAATAAAGGCAACAGACCTGTGAGTCAATAGAGCTCGCCAGAATTAGATGGACACAACTAAAGACAATCAAGGCCGGATCTTCTTTCTTTTGTATGTCTCCAGTTTCTATCAAAAGTAGCATCGATACCTGTCTGGCTATAGTTTAAGGAGCCAGATAATATCTCTGTCTACCAACACAAGTCACCTAGTAGCTGAAGATAAAATAATCTTTGCTTACTGTAAATACCTGCCATAACTACCATTACTGCCTTACTTTGAGGATGGCCACCACCCACTTGTTCTCCTTCCCCATTTCCTTGCACACACTTTATTGCTGGACATTAGCAGATGGAAGAGCGAGTTGGTACAAAATGAAGCTCTGAGTTTTCTCAAGGAAGGCAGGAGAACAAAACACAATGTCAGCATTCATACCACCAGTTATGCCATCTGTGCTTTCATTGTTCTGTAAAACAAAACAAATTCAGAGAGACGTGTTGCAAAATTACTTCAGCACCCAGAAAGAATCCCTCTGCCAGCAAAAAAAGGGAAATTGAAAACTGTTAATTAAAAAGAATTGAGAAAACCATTAATTAAGAAATTAGGTTTTTGAACTCTACATAGCGTATAAACCAAATTAAAAATCTCCTGCTCTCTACACTGTGCCTTCTGCTGTCAGTGGGAACAAGAGGAGAGAGACAATGGGAAAGGAAGGTAAATGACCTAGAAGAAGCAACTGAAAAAAATAGCAGATGTACTAAAGATGAAGTAAAACACCCTATTTCATATGTTTATATCTTGGGCCTTAAATAAGATGAGGTCTCATCAAAGCTTTTCCTTTTTGTCAACCAAACGGACACCATGGGATGCCGGGCCCTGGCGCATCGCTCAGGCTGGCAGCCACGGATGGAGGAGCGGGGCTGCGCTCTGCCCTGCCCGGCTCTGAGCCGTCCTGCCTTGCTCCAAGAGCTAACTGTGGGCTCCCGGGGCCAACTGCAGGAGGGAAAGTGCCAGATCTGAAGTGAATTACTGTCTGTCTGGAGTGCAAAGCTCATAATGCTTCACAGACATTTGACAAAACCCCAAACCCAGAGCTGCTGAGGAAGCAGCCAAAATGGTGAGATGCCAAGAGTAAAAAATAACAGAGAAGATGCGTGCAGGGACGAGCTCCTGCAGTAACACCAGCAGTCTGAACTTACATGGATGCTGCTGTTCTGACTACAATATACTGTATATTTGTCTCCTAATAATTTTGACAGCAACTTTTTTCAGACCCAAGCCGTGCTTTTGGATTACCACTGCTATATAAACTCACAATATTCACACTTCCTTCATCCGACAATAGTTACATCCTCTTACAGACAAGATGTTGAAATGCCTGGTCTTACACAGCTACTTCCCTTACAACTGAAGAAATTGTGAACAAGAAATTTTCTGTCGTGATAACATCTTTATAATGAAGTGATAATGTTGCAGGGTGACGATTGCATTTGGGGATGAATGTGTGTATACATACTCTAAGGAAAAGAAGTGAGGTGCTTGCTTATAATGGGAAATGGTGTTTGAACACTTTGTGTTGAGCCTAATTTGAGAGTTTATTAACTCATTAGGTCTAATCCTGTGTATGTTAGTCACCTGGACTCTTTTCATTATTTTCAATGGGGTTTTAGATCAAGGTGAACAAGTAACTTGTGTTCTATTAACTGAGTAAATAGGGATCAGATTTCAGAACAGTTTTAACTCTGGTATATCTGGATTTAGGTAGTAAACTCTAGGGACTATATTTTAATTATATTCCAAGTTATATGATGTAACTTATGTCCTCATCTTTATACTTATAGAACGATTCATTCTTTTCAAAAGCTCTGCTAAGGTTAATAACTCATAGAAAGTTCCAGAAATGTTTTGTGTTTTGCCTAAAGAACTCTCTCTATTTAACAAAGTGCAGTAAGTGCACTTGATTTTAACAGATCTGGATCTAGTATTGTGAATACACAGAAGACCAGACTTTTATTTATTCTCTTCCATTTGCTATTTTTATTGTGTTTCTTTCCCTAGGCTATGCAATACCAGCCTTTTCAAGCTGCCTTTCACCACCTGTCTCCAAACTTCCTAGCCTTTTTTTCTTTTTTCTTCCCCCCCAAAAAGCAGCCACCTTCCAAACCCCTAATCAGGGGTGCAGAACCCTGCAGACAGCCAAGACAGGGTCAAGCCTTGCTGGAGTGACTGGCGACCATGGCATTGTCAAGATGTATCTTAGAGCTGCTGTGTAGAAAAATAACAAGTTAATACATTAATAAATTAACTTATAAAGACATTCCTCAAAATACTGACAGTGTCTTGAAACACAAACCCGATAAGCACATGCCAGCCCGTGCAGATGGTCTCGTGCATGGGGCTGAGGGGGCAGGAGGGGCCCTGTCTCCTTTTTGGGGTAGGAAGGGGGTGAATCCCAGCGTTTTGGGTGAAACCCAGCAATTCTGCAGAAGACTGAAGGGGCTTTTGGAAGCCCCTTCACGGTGCCTCGCTCCGCTTCTCCCGAGAGCGCGACTCTCCCAGGGCAGGCGCCCGTTTAAACGCAGTTTAATGGTTGATCTTTTTTTTTTTTGTTTGTTTTTTCCCCCCCACAGAGCCACCCGCCACCATCACTCCCTCAGGCCGCCGTCTCCCACCGCGGGGCGGTGCCTCAAGGTGGGGGCGTGGCCGCATCACGCCCCGCCTCCCCGCGCAGCGCGCCGGCAGTGACGCGCGACGCGTGCGGCCGGGTGTCGGGTGACCTTCATCGGCGGCGGTGGACGGCGCGCGGCCGGGTCCTTCCTCAGCTCCTCTTCCTCGCCTCAGCGAAACTCGCCCGCCGCCATGCCGAGGGGCGGCCGCAGCCGCACGTCCCGCGTGGCGCCCCCCGCCAGGTGAGGCCCCTTCCCTCCTCATCCTCCTCCTTCCCCACCCCCGCGTGGGCCGCTGGCGGCAGAGGTCTCGCCGCCATTCCGAGGTTGGGTGACGCACCAGCGTGGGGGTAGCGGACATGGCGGCGGGGGACGGCCCGGCTGCTTTGAGCTCGGTTAGCGGAGCGGGGTTGGGCGCTTTGCGGGGGTGGAAGGGGATCTCCTCAGCGCTCGCTGGGCGGCAGGGCCCGGCCATCCAGTGCCTGAGCGCTAAGGCCCTATTCAGTCAGCTCCTTTTGGCTTCTGTTTCATCTCCCGCCAAATAGCGCAGTGCTTTAGGGTGTGAGGGTGTTGCTTGTCTTCAAAACAGCCAAAAAGAAGCCTGTAAATCAGGCCCCGTTGTGCATAAATCACTCACCGGAACACTGAATCTTTGCCATCAATGTGCAGGGGGTAACAAGGAGAAATTGCAAATGTTCGTGCCCTGCAGCCGGCCTCTGCCTGGTGTGACTTTGGAGGGATGACCTGTGGTTTCTCTTTATGTCCTTGCAGTCGGGCACCGCAAATGAGAGCTGCATCACCGGCGCCTGCTGCTCGGGCACCCGTCCCAGCAGCGGCACCAGCTTCTGCTGTGGCTGCTCCTGCACCGAAGCAGCCTGGTCTGATGGCCCAGATGGCTACAACTGCTGCTGGAGTTGCTGTAGGCTCTGCTGTAGGCCATACCATAGGTCATGCTCTTACAGGAGGGTTTGGTGGAGGAAGCGGCTCTGAAGCTGCGAGGCCTGATATTACTTATCAGGTAAGAGAAAGCGTAACTGGATGCCAACTAATGAGGTGCAGTTAACTAGGGACATCAGTTATGTATAGGCTGAGGTAGTTGCTATAGATGTAAAGACCACACAGATCACAGTTGGGGAAGTTGGGGTAGCTTGAGCAACTCGGTCTCCAAGGTAACTACCACAATTGCCACAAGTATCTTAAAAGTAGTTCAGAGAGACGCATGAGTGATACGTGCTTGTGGTAGGGCATTAGTGTTGTTTTCTGCTGTGGTATCCCTCTGATTTAGCCAGGACTTCAGTGTGTTGCAGCTTTGAGGATGGTAAGGTCTACTGCAAGATCTTTTTGTGCTGCTCAGACATTAAGATAATGCTGTTACCTTGCCCAGACGCTATTCAGAGTTATTTAAGTGTATCCAAAGTTACCCAAGTGTTTGTAACTTACAAAACTGTTCAGAATGTGTCATGCCACTGCTGGAAACTTATTTTGTACTTCAGCCCATTATTTGTTTTCCATTTAAAAAGTCACACAACATTTTGACTAAAACATGAGGAGGAAATACACAGCAAGCAGTACTGTGGTGGTGCGGCTGCATAGGCTGGAACTGTTTAAAGGGCACTTATGGAGGTGTCTGCCATTTCAGGAGCCCCAGGCAGCTCAGCCTGCCTACCAGCAGCAGCAGCAGCAGTCGCAGTTTGCTCCTTGCCAGTATGAAATGAAACAATTCCTGGAGTGTGCGCAGAACCAGACTGACCTCAAGCTGTGCGAGGGCTTCAGTGAAGTGCTGAAGCAGTGCAGGTTTGCTAATGGTAAGTGGACAGTGCTACCAGACCACTACTGTATGAGCTAATTGGTAAAATTATCATGGGAATGTCCTGGTTTTTTTCAATCCATCCAGTAAAGAATGGGGATTGATACAGAGCACATACACTGAAGTCAGTTAAACTAAGTTGCTGTTCTGTTTGTCTTCCTGTTTCGATCCTGTACGTATAGCTGGAGGTGAGGGGGTGGACAGTGTATGAATTCCTGCAGCTTTTTGTGCTGGTGCAGTGGTTGAAGCTAACTGTTCAGGAGGGGGGCAGCAGCATGCTTGGAGAAGCAGCAGGCAGTGCTGGCCTGCAGCAAGCACCTGCCTGGCACAACTGACAAAGCGTCCTGACCTGGGAGGAAGGAGACTTGAACGCTGGCGTCGGGGTGCACTGCTGAAGTCTGTGGTTCAACACATCCCAGCGAATAGATGAGGGGAGAAGGAACACCCTAACATATGTCTGCCTTAGAGCAAGGAAGGGCACCTGCCATTTAGGGATACAAAACAGTGTGATTAACTGTGATAACCTCTTACCTTACAGGTTTAGCCTAAGCCTTCAGAGCAAGGTTGCTGAAGACCATCTTACAAGTACTGACCTATGAATGCAAAAAAGCTTCAGTAATAAATCTGTCTGATATATTGTTAGTTCATATATTCACACTATTGTCCTTCCTGTGGCTTGATTCCTGCCATAGCCGCTACAGATGTGATACAATTTACAGCAGCAAATTAATTTAGCACAAAATGGAAGAATGAACAATAAAGCAAAATGAGCTAATTTGAGTTGTGTTGAATTATTGTGTTGAATGTAAGTGATATGGTGTATAAATAAACTTCTCTCTCCAGAAATGCCTTGCTTTAGTGGACTTGGGAGTTGCATTTGAAGGGCAAACAGGTGAGAACTGATTTTGGCAGGCTTCTGTGTTCTTGGCAGGGCTGGTGCCCGAAGGGCCGGAGCTACAGGAGTTGAGTGTTTGTAGCCCAGCGGTTAGCTCTGCTTGCCAGACGTCTCCTGCTTGAGCATTTGAACCCCATGGGCAACTTCTGCTGACTAAAATATGCAGCGACAAGGAAGGCTGTGTCTGACTCCACACTATTTTGCATGCAGCAGGTCTCACTTCCTTAAGGGAATCCTGTCATATTCTTAAAAACAAGCTCTGTATTTGGATTCAAGAGATTCTGAGAAATACCTTCCCTCTGCTCAGAGAGGATCTTGGTGCTAGGCCGTTAGCTGCTCAAGCCTATGCACTATCAGGCAGCTGTGCACTTCTAAGATAACACAGTCTTGCAGTGGGACTCGCAGTTCCCAATAACACAAGCCAGGGCTGGAGGCTTTTTTCTTTCTCCATCTTGTGACAGGAGTTGTGCACTGAAATGTGAGATGGGGCCTGGCTGCTCGCAGACGGTGTGGCCTTTTCCTCCTCGCACCTGCCTCAGGCAAGTGACAAAGCTCCTGCTGCCACATGAAGGAAAAAATAATCGCCATTTAAAAAGTATTTACTGATGCAAAGTGCAAACCCTCCTTTTTCCATGAGAGGGAGCAGCCAGCTCATGCCCTGCTAAAATCCCTGGAGCCCACAGAGCCAGCACCCAGCTGCGCTGTAAACCCTGCACAGCAAAGTGATTGCAAGTACTGGGGGGAGTGTGGCAGGGAATAACCTCACACTAAAAAAGTCTAATACTTTAGAAATACTCTCATGGCATGCCCTGTTTTTCCTGAACTGCTTTAGCACTGTTGGTTCTGCCTGTTCCTAAAAGTCTTCAATTCTCATCTGCAGATCCTGAAAGTGAAAAGATAAAATAAGTATTCAAAATGGGGAAGGGTTGCCTCAGGCGTGGGGGATGAGAGCACGGCTGGCTACCTTTGCTGGTGACACGAGCAGCTTTACTGATCGAGCTCGCCTCTTGGTTGCCAGGTGTTTCACTGTCCTGGTGAAAAGAAATAAAAGCGGTTTGGGTCAGAAATGCCCACGCTGGGCTGCTGCGGAGTTTGCAGCAAACATCCCTAAAACGCTTTTCAGGAGCAGGCAGGGAGATGCACTTTCGACTTTGGGGAAAGAAAGCACAGCGCGGCCGGTAGAGCAGTTTGCAACTCGCGGTGGTTGAAAAGCAACAACCCACGCAAGAAAGCCGGGAGGAGGGACCCGACCACGCAGGGATCCGGGCGAGCCAAACACGCCCACACAGAGGCAGCATCGGCGGCTCGGACACGACCCCAAACCGACCCTTTACCTCCGGGGCTGCGCCAGCCCCGCGCAGGGAAGGGTTAAAGGCTGGCGGTGCCTCGGAGGAAGTCCCCGAACCTCCGCGCTGCTGCGCGGATCTTCCGCTCCCCCCCCACACACACACCCCCACACCCACGGCTCCCCCCATCACCCACGGCCGCGGAGCCGCTCGCTTCCAGCCGCGGCCCAACGCGCCCGCCAAGTCTCTCGGCGGTTTATTTTTGGCTCGGCAGGAGCGGAACGGGGCAGCCCCGAGCGAGCGGCCGCCCCGCAGCGCCCAGGGCTCGGCCCGGCCCGGCCGGATCCGCGGTGCCGGGGCCCGGCTGCCCGCAGCCAGGTGAGGCCGCCCGGCCCGGAGCCCCGCCTGGGGAGGGAACCGGCTTCAGGAGACGGTGCTCGTAGGGCGGGGAGGATTTCGGACCCGGCGGGGGTGTTTAGCGACCCCGGAAAGCTTGCTTTTAGGATTAAGCATGATTTGTTTGTTTGGTTGTATGTTGTTTTTTTTTTTTTCTGCTTTTGTGTCTTATTTGCTGGTTGCCCCGGAGCTGCGCTGGCTCCTTGCTCGGTTTTGCTCGCCCAAGCGGGAGATTCCGGGGCAGAAACACCCTCCCGGGGAGGGGGTGGTGTGTGTGTGGGGGGGTGGGGGGGTGGGCTCCGCCGGGGTTGCTGCTGCGGGGTTTGGGGGGGCGGGGGGGGGTGGGCACTCCCGTGCTGACCTAAAAGCTGACTTTAGCTGGGGCTTTCCACTTTTATCTCAATAAATAGTTGCATGTTATTGAATATTTACCAAGGCAAACACTTAAAGCCCTGATTCACAGCAACACGCCGGGCGGCAATGTCCTGGTTTGCTTTCCCCCGTCTCTGCTCCAAGACAGAAACCTCTCCTCACCCCGACCCCCTTTCCCCCCATGGAGCTCGTAGAGCTCTGATAATAAAACCGGCTTATCCTGTTAGTGCTCTGTACCAGCTGCTTATATAAAATCAGGATGTTTTAAACGAATTCCTGGGCTCTTCCCTCCCAGAAGGCAGCACACAGACCCGGGCTTCTGGCAATGCTCCACAGCCTCCAGTCCTTCCTTCACCACCAACCCCCAGGACTTTGATTTTCAGCTTCCATAAAAAAAAACCAAAACAAAACAAAAAAAACAACAACAAAAAAAACCCAACAGTTGTTGATTCTCCCCCACCTTGGAGAAATTTTCTTTTCCCTACTCCCTATTCTGCCTTTCATTTATAACTTCAGCCCTGACTTGGTTTGCAGTATTTCCAACAGCTAAAATTATATAAATTAAATCCAACTCATGGCTGTTTAGAAATGTTTCAGCCCTCGTTAGATGTCCCTCCCAGCAGCAGACAGACACCTGAAACACAGCATCACTCCTGATAACCAGGTCAGGACAGATACACTTTAATAAGATTTAAATGTATTTAGAGATGCAAACCTGCCTGGGAGCGTCCTGACAGAGTTACTGCTGCCTCAGAGAGAAGGGCAAAGGAAAACCTGCAGTATCAGGGCTTTACTGACCACCAATTATCCTTCCCCCAGCCACAAACTGTCACCTCAAAGTGACAGTTTTGCTGCCCAAGCTTATAGGAGCTGCTTTCCATGCTAACTGCTTGGTCTCCATGTACTTTTGTGAAGCAGCTGGCCCCGGACAGTCAGTGTTTCAGCAATGCCAGGTGCAGGAACAAGCTGAGGACGTCCAGTTCCCAGGGCTTAAAGGGAAATGCCGGTGAAAATTAGGAATCAGGACTACTGATTTTTTTTCCCCCCTCTATCAAAATCTTGTTATGCCGCTCCTCCTCCAGCAGTGGTAGCACACACCAAAGAAACCCCCCCCCAAAATGGAAAAAATAAACGGAACAAAAGCCTTTTGGGAGTTTAGGAGACTGCTGGCAGCTGTACGTGTGTACACTGTCCTCAGGCTGGCCTGGCCCTGGCTGACCCCACATGGCACTGGCTGTCCCCAGACACCCGGTCCCCTGCCTGCACCCCGACCCACTGAGCCCCCCACGCTGCTTCACCAACCCTTCCCATCCCATCTTCCCTCCTTAGTCCTTTTTGGTTCACTTTAAACACCATTTTTTTTTTCCTTCTTGTTCTCAGCCAAACCATTCCAGACAACTTTGTCATCTTAAAAATAATTAGGAAAAAAAGAATAAATAAAAAAAAAACCAAAAACAAGGCAGATTTCAAGGCTTCACAGGGGTCTTTGGGTGTTGTCAGCGTGGGGTGACATTTCTGGAGGCTGCTGCTGCTGGGGACCTTTGGACCTGCCTTGCCAGCACTGCCTTGCTACCGTACGCTTTTGCACCCAGGTGAGCTTAAGGTGCAGCTCAGCTGCTGCCTCCCCTGCCAGCACTGTCCCTGTGCTCTCCCTGCACGGCTTTGATGGCAGACTCGAAAAAATTAGTTAAATTGCTTACCCAGATGGGAGGAATTGGGAGAAGCATGGTGTAGCCTTAGCCCGTGGTAGGAGCTGGAGGATGAGGCCCTGCAAGCTGGGTGTGGGTGCTCAGCAGGAAGGGATGAGGTTTTGAGGTGCTCCAGTACTTCCCAAAGCCGTGGCCTCAGCCAGGCTGCTTCTGCCCCTGGGGACAGCCAGGCTACAGGAGATCCAGCGGTGTTCCTCCTGTTCTCAGTGGGATCTCCACAGGGTCCCAAGGGCAAAGCTTTGCTTTTCCAACCAGTGAAACATCCCCTTTGGTCTGTGATCTAGGATCATCCTCCTCTTCTTCCCTTCTCCTCCAGCTCAATGTTTTCGCCTCTGGGGGGGAATCAAGGGTGGGGCAGGTCCCTGCTCCTGCCCTGGGTGCAGTGAGTACCCATCCTTGCTCTTTTCTCCTTGCAGCCCCTTTCTGCCAGCAAACGAGCCCAAAGTGCAGCCAGACAGGAGCCAGAGATGACCAAGGAAGAGGATCTACCGGACTGGAACTCATCCAAGGAGTTTTATGAAAAATATGAGCCAAAGGAGATTTTGGGCAGGTAAAGCTTATTTTTGAAACCACAGCAAAGTGTGGTTTCACACACACCAGTACCTGATAGGAACAGTATCCCCTGGCAATCTGATACGAACAGGGCCCATAATGGCATGGGGTTAAAAATAGCATGAAGCAGCACTTTCCATCAGCTCAAAATCTTCCGTCCCACCAAGACAGGGTAACGAGTGAGACTCATTCGTGCATGAAAATACCAACCAGCCCAGGTGGCAGTGGCACAGCCGCAAAGTCGGGCTGGACGAGAAGGAATGGAAACCCCCATCTTGTCTGTGTTGTCCCTGACAGGGGGGTGAGCAGCGTCGTCCGTCGGTGCATTCACAAAACCACCCAGCAGGAATATGCTGTGAAGATTATCGACATCACGGCAGGTAACATATCCCCCAAGGAGGTACAGGAACTGCGAGAAGCCACCACTAAAGAGATCGACATTCTCCGGAAAGTCTCAGGCCACCCCAACGTCAGTAAGTCAGGCTCTGAGCATCAGGGCAAGGGGGCTTTCTGCCCCATTTATTCTTCAAGGTGTTCCCAGGAAGGGTTTTTGGGGTGACATTCCTGGAGGGTCAGACCTCCGATGGTCCTAACACGACACAGGGTACCTGCTTAGAGCATCGTTTGTGCTACCTCCGCACACGTGCCAGCAGTGCCCACACTGCCCAGGTTGTCTTCCAACCAAAACACTAGTGAAGATCAACTCCTCATTAATTCAATTAACAGTTAGATCAGCAATTTTTAGTCCATTAATGGACAGGAACATGCTATACTCCGTGCTCACAGCCCCTGTGTTTTATTGCAGTCCAGCTGAAGGACAGCTATGAATCCAGCACCTTCTTCTTCTTGGTGTTTGACCTGTGAGTACCAGATTTCCCATCACCATCTCCCCAAGCCCATTCTCACTCTGCAGATGGCCACCAACCAACACTCGCCCCAGATTTTTATGGCCCGAGTGGGGGGTAAAGCTGGGGGACAACCAGCTCTTGCTTAAGGTAGAAATGAACCTTGGTTGCTATGAGCCAGCTCATTGCAGTTTTGCCACCACCAGTGTTTCCGCTCTGTCAGCGGCTCAGCACTGCTCAGGTTTCCCCGTAACCTTTGGTGGGAGCCATCAGGCATCCCTGTGGGTTATTTATATGCCCAGTGGGACCAGGGTGCATGTGACGCCCCAACTCCTGATACTGGGGCAGCATGATGGATGTCAGCGAAGGGGATTGGCACCAGGAGAGCCTTGTCCCTGTCCCATCTGAAACCTACCCTCTCCAGGGACAGCCTTTCCTCCTCCTGCCTGATGCTTTGTGGCAAGATAGAGGCATTTTTACTCCTTTTTATTAACAAGTTGGCTCATCATCTTTTGCAATGGGTGCCCTGGGCTGTTAAGGGGCAGCAACCCTCAAGCGATCCTCCCCAGGGGCTCGGGGCAGGTTTGCCATTGCAGCTCAGCCGCTGCCTGCCTCTGTTTTCCCTCCCATGTGCAGGATGAAGAGAGGGGAGCTCTTTGACTACCTCACTGAGAAAGTCACCTTGAGCGAGAAGGAAACCAGGTAAGACCAGATGCAGATGGCTGAAAATCATGTTGGAAAAGCAGAGTGTGGGTTCAGAGGATGACCGTGACGCTGGGCACAGCACCCCGGGCTGTGCCCCTGCGCTCAGACATAGGGGATAAGTGGTGTGGTCCCTGTCCTTGTCCCCATCCCCGGGAGCGCAGTGCCGGTGGGCGTTGAGGCTAGGAGAAATGCTGTCACCCACCCCCAGGAAGATCATGCGCGCGCTGCTGGAAGTGATCCAGTACCTCCACTCCATCAACATCGTCCACCGGGACCTGAAGCCAGAGAACATCCTCCTGGATGATGACATGAACATTAAGCTGACGGACTTTGGCTTTTCCTGCCAGCTGCATGAGAACGAGAAGCTCAAAGGTAGGAGGACAGTGAGGTGTGGGAGATGCCGGGCTGGCCCGTGGCCACCCTGTTGCTGCAGTGCCCACAGCGAGTCGGTGCAGTCTCTCCAGCCCCGTTGTCTCCTTGGGGCCAGTCTTGGTGCTGTGGGTGCAGACTGCCACCTTGGAGTACCCTCCTGCTCATTCATGAGCCAGGCTTTGCCTGCACACAGCCTCCACACCATTCTCCTTGCTGTGAAGGAATTGCTGCCCAATAGGAAAATCTTCCTAGTCTTTTCACTTCTTTTTTCCTCCAATTGTTCCTCATTACCTCCATCCATTTACTGCCCAACATTAAGGGTTTTTCCTAACTCCTACCCTGCAAAGGCCCACATAACCAACAACAGGCATCCCCTCCCACCAGCATCCTCTCTCTTCACTCACTTTTTAGCCACTATAATTCACCAAGACAAGTCACCAGCAAGATGTACACGAGTTGCAGTTCCTCTCTGTGAGCTCATCACTTCAAAGATCCCATCTGGATCCAGACTCCCCGTCATTGACTGCTCGGGGGTGGGTGGGGATGGCACAAACCCTCCTGGGCAGCTCAGGAGGGTGCTCTGCCCTGTGTTCGCAGAGATCTGTGGCACACCTGGCTACCTGGCCCCTGAGATCCTGCAGTGCTCCATGGACGACGAGCACCAAGGCTACGGGAAAGAGGTTGACATGTGAGTGAGATGCCTGCCTCCCACCTTACCCCTCGGGCTGCTCCCAAAACACACGTGGTTTGAGGAACAGTGAGAGTTGTGCACATGGGGACTCATTTGAGTGTTTGTAAGGAATTAAATTACGCACCGAAAGACAACCTCAGGGGCTGTCCTGGTGACCAGGAGGCTCTGGCACAGAGCTGGGGAAGAAGCAGCTTGAGGACAAGCCCAACTCCCTGTTTTGCCCTATCAGGAAGGGGGGAAATTTTCTGTTCATAAAAATCAACTCCGGCTGGTCTCTAAGACACAGGGCTTTTTAAACACACCCTGTAGCAAGACATGAACGCAAGGGAGCCACTGAGAGAGTAGCCAGCTCAGGAGAGCCCATTAGAGCCCCGCAGGGACTTTGCCACCATCTCTGGGGGCTTCAGGCTCAGGTCTGAAGCAGAGGTGTAACCAACCGCTTGAAACACACCAGAGCACTTCATCCCTTTTTCAGTTTAAAGATACCTCCGTTAACTACCACATCAGGACACTTTGCACGCCATGGCCTTAGCTGACACAGGCCCAGAGCATCCAGACTCACTGGCATCAGTGTCCCACCCTCCCAGACCTTCTCCATCCCCTAAAGAAACCCAAGAAAGGCAAATACCTCCAGCTCACAGCTTCCTCCTGCAGGATCCAGAAAAGCAGCTCAACTCAGAAACCCCAAACCCCTCCCCAGCAGGGCAGCCCCCCGCTCCTTATTACCCATCAGAGCTAACGAGCCTCAGCAGTGAGCTCAGCCGCCCTCATCAGACACCATGCAGGGCAGTTTCCTCCTGGTTTTCCAGGGAGGCAAAGCCACATGTAGCCCAGCATATCCTGGTTGTGGGGAGGCACCGAGCCGTCCTTGGGGCGTGGGTCTGGCCGGGTACCCCCGGGGTGCTGCCTGGGGCTGGAGGGTCTGGCTGGGCTGCCCGCAGGTGGAGCACCGGGGTGATCATGTACACCTTGCTGGCCGGCTCGCCTCCCTTCTGGCATCGCAAGCAGATGCTGATGCTACGGATGATCATGAATGGGGACTACCAGTTCGGCTCCCCAGAGTGGGACGACCGCTCGGACACTGTTAAGGACCTGGTAGGTGTTTGGGGACGGGAAAACCTTGGTGGGGGGAGGTTGGTTTGCAGACACCAGGGATACCCCAGGTTGATCTGGTGCCTTCCTACAGATCTCCCGGTTCCTGGTGGTGGACCCACGGCAGCGGTACACAGCCGGCGAGGCACTGGCCCACCCCTTCTTCCAGCAGTACGACGTGGAGGAGGTTCGGCACTTCAGCCCTTTCCGGAAATTCAAGGTGAGGTGGGGTACAGAGGTGTCTCAGCACCCCAACCCGGGACTCAGGAGCTGAGCAGTGGGATGAGTTTCCCAGCTGAACTGGGAGAAACTGAGAGTTCAAGAAGGCTGGTGGACCTGGGCTTTGGCAGGATGTGGCAGCCTGGGTGGAGACCCTTCTCCAAGCACTATTTCGCTTACTTTCTGGTACTTCCTAAGGGCTTTTAAACAGAAGAGGGTTAAATAAGGAAAAAGCCTGCCTCCCCTGCAAATAGTTTGAAAAAATTAAAAATTCCCCTTCTAAGGGGAAATTGATGAGTGTGACATAACATGACTGCATCAAATGATGCAAAAGTTGATAAAGAAATCCTTTCCCTCCCCTATAGTCAGCCCTTAGGGCAGTTCAAAGGTACCCGTAGCGGTGTTAGGTGACACATTTAGGACTGACCTGTGGTTTTGATGTTAAGGGCCCATTTGGAAAAAGCCCGTACTGCTCACACGGGACTCAATACCTGCGCCAGGAGTTGGGCTCCCTCCCGACCCCTCCACATGGGTAACAGCCATGTGGGATGCGTTGGGGCTGGGCTGGTCCCATTTTGGGACTGACCACAAATTCCAGCCTGTTCCCTTCGTGCTGCAGGTGATCTGCCTGACCGTCCTGGCATCGGTCCGTATTTACTACCAGTACCGGCTGGTCAAGTCGGTCACCAGGGAGCTGGTGGTGCGGGACCCGTACGCCCTGAAGCCCATCCGCAAGCTGATCGACGCCTGTGCCTTCAGGACCTACCGGCACTGGGTGAAGAAGGGGGAGGCGCAGAACAGAGCCGCCCTCTTCGAGAACACCTGCAAGGCCATTTTGCTGACCCTGGCAGCCGAGGAAGGGCTGTTTTGATCGCCGCTGCGTAAGCTGATGAGTTTGCTCAAGAAGTAAGGCAAGTAAAATCTTTGAAAACCAACTGATTTCTTTTGCTTTTTCTTAGAGATATGGCTGGCCTCATGTCAAGTGCAAATGCAAAGCCAGCAGACAGCTGTGACTTACCCCCGGGTTACGTCCTGCTGTAAGGGATGGGTTTGGAGAAGCCACCTCTAACAGAGATGGAATTAGCCACAGCTCCCACCAGGGACCGCTCACCCCGCACTGGAGCAGGAACCTTTTGGGGGCAATTGTGGGTGGAAGAGGGATGAGCAGTGCCCGGAGGGGTGTCCTCACCCACCCATGTCCTCAGGGCTCCGGGTCCCATCAGGTTTGGTGACAGAGCTTGTGCACAGTTGGTTTGTAGCCTTTATGCTGATTATAACCTGGGAGAGGTAGGTCACTGGGTTGTGTTATCTGTGCACTTAAAAATGAGCGCGCTCATCATTTTGCCACTGCTTAAGGGTCAATAAAGGTGCTTTGTTTTACTTCTGGGAAGGCTCAGCAGATGGTACAAAGCTGGGACTTCCCAAGGAGACGGGGACTGATGTACGAGTCCCCCTTCCAGGGACGTGCCCCATCACTCCCCCCCAGCAGCTGCCCCTCACGGCAGCGCCATGCTGGCGGTCCCAAGGGGGCTGTGGGTGTTTGCTGGCGCTGGAGGTCAGAGCAGCTCTGGCCTGGTCCCACATACATGCACCCCTCTGCTTATTGCAAATGGACACCAGCAGGAAAGCTGTAATATCCACCACATGAAAAGGACGTTAGAGACAAACCACCCTGCCTGCCCTTCCCAATCACTGCTCCTGCCCAGACGTCCCCATGCAGAAAGGAGTCTTAGCTGAAAGTATTTATTTTTAATTTTTAAAAGTGCCTGGGTTTAATGAAAGTGACTGCTGGAGGTTACTGTTCATCTCCACAGGAGAAAATGCCTTCCAGTCTTCCCTGGTGACCTCAGAGCTCGGGTTTGGTCCGGCTTTTCTCAGCCCTGACAGGCGGGACGTCGGCAGCACAGCGGAAGCTGAGGTTGTCAGAGGCTGAGTCTGGTGTGTTCCCCATTCTCACAGGGAAAAAAAGACTCAAAATTAGGGATACTTCGTAATTAATGCTTACATAATTTGATGTGACCACTTACATCATTTAATGTAACAGACTAGAAACATCTTCCACTTCCCTTGAATAACTTAAAGAAAAGCATTTAATTCTAAACACTTGATGGAAAATACACATGATTTGAGAAACAATTAGGAATATATTTATAGCAGTAAAATTTTTAGCAGTATTTGCACTATGTTTTACTAACTGCTTCTCAGAAAAACTGTGTAGGAAGAGACAAATATATTTTAAGATAAACCCCCTCCTCTTCTACAACCAAGCCAGAAGAAATCTTTGCAGAACAGCACCTGGGCATTGCCCAGACCTACCTGGTAGTAACACGAGCTTTATGGTTTGCAGATCCATCTGCGGTGTCAATCCATGAGGCACCTCTCAGGACCTGCATGTTCTGAGCACGCTGCCTCGATGACGGCCCCGGAGTCAGGTACTCCGATGCAGTCCACTCCCAGGTGTTACCCAGCAGGTCATAGAGCCCTGAAACACAGAAGGTTTTGCATCAGGATTATGAGAACACATTCACAAGGGCTGCAAAAGCACTTTGGTGTATGGGAAGGGGGTGCAACATTCAAAGCATCACTGCAGGGATGTGGTTTAATGGTGAGACTGGGAACCAGGAGCTCTTTACAGTATTTCAAATCAGCCCCAGTTTACAACTGGACCTTTAATGTGTCTTGTTTCCCATCTGCTGCCGTGAAAACAACATGCTTAGGATTTTCAGGTAAATCACACTGAAGTGCAAAATAACCAGCTTCTAATTAAAAGCAAGGGCTGGTTTGATGGATTGAAGTGTACCAGGTACACATCAGCCAACTTCAGTAACAACCATCAATGCTTTTGCTGGGCTCGGTTATTCTATCAAGATGCTGACATGATCCCCCATCATCTCTGAAAGTGTCGTGGTTGGAGCCTGGTCAGCAGCCAAACACCCCACAGCCACTCACCCACCCTCCCCTCGCACCTGGGAATGGGGGCGGGAATTGGAGGGGTAAAGGGAGACTCGCAGGTTGAGATAGAAACAGTTCAATAATGGTAATAAAACAATGTCAGTAATAGAAAATATAAACGGGCAATGCACAATGCAATTTCTTACCACCCACTGACCAATACCCAGCCCATTCCCGGCTAGCGATCCTGAAATACCAAGATCCTGCAATCGCAATCCTGGAAGTGAGAGAGAGCCCCTTCCCGACCACCCCTCCTCTATATGCATGCCTCTATAAGCATGAAGTTACATGATATGGAATATTTCATTGTCCAATTTGGGTCTGGTGCTCTGGCCGTGCTCCCTCGCTGCTTCTTGTGCCCTTGTGCACGGGCAGGACATGGGGAGTCGGAGAGTCCTTGAAATCTCAGCAGCAGCCAAAAACATCAGTGTGCTATCAGCATTCTTCTCATACCTAACCCAATGCTGAATCCAAAACACAGCACTATTCTAGTTACCAAAAAGAAACATTAACTCTATTCCAGCCCAAACCATGACAGCAAGTCTGCCACAACTACAGGCTTTTATAATTAGTGTTAATTTAGGAAGCAGATGCCATCCCCAAAACCAGGGCAGGGATGCCCACTCCATACCATAGTTGTTCTGAGGAGGGAATGCTGCCACTGGCGAGACGCCGTGATAACCATCTTCAGCTGTGTCGACCCTTGGGAAATCACCCTGTGGGAAGAAAGATAACTCTGAGCAAAGACCTGCCGTGGAGATGACACAAAGTGCTGCTCTTCACAGGACTGTGTTACTCTTAAATAATGGAAATAACTCTCTGTTGTAAATTTAACTCTATGCAGCATTTCTGTCTGAGAGAGGAGATCAATTATCTAAAGTTCTCTCAACCTCCTTTTCAGACAAACTTATGTACAAATTTCTGGAAGCATTGAAATCCTGATTTCCCAAGGGAAGCTGGGCTGCATTTGCTCCCTCTAAGGATATTTTGGCTAATGCACCAGGAGCTGAATTTTGGTAACCTGCAGTAAGTCTGCATTGCTTCCCAGGACCATGCAGCCTGCTCAGGCAGCCACGCACACTCTGCGGGCGAGTTAAATGCCGCCCTCAGAAGAGCTCAGCATAGATGGGATGATTTTTAGGACCTTACCTGCCACAGATTTGTACGGTTCGGCTGAAACTTGTTTCCCCAGGGATACACCCTTTCTGCCAAAGAGGAAGAGACACCTATTACCCCTGTGTCACTCCAGCCTCTGCATTTGCCTATTTTTAACCAAGCTTTTATGACTGTCCTTTTCTGCTCAGCTCAGGACACTGACAGTGGTTATATGAATGCAGCTTGACGGTCTAATCCCTACAGACACTGCCAGGGAGGGAAGGAGAGATGGGAATCAGCAACAGCTTCCCATTTACTCATCTTTCAAGAACAACTTTCCCATCACTCACACCAGGGAGTCCCATGGTCCCCCCAGTCATCCCAGCGCCTGCTTTATGCCACCATCAATGTGTGGAGACAGGTGGGTCACTCCTTGCCCCAAACATTAAGACCACAGACAAGCCATTTCTCCCTATATTATTACTATTTTGATTCCTAGGCCAAAAAAGGTGGTTCAGCCCCCCCAGATTAGCCTCTGAAAACATCCCTGGATAGAGGTTTAGAACTGGTAGAACTAACATTACTCAGTGCCTCAGTTTGCAAAAAGGTCAGAGCTTGTGGTACATACGCTCCAGTCCTCCCCTGGCAGCAAATTCCCACTCCTCCTCTGCCAGGAGCCTCTTCCCTTTCCAGGCACAGAACGCTCGCGCGTCGTTCCAGCTCACGTGCAGCACCGGATAATCCAGCCTGTCCTTTATGCTGGAGCCAGGACCCGAGGGCTGGGAAGAATTGCATCAAAAAGGTTTTAATTGATTTTATAAACTTTTCAATTAAAAAGGGACTAAAGGACAGAACAGGCCAAGGCAGGGAATGTGCAGCAACCAGAAATGCTGCTTTTTTTCCTCTATTTTCAGTCAACAAGGTTCAGCACACACACTAACACCTTCATGCTCCCAGCACAGAGAGGACTCACTGCACTTGATTTTTACTCACCTGTCGCCAAAAAGCCTTCTCGATGGGCAGCCACCAAGGGGCAGACTGGGAAAAGAAGCAACACCAGATTAAAGCTGAACTGGTGACACATCCCCACCACCATCCTACAGCAGTGTGTGTAATGAAAAGTGCTTGTAAGTCTGGAAGTGGTTAAACGCTGCAGTTTGAGCTGGGTTTTCACAGGCATTTTGATAATGCTTTCCAACAGAATAAAGGTGTCTGCTTTTAAAAGTGAAAATGGATCAAGAGATCCATGCTGTTTAGTTTTTCTATTTTAAAGTTTGATTAATAAAGTACTTTGAAATGCGCTTTGCTCTCTCCCAGCTCGCTGGAGCATTTCACGAGTCAAGTCTGACAGTGTTTGCAGAGGATGCAAATCAAGCCAGACTCAACCCTGCTGTTAGTTTCCGAAGCAAAACAACCCAAGACTAAAGAAAAAACACTGCAAAATGGCCAGGCTCTGCACTGAGAGGTAGCTGCTACTCAGTGGAAAGGCAATACCGGCAAGAGTCTCTTCTCCTGTTTCTTTTTTTTTTAACTTAAAACAGAGAGGTCAGACAGGGGGGTGATCAGACATACCATCTCCATCAACATCACTGAAATTCATCCCCATGGGATTTAGATTTACCTCCAGTTTTTGGGTGACTTTTTTTTTCAGCTCTTCAGATACGAAATCCTCAAAGACAAAGCTCCAGCCAAATGCTTCTGCTTCTGTTTTGTATTTCTTTTCTCTAACAAACTCCCTGGCATAAACACAACACACTCAGGGGTCTGGGTAGGAGTTCTTCAGGAGTCGCATGACCAAATACAGCAATCTGCACATGCAACAAGTTCAGAGCAAGGCAAAACGTACACGACCTACAGACACCCCATCTGCAGAGTCCCAGCTCCTCCCCAGCACAGTTCAAGTTGGTTTGATATAGAGTTAACAGATAAAGCAGTCCAATTTGCATCTGTTCACAGATCTGATAGGTTTTATGTTACATATGCAGGTAAACTCACCTTGCACTCTGGTCTTCCATAAAACGTAAAAATTGCACAGATCAAAAATCCCTTAAAAGCCACTAAAACCTATGGCTGCTGTTAGTTATATGTCCCCAAAATGCAAAAGAATGTCACATACTGCTGAATAATCTCACCCTCCTTCTGTCCCATTTGTTCCCCAATCGCCTAAATTGCAGTAATTGTCATTACTGTGTGTTGCTGGGCAGTTACTGGTGTGTGGAAGCGTTGGCTCTTTTTAACCAACAAGGGCTCAGCCAGGCAAATAAAGGCATTTCCATTTCCACCAGTGCATTTATCAGTGCTCTGTACAAGGGATTCTATAAAATACATGGAATAGTCAGGTGTTTACAAATGGATATTGAACCTATAGGAACCTGAAACCTGAAGCTGTACAGCCCTATTAGTAAGAAAAAGACACATGAAAAAGTGTGTTTGCATGGAAAAGAGAAGAAAAGGAGGGGGGAAGAAGAAAAGGAGGGGGGAAGAAGAAAAGGAGGGGGGAAGAAGAAAAGGAGGGGGGAAGAAGAAAAGGAGGGGGGAAGAAGAAAAGGAGGGGGGAAGAAGAAAAGGAGGGGGGAAGAAGAAAAGGAGGGGGGAAGAAGAAAAGGAGGGGGGAAGAAGAAAAGGAGGGGGGAAGAAGAAAAGGAGGGGGGAAGAAGAAAAGGAGGGGGGAAGAAGAAAAGGAGGGGGGAAGAAGAAAAGGAGGGGGGAAGAAGAAAAGGAGGGGGGAAGAAGAAAAGGAGGGGGGAAGAAGAAAAGGAGGGGGGAAGAAGAAAAGGAGGGGGGAAGAAGAAAAGGAGGGGGGAAGAAGAAAAGGAGGGGGGAAGAAGAAAAGGAGGGGGGAAGAAGAAAAGGAGGGGGGAAGAAGAAAAGGAGGGGGGAAGAAGAAAAGGAGGGGGGAAGAAGAAAAGGAGGGGGGAAGAAGAAAAGGAGGGGGGAAGAAGAAAAGGAGGGGGGAAGAAGAAAAGGAGGGGGGAAGAAGAAAAGGAGGGGGGAAGAAGAAAAGGAGGGGGGAAGAAGAAAAGGAGGGGGGAAGAAGAAAAGGAGGGGGGAAGAAGAAAAGGAGGGGGGAAGAAGAAAAGGAGGGGGGAAGAAGAAAAGGAGGGGGGAAGAAGAAAAGGAGGGGGGAAGAAGAAAAGGAGGGGGGAAGAAGAAAAGGAGGGGGGAAGAAGAAAAGGAGGGGGGAAGAAGAAAAGGAGGGGGGAAGAAGAAAAGGAGGGGGGAAGAAGAAAAGGAGGGGGGAAGAAGAAAAGGAGGGGGGAAGAAGAAAAGGAGGGGGGAAGAAGAAAAGGAGGGGGGAAGAAGAAAAGGAGGGGGGAAGAAGAAAAGGAGGGGGGAAGAAGAAAAGGAGGGGGGAAGAAGAAAAGGAGGGGGGAAGAAGAAAAGGAGGGGGGAAGAAGAAAAGGAGGGGGGAAGAAGAAAAGGAGGGGGGAAGAAGAAAAGGAGGGGGGAAGAAGAAAAGGAGGGGGGAAGAAGAAAAGGAGGGGGGAAGAAGAAAAGGAGGGGGGAAGAAGAAAAGGAGGGGGGAAGAAGAAAAGGAGGGGGGAAGAAGAAAAGGAGGGGGGAAGAAGAAAAGGAGGGGGGAAGAAGAAAAGGAGGGGGGAAGAAGAAAAGGAGGGGGGAAGAAGAAAAGGAGGGGGGAAGAAGAAAAGGAGGGGGGAAGAAGAAAAGGAGGGGGGAAGAAGAAAAGGAGGGGGGAAGAAGAAAAGGAGGGGGGAAGAAGAAAAGGAGGGGGGAAGAAGAAAAGGAGGGGGGAAGAAGAAAAGGAGGGGGGAAGAAGAAAAGGAGGGGGGAAGAAGAAAAGGAGGGGGGAAGAAGAAAAGGAGGGGGGAAGAAGAAAAGGAGGGGGGAAGAAGAAAAGGAGGGGGGAAGAAGAAAAGGAGGGGGGAAGAAGAAAAGGAGGGGGGAAGAAGAAAAGGAGGGGGGAAGAAGAAAAGGAGGGGGGAAGAAGAAAAGGAGGGGGAAGAAGAAAAGGAGGGGGGAAGAAGAAAAGGAGGGGGGAAGAAGAAAAGGAGGGGGGAAGAAGAAAAGGAGGGGGGAAGAAGAAAAGGAGGGGGGAAGAAGAAAAGGAGGGGGGAAGAAGAAAAGGAGGGGGGAAGAAGAAAAGGAGGGGGGAAGAAGAAAAGGAGGGGGGAAGAAGAAAAGGAGGGGGGAAGAAGAAAAGGAGGGGGGAAGAAGAAAAGGAGGGGGGAAGAAGAAAAGGAGGGGGGAAGAAGAAAAGGAGGGGGGAAGAAGCATGTTTACAAGCTACACAGGAAGGATGGTTCAGCTTGTACCCATAGAGGTGATTTATTACTGACAGACACATTTTTTTGTTCTAATGAAAGTGCTGGGAGCATCCAACCACTGGCTTTCAGACCACAAGAACCAGCCCCAAAAGACCCAGCACCAACATCCATGTCCTCCCCGCAGTTGCCTGAGCTACCGAAACCCCAAATCACCGCCCTTACCTGAAATCCCTGTTTGTGACGGGGTACTTGTCGACAGCAAATGGCTTCACTGTCACCTCCCTGACAGGCCCCTCTTCATTTCTCTTCTCCAGGGAACTGAATCCCATCTGAAACTTCCCGCCAGGCAGCTGCACCATGTCTTCATTATTTCCAAACGCTAAAAGTGAAGAAATTCGGTATGAGAATTTTTATCTTTAAACACGACCGCACATGACTGTATGAATTATTTGCCAAAAAAGCCACTTTATGTACCGGAGGTAGGGTGCAATACAGTAAGCAACTATGATTAGCATTTGTGTAAGTCTGCATTTTTTTGATAACAAGCTTAAAATATTTTAAAAGCCCCATTTTCAGTGTCTCTCTCGGGAAAGGAACGCCCTCAAGTTAGGTGAAATCAGCAAGGCAGCTCCTTGAAATTCATGGCTTGCTGCAGTTAGAAGAAAGGGAAGCTAGGCAGGGAAGAACCCCACTGATTTGGAAGGCAGAGGGAGCGGCAGAAGCAGCACCGGCTCCCGCCCTCACCCCGCAGAGCGCGGCTGCAGCCCAGCACCCCGCCCCAGGCCAGCAGCGCCAGCGCCATCCCCGGGCGGGGCACGCGGCGGCTCCGCGGGGCTCCCACCCGGAACCGCTGCGGGCTCGCGGAAGTGCTTCCGGGCCGCTGCGCCCCGGGAGGGCGGGCCCAGCCCGGCCCCGCGGCGGGCAGGCTGCCACGCGTGGGCGGCGCGGCGGGGTCACGCGTGTTTTAGGGTTAGTGAGGGGCGGGGTTGTTATCTAAGGGCAGGGATACTTCCCTAACACGGCCGTTACACAGAATTTCGCCTCCGCTCGCGAGGAGCCTCCTGCTACCGGGGCCAGCAACAACCCCCCACCCTGCCTTGGGGCAGTGAAGCGTTTCACGTGCAAAAGGAGTTTTCTGGGGTTAATTTTTTTTTTTTTGTTTTGTTCTTTTTTTTTTTTTTGAGGGGGGGGGCTGTGTGGTGGTGTTGTTTTTTTTGGTCGTGCTGTTTTTTTGTGTTTTTTTTTTTTTTTTCCATTCATCCAGCCACACGGGACCCTTCTCTTAACAAAAGCACAACCAAGATTAGGGAAAATCATGTAAGACTGCAGGAGCCTGCTCCCCTCCCATAAACCCAGCCGCCTCGCTGGGGTAGGCTTGGATGCAGTTCTGCCTAGACCACCTGGTGCAGTAGTGGTTGTCCATAAATCCTTTAACAGATCAGGAACAGCATTAAAAATCTTTTAAAAAAATCCTTTTATATAAAGGACAACACTATGCACCAGGTCTTTTCCCACACTTCACTCCGCAGTGAGTTAACTCAGCTTTATTTGTAAGCAACTACAAAACTATGAAGCACTTGTCTTAGTACAGCTTTACAGTGAACAAATTCCAGGTCTGAACCCCTGCTCCTGCCGCAGCAGAGCCCGGAGCAATATTTTCACAGCCACTCCAAGAGCAGGAAGGCAGGGCCCTGGGAATGGGGAGTGAAGCCCAGCTGGCAGAGCTAGGAGCCACAACCTGCACAGCTCTAGCCCACCCCTGCTTGCTCAGGCTGTGAGCAGCATCTGCAGAGCTCCTGGCCCAAGGAAGGTAAAGTTTTAAATAACCAACACATATAAAGCACAGAACATAACAGTTTATTGGGTAAAAAGGAAAGCAACTTCAGTTGTACACTTCAGTGAAATTAAAAATAAATAACTGATTTTGAGAGCCGAATATTTGAACAAGCTGCTAATATTTTGCATGGCCATGTTTACTGAAGAGGGGCTGCAGTTACAGCAGAGTAACTTCCGTTGCTGAGAAAATCCACCCCGGCTAAGAAAAGAGCGCCTTCAGGGGGATTTCTTAGACATTCCCTGGGGCACCACTGGAGCTGACCCACGTCGGCAACAGCAGATCCAGTTCAGCCTTTAAGAGAGGACATTCCAGCTCGCATAATTTCATCCACCAAGAGAATGTTGCTAGCGATCACCGTGCTAAAAATATTAAATAAATAATGTTAGAATAACGGTCTTGACATAGTTCAAAGACGACTCAGCATCATTTCTGCCTTTCAGGACAGCTTCCTCTATGTGGGATCCCTCGATTCCACATTACTCTATCACCAATTTCAATGATCAAACAGTCCTTGCTATTTAAAGTGAAAATGCTGTAACATTTACCATGAATGAAGCAGTTGCTTTTTGACATTATAATTATCCCAGATTCCAGCTGCTGCAGCTACCATTGGCTCACCTACAAAAGAAGTAAAAGTTTTTAAATAACATCTGCCAAGGGATTTTGCACAGCTTTTTATGAAAAAAAAGGTAAAGCTTTCTGCATTCAGAGCTGAGCCACGACAGTTTCTTACTAGAGCATCATCCCATTATTTTAGACAGTTCTTACCAGTGTTCAGATCAACTCCAATGAGTTGCCCCGATTCTGCGTGCTCTGCCTGAACCTTCACCAGTGCTTCCTGGGGATCATACCCAGAGTTCTGAGCAAGAACCTTGAAGAGAACAGAGACATTATTTCATGCTGTTAACTGAAAGGCACCTCCAGCAGAAAAAGCAAGGGGTCTTAGTGTGCTTTAAAGCCACTTTATTCAGCAGCTCCTTATACCTTAGGAATGATGAGCAGAGCATCAGCAAAAGCCTGAACTCCAAGCTGGGCTCTTCCTTTTACATTAGGCTTATGTTTAACAAGAGCATTAGCTACCGCCACTTCTAGGGCACCTGCTCCTGGAACCACACACCCTGCAAGGCAAAACTCGATATTGAGACTTCACAGTAAGTTCCAATTTACACTGTTCATTTTAGTGTAGTTTGATCTCTTCCCTCATCCTTAAAAAGACAGCTCGTATCTGATCAGTTAAGTACTTACACAATTATCAACGACTTGTAAAATACAAGGTGAAATAACAGTAACTAAAAGCACTTCACATTGAAATACCCTTAGCTTGGTGTCTGACTGCACTGGATACCAAGGAAGCCAATGCAAAATTCACTAATTTTGAGAGGAGTTTCACCAGAAGATCCTTAACATCACTAAATAGAGCAGAGACTTACCATCCTCAATAGCGTTTTTAACAGCACGCAGACCATCTCTTACTGCATCCTTGATTTGTGTGAGCGTATGCTTATTGGGTCCCCTGATCAACAGGGTAACAGAGCGGGGGTTGTCACATTTCTCAATGAAGGTGTATTTCTCTTCACCCTGTAAACAGGGTTATGTATTCATGTCATACATTTGCTTAATCAACATACACATGTAATAAAAAAACCCCCAAAACTGAACAGACACTTTCAGATCCGTTCTGCACTAAGAGAACTTCAAGAAGTGATGAGAAGCAGAACCTCCTTTCTGTTTTTCTGTTTTACGGGTATTAAAAGCACAATATGGAAATAACAGGAAAATACAATATGACAAGAGCAAATATCCAGGTAGATGTTCACATACAAGTGGACACTGAGATGTGAAATGCCACCAGCCTTTATTCATGCTCCAGTATAGCTCGTAAAACTCTTAAGAGAAATCCATGCACAGACATATCAAGGCAAAAGAAAATCTGGCATCAAGTGAGGCACATTTATTCTGCCTTCACCTGGACGCTTCGTCGTACTCACCAGTGTGTACTCGTAGACAAGCCCTGCATGTCCCAGACAGTCAGGAGTGAGATCCTCCACAGAGTTCATGGCAGTACCACCACATGCAAGGGTCAGTCTGAGAGAGAATACGTACAGTTTAGCACCTGCTTTCTGTTAAGTAAAATCTGAAGTCACTAACATAACAATAGTGTTTAAGCATGCAGAACACCATACTTCCAAGCTTGGAACAGTTTGCTTCTGTTCATGAAAGAGCTCTTTGCAAAAACAAGCTGGCAGAATTAAGACTCCTCTACAGGTGTCTACATTTGAAGCACATGGATAGCTCAAATTCCTGCACCACCCAGTGTGCTGAACTGACACTTCTATGGCTTGTACAAACTACCCTAAGTTACACCAGTAAGAGAGGGAGAGATTGAAGTGGACTTTTTAGCACAAGTCCTTAAAGCTGGATTCAAGCCAGACTTGACTCAGTTTGAGCTTGGAGGAACAAGTTATTTTACCCACTCCTCTCCCCAGGAACTGACCTTTCCATGTTCCTCCTCTTAGCTCTCCGCAAAGCAACTATTCCTTCTTTTGCAAGTGCATCCAACGAAAATGGGTCAATTCCCTGGAAACAAAGTGAACATCAGACTAAAGAAAAAGGTAAAAACACCCTCTCTTGTCTGATATTAATAAGTTCTTCCTCAAGGCTCAGAGATCTCAAGTAAGAACTGTATGCATATATTCAAAAGTACATCAGCCTAAATTTACCTATTTCTGTCTGAAGAACTGTACAAAGTGAGTCAAACACCACAGAGCTTGCCAAGAAAGCCAGCATTTCAAATCACTTTTTCTAGTTAGTTATACCCTTCATCTCACCTTCTGGTTGATCACAATAAATCCTTTATCTGAATCGCCACAGACTCTTCTTTTCAAGTCTACGATTTTGTTCACTCTGTCTTCGATGAACTTTCTTTCTGCTTTCACTAGTTTCTCTCTCTCTTCAGCACTTTTATAGAAGAATCCAGAGCTCACCTCTCTGTAGAAGAAAAACAAAACAAAACAGTGAGACAACTATCCTCTGTGCTGTAAAAATAAACTTAAGCTTAAAGAATCAATCTTCTCAGCTACATTCTAATAAAAACAAACAAAAAAAACAAAAAAAAACCCAAACAACAAATCAAACAAGAACAACCCCCACAACCAGCATGCAACATGTAGCTGTTCCTGATTTCTAGTTCAGAGCTTTTCCACTTGCAACTGAGCAAACTCTGAAGTGTATTTAGATGTTCGCTCGACAACACAAAGTTATGCTCAAGAAAGGAAGTACTTCCAGCTTTTCTTCAACAAAACACAAAGTAAAAATCACTATGAGGCTCTGCCTCTCATAGACATTCTCTCACCCACCAGCTTCCCTTTTCCAAAAAAGGGCTGCAGAAGGAGCATCATCTCTTCTATTCCACCTTCTATGCTAACCACCTCGTTCTGGAAGAGCCTGTACAGTCCTTCTGATTCTTACTTAAGCACACCTTAAATAAGTCTTTTAAGACAGGAACATTTTCTGCTCCTCACCTTGTTGCTGTGTACTTACGTTTTCTCATATTCTAGAGATACATTGCAAGTAAGAACATAAGCATCTTCCACTCTTTTCTTCATGTCAGGATGACGAGCACCATGATCCAAAACCAGCCCCCTAATCAGTCTGAAAGATTAAAAAGCATTTTGCGTGTCAAAGATACACATTTCATGGAAATGCAAACTATTCAGAGAATTTATAGTGCAACTGGTCCAACATGAATTGCCTGTGTTGGGAGTAAACAATGATTATGTATCCCACTTCCAAGGGCACGCCCATCCTCATATAAAGAGCATCCCAATCAGTGTGAAAAGGGAATTTATTCTGGCATAGTGTCTGACTGCATTAGCTACTGAGGAAAGCTAGTGCAGAATTCATCCATGCCACTGAGATAAATACAAAACCTACAGAATATCCAACTAGATGAACACAATCGAGTTTCCATTTATCGAATGTTATTTTGTACTTGTAATGAACAGATACAAGCCTAAAACATAACTGAGTCACAGACACTATTACAAAAACAATTTATTCAATGTTGCTATATAAAAGCCTAAGCTAGTATTACTCTGCTACTCAAAAAAATCTCTCGCCAGGGAATCAAATTCAGTGACTGGGAAATTGCTGCTACCTAGGTAATTTATGACTGAAATCTGTATTTCTGCCTTTCTTTCACCACTTCCCCCAAAACTTTTCCATTGTTAGCTTTAGGACACCCATGTTCTTCTAAAAAGAAAACAAAAACCCACAGACTAGCCAAACCTCAGGGCACCATTAAACTGAAGCTCGAGGATACTCATTACTTACGTTGTGTCAGTTTCTGATTTGTGCTTCATCTCCATAATCTCCACCATGTGGAGGTCAATAGGCTCATCGGGTTTTCTGACTGTCAAAACAGAATCCACTACAGCCTGGAATAGAGGGGAGGGAAAAAAAGCCCAAAAGGACCATTAGGCTTCCAAAGCACTAGCTCACATCTTTCCATTCACCCTTCACTCAAGTAATAATCACAGCACTTTAAAACCTGGACCTCTTCACACAAAAAGAAGCAGAAGAGACACATAAGCTTACCTCTGTTAGGATGTCAGCAAGCTCGGTATGAACTTTAGTACGGAGGGATGTTCTGGCAACATCTATAAGGGTCTCCCTGTCCATTTCCTTGGTTACTTTGACCTGCTCCAAAACTTCAAGTGCCTTCTCCTTTGCAATCTCAAATCCTTCTGCTACTATTCTAGGGTGCAAACCCTAGTGCAAGGGAAGAAAGAGAAATCATTAGACAATAGAAAACAAAACAGTACTTTTTCCCAAATAGAATCTGTGGTTTCAACATTCCATGTAAAGTCAAAACATAGGGAATACGCATCCTACAAGGTAAGAAAATGTACTGTCCTTCTGAATACATGTAAAAGGAATGCAAATCCTTCCAATGCAGAGGAAAAGTACAGATTATTCTAGCACAGAATTGAAACCAAGGGAACTACAAAGAGCACTTGGGTGTTCACTGTGCAATGTAAAATATTCTGCAACTTATAGTATCCAAAATACCTACTATCAGGTAGGATCTCCTTGTTAACATACAAGTAAAAGAAGTGGTTTAACTCACACAGAGAGAAGTAACAGGAGGTATTAGATAAAACCTTATTAAAAGCTATAGTATCCACAGTAAGTAGTTTTGATTGTGAACAAGTCTTTAAGTGCTCCTCTCCAGCTCTTCCCTATTTTACAAGTTCTGTGATGCAGTCATTTGAAGCAGAAACAGATATAAATTTTCATGTTTGACTTAAGAGTATTAAGCATTAAACAATACAAGTTGAATGGTCTCAGATGAAGCTTTTAATTTGCTCACCTACAAAAGAAATACTGCATACATACCTCGGAAATATAGAGATCTGCCTGCTTTAAGAGCTCTCCAATGATCAAGACATTTGAAGTGGTACCATCTCCAGTGATGTCATCTTGCGCCGTTGCTACTTTTGCTATCAAGGAGGCTGTGGGGTGTTGTATTTGCTAAACAAAAAGAAGCAGCCGAGCAGTAAGTCTTACTGCACTGGTACAGGAAGAAAGCAATCTGAAATCAGCTAAACAAAATTAAATATTTTTTGGACTAGTTGACGTTTCCATGATTCATGTCAACTCAGTAGGTTTCAATAAATAATGCCAATTAACAACAACAATTACTTTGATAATAAATTGAGTGAATTAATCCATATAATACTAGTTCCCCCCTCAGATTATACATCTATACACAAAAATGTTTAGTGCTAAGAGCCAAACTAATCCTAAACTCATTATAAGCTTGACAGAGTCCTTTTCTCCTTTAGGCAAAGGATGCACCATCACAACTAGACTGTTGCTGGCACTAGAACCAGCGTATTTAGACCTAATTTAGGAATCTGCATGATCAGTGTTGCACATACCCTAACTGGCTTGCTATTACTTTGGCAGTTTATTTTATTCATTCTTATGAAACTAAAGAACACTCAATTACTTTGTTTCTTGCCAGTTCCTCTGCTAAGTAGTACAACTGGTGTTCCAGCCTTAAGCATCACGCTTGTCTGGCCAAACTTCACAGACACCACACATGACCTTAGGCTACTTACAGAAGTTTTAATATAAAAAACACACATATTGCTTAGCATCTCCAGTAGCTGCCTGAAGAGTATGTTAACATAGGTTATGAACACAGGCCTTGGAACCTACAGAACACTATCCACATTTGAAAAAGCTGGTGCTTAGTAACTGTACTAGAGTGAGATAAAATCCAGTGGGACCATTTATATGGTTGTTTAGCTTTTTATCGTTATTTTCTTTAAAGTACTACCTCTACTGTGAAAGAACCGATTTAACGATTTTTTTTTCCTATCTGCCAGATCACTGTGCATATTAATCTCAATACTTGATGCTGAATTACAACAGACAGCTAGTGGAGTATAATACTCCACACGCACCAACATCCCGTGTTCAGCCCCACCAGCCCGGGGACACAGGGCCCACAGTAGGCCCTGCCATGCCACCAGTCACCATCACGGGAGAGCCCATGGGGCGAGCGGTGGGACGGCACCAACCCTCCTGTAATCTTCACCCCTGCAGTGGGGAAACTGATGCATCCCCAGATTCGACCTAGAAGTGCTATGAGCTGCATCCATCACCCAGATTTAAACGCTTTGCAAGCCGTGCACCAGTGGTGAACGCAGGTGTCTTAGTGCTCAAGCACAATAGAAGCATGCTTGCCGAAGGCGACAAAAGCGCCAACATCATTATTTCAACTGTTCATGCTTCCTTTTAAATTGCCAAATTGGCATACAAACTTCATCCAACATCAACCGAGTTGCACTTACTTCTTTACCTTCCTTCCAAGGCACATTTTGGCCTCGATGCACAGGGGTAAACACCACAGAAATGCGGGCTGGGGGCAGCTGGGGACGCGGTGCCCGCTCAGCCACAGGCGCTCAAAAGCAATACCAGCAGGTTCCTGCCCCACCTCCCAGGTCCCCCCACGGCTCCCCAAAGTTCCCACCCCCGCCGGGCCAAGCTCACCATTTCCTGCAGCAGCACGTTGCCATCTTTGGTCAGCTTGATGTCTCCCGCTCCCGACACCAGCCTGCGGGCGACACAAGGCGGGTGAGCGGCCCAACCCCCGGCCCCGCCACACGTGCCCGGCCCCAGGCCCGCACCGCTCCCTCTCCATTCATTCAGCCCCACCCGATCCGGGCGGCTCCCGCCTTTGTTCCCCGCCGCATGGCGGAGGCAGGAAAACCGTCCCGGTCCCACAGGAGCCTCGCCCCCCCCCCCCCCCCCCCCCCATCTTGCTCCTCACGCTTCCCCTATGGCCGCCCGCCCCAATCCCAACCCCGACCCCGACGAGAGGTGCGGGGGGGTTCCCTCACATTTTCATGGTGCCCTTGGGGCCCAGGTTGGTCCTCAGCACGTCCTGGAGCCCGCGGGCCGCGCTGATGTTCACCGCCAGCGCCGCCTGAGCGCGGGCCACCTCGGCCTTGGGGTTGAGCGCCTTCACCGCCATGGCCGCCGCTCCGCTCCGCTCCGCGTTGGGCCGGCCGGGGCGGGGCGAGCCTCAGGCCCCGCCTCCCCGTCCGCCCCTTCTAGAACACTCCGGGGTGCGCGCGCGCCCATTGGCCCGCGGCCGCGCTGGCCGCGTTTCCATTGGATACGGCGCCTGTCGCTCCCGCTGGCCCGCTCCCGCCCGCCGCCGCGGCGGTGAAGCGGGAGCGCGGCCGCCTGAGGGGGGGCGGCCGGGGGGACTGGAGCGCCGTGTGGGGACAGGGACTTGGAACGGGCAGGGTCACTCGGTCGTTAATCCCAGCTACTCATGTGACGGACACCCCGCGGCAGGTTCGCCGAACCGTGAGAATAAATAATTAAACTCCGGGATTTAACATTAGATCGATGGAATTAATAGTTAAGCGGACCGGATTAATAATCAAAATGGTTCCTGGTAAAAATTGAGAGTTGAGGTTAATCAAAACTTCTCTTCATACAGGCGATGCTGCGTGTGCTGCTGGGGCCTGCCCGGGCACCGCAGCACAGCCCCGCACGCCCAGGCCATTCCTGGGCCTGAGCCCTTCACAAGGCTTTCTAAGCACAGGGGATGATCTCTGCTGGGGCTGTGCAGAGGTTTCCCGTGGAGCCTGTGGAAGAAAAACACTGTTGAAGTCAAGGCAGCCTTGATGGGTGCTGAAAGTGTTTGGCTTATGTGGCCTGTAAGAGCCCAGACCTTGAGGCTGTGAAACATTTGCATCTCGCTGGCTGCGGGCTCTGAAATGGAGGATGAGTGACAATTTCCCTTAAGAGGAGCTTGAGAAGAGAGCTGCTGCCATGGTTCCCGACACCACAGGCACAGATCGCATCAAGTTTGGCTCCCACATTGCCCCATCTGGGCTTGTAGCCCCAAACATCCATCTGCTACATCTAAGCAATTGTCAATATCAGGCGTGACACAACCCTCCTGTATAGTCACGTATTATGTAAGGAAGGTGCCCACCCCCAGAATAATCATGGCCCATGGCTGCAGGGGCATGCCTGGGAGATCCAGGACAAGCGGTTTTTGGTGTTCCTGCAGCCCATCTGCTCTGGGGGGTGCTAACCCCCAGCAACCAGGGACAATTGGCCCCAACGCCAGGATTTACCCAGTATTTGGTACAGAGAAGAAAAACAGCCTCCCCAGTGCTCATCCATCAGGCATGAGGATGGCACAGGGTAAACCTCCCTCACTCCGTCCCACTCTTTGCAGCAGGGAGCCCTGTTTGCAGCCCTGGATGCTGGGCTTCAGCAGCCCACTGTAGCGACACTGAGCAGCAACGCAATGGGTTGTTCATGGTATCACACCACTTAGTAAAGTCTAAGCTTGCTGTTGGGTACAATTTTGTTGCACACGCATTTTGGGGGAGCTTGACTGAAACAGTGAGTGGGTGTCAAGTGTCAGGGCAGACTCGCCAGCCTCACTGGTTTTGCCGATAGGCTGTGGCACTGGCTGGGAATCTGCTCTGCTGCTTTGGGTGAGGATCTCAGGTTTCTGGGCAAAATGCCATGCTGCACAGGAGGACTCCCATGCATGGCCTGGCAGTCTGACTTGGCAGGTCGGAAGGGGACAGCTGCTGCTAATATGCTTGGGGTTCTGTTTTTTAAATGTTTTAGATGGAGTTGGTGTTTGAACATGATACAACAGAAGTTTGGAGCCCTTTTGTTTAGCTGAGCAGTGCATATGTCTTGTGAAACATTTTAATGCTGACTCTTTAGTATAGTGACTGAGCTTTCAGTTCTGTCACTGTAGTCATTAGAAATAAACATTAAACATTGCAAAATGCAGGAAATTACACTTTGCATTTTATAATTGGCTCGAGAACTCTCCTGTTAATGTTTAGTCTTTACTTTTGTTTGGATGCTACCAGCCTGCTGAAACTGTAACAAAACAAAACACACCAACCCAGCCCTGAGAGGCTTCAGTGCTGATATCTAAGGTATCTAGATGCAGTGCCCTGTTAAAACACCTGTATCCCCAGGTCTGCCCTAGATTCTGTAGCCAACAGGTCACACACAAATATTTTTCTATTCTTGCTTCTTTGGTTTGTCTTTTTTTTTTTGCCATAATCCTCTCTCGGGACTGTTCTCAGCAGAGGGCAGCCTTGTCAAACCCATACACATACCAGCAGGCACGCTGTATTTTATGTTTTCCTTGATGCTGTTCTGTGACCTGTATGGGTGATGTTCCATGGAGAGGCAGAAATTACCCATCCTAAACACCTGTGACGCGTGGGGCTGGCTGCTGACAGTGATATGGCTATTTCCCAAGCAGGTTGAGGTTTGCGAGGGGAATTATTACTGTAAAAAAAAAAAAAAAAAAAAAAAAAGCAGTTGTTCTGGGAAAATTTAGTTTTAATTTTACATGGACTTTTTGGGGGGAGGAAAAAAAAGAAAACCATTTTCAAAGATATTCTAGTCCTTCATGTAGGTGATCTCTGCTTTTTGTACAAATGGAGAGGTTTTGTAGTCACATACAAGAATTTGGTGCTGTGCTTGTATCAATAGTTACACATCCATGTGAGCTGTGCTTTTCACTCCTGAACATCCTCTTAAAGCTTCCAGGCAGATCTCTTTGTGTTTCTTTGCTGGATCACATATCAGAGGATAGTTATTTTATGGTATATTAATATTTCTCATTAGCATTTTCACATTAAATCCCCATTTTGCAGCATTTTTCAGACATCAGGACAAGCTTTTCTTCATTTTTCAATCTTAGCCGTAGTTGTTGAACTGTTCTGCATATTTGTTTTTAATGCATAGTAAAAATACAGGGCGGATGCTTACTAGACATAAATTGTCCTTTCGAATCAATGGATTTACAATATATTACACCAGAGTAAAGTCAAAATATTTAACTGAATTAAAACCAATGTGTCCATTAAACTAAGCCAAATAAAGGGAATATCCTTCATGAAATATTCAGCAGTAATTCTCTTAGTCAAATCATGCATTGCTTATCTTGGCAAAAACACCTCTGAGATTCTCAGTAAAAGTAGTTTTCTTTCATCTTTATCAAGATCTGTTTTCATTTAACCTTATTCACAGAAATGATTTCTAAATCTGTTTTAAAAACATACTGTCCTGCCACGATAAAACTAACAAACAGGACCAGACTGAACGGTGAACCATGTCACCAGTTTTGCAGCAAAGGGGCTTGGTACCAGCTTTTCCTGATACAAGAAGTTACTAATAGACTCTCATGTTGACAAATAGTCATGTACTGAGAACTTCTAAAAAAACATAAAGGAAGAGATGGGAGGAGAGGCACACAAGGCTATTGATTTTAATCAATGCATGTAATTTTGAGGGGTATTATTGCCGGAATGGCAAAAGAAATCATGCTCAGAACATGACTGGTGCATCCAGTGGTGCAGAACAGTCTTTCAAGCTGGACAGCAGTCATAAGACTCCTATTACAAGTGAATGAAAGAAGCTAAATCAGCTAAATCAGGTTTTCTTGACCTTGAACCAACCAACCATCTTCATAGTTCTGGATTAGCAATCTCCCATTTCCTAACCAATGTCCATAGTAATGTCTGAGGGAAGCTCTTCTGTGGGATGCCAAAACATGAGCACAGACAGGTTTTGAAATTTTTCTGTTGCTTTTGACATTGCACTTGGGGAAACAAAACAGAGGCTTCTCGTAAGCAAAAGTTTTAATTTTGCCTTCAAAGCTTTTTATGAAATTTTGATTTGATTTTTTGTGCGTGTAACACTGCACACTGAGTAGCAGCTGAAGCCAAAATGTAATATTGCAGTTTTAACTCACAAACCATTTAATCTCATCCACAGTGAAGGAAGAGTGTCCCTGCCTTGCCTCTGATTTCATGCCAAGAGAAAGTCCTGTCTGCTGCTTGTCAGAGCCCCTCCTCTGCTCTTGTCCCTCACCCTCCCGTGCTGGGGCTCTGCGTGGAGCGAGGTAAGTTTGCCAAGATCCGTCTTGTTCTCCATGCCTGTGGCACAGGCGGGCTGACAGGCGAACAAGCTCCCCATCATCTTGTGCGGGGTCTGCTCCCTGCCAAGACGTGCCTACCCAAGATGGGAGCGCCCCAAGCTGGGCCCGGGCGGCTCCTCCCCCGACGTAGGCAAGGTTACACCTCTCTTCCCCTACGCCTGTCAGCGAACAGCTGGACTTCTCTGGTTACATGTGTGCAACCATTTAAAAAAAACATTCAGGCTGGCTTACTCAGCAGATTATAAAAGAGTGATTTACAAAATGCGGCTTTCTTCCAGATCAGCCCGTGCCGTTGTATTTATGTGACTGAAGGTCTCAGCTGATCACTTCTTTTCTTGTGCAGCCAAGAGGTTTGCAGCAGCAGCAACAGCCACGGCCAGTACAATACTGTAAGTCACTGGGAATGTTTTTTTCTCTCAGTTTGGAAGGGGTAGGCAATTGGCATATCAGATCCATAACACCATGTTTTTCTAGCACAGAAAAGAAAAAGTATCTTCTGCTGGGTCTGTGACTGTGCAGCCCTGCAAGATGCAGCAGCAGTGTGGTGCCTGTTTTATAAAAGCAGCATGAATGAATGATGCAATCATGCAGGGGGGAAGCATCATCATTTTGTCAGGACAGGCAAGAGGGGATTGGAGAGTTGGGAGGTGTGTGTCAACATCTATCAGGTTCCTTCTACCCCTTTTCAACTACTTTTTAAAAGGGGCTTAAATAAATTCACTGTTAGGCACTGCTGTTCAGATATTAGTGTATAGCTCCAAACAATTTATCTCTTGACTTGCATACAGGTTTGTATTATTACCTTTAAAAATTGAGCAGAAAACTAGAAAGTGTAAAGCAAGATTAGTGTTAACGACTAACGATTAAGGTTAACGACTGAATCTTCTTATTCTCACACTGAAAACAATAGAAACTCACAATTATGGGTGGGTGGATTGAATTTTTCAAGGGTAGTACTTGAGTGGATATAAACAACAGTCGCAATTTACTTAAATATAATCTGCTTAAATGTATCCCCTTTCATCTAAAGCTTTCAAAACATATTGCTAATACTGAGAATTAAACCTCAGCATAGAAAAGCTGTATCACTATATTATTCCCATTTTACAGACATAGGACTAGAAACAATGAGGATTAAGTGGTTTATTTAAACTGTTACCCTGGAAATACTCATGTGAACATTCCTACAAGCAGGACCACTCCTGTAGTAGGAACAGGTCCTGAGAAAAGTTTCAAGAACTATTTTCCCCAAATCCCTTACTCTAAGCAGCAGTTTCCCTTTAGTGCAACAGAAACAGTTTAATGTGGTTGCATTTCTGTTAATCTCACTCCGTGTTCAATGCAATGTTATTCTGCTGTGGGAATGTATCTTGGAGTGTATCTTGGTGAAGTGCTCACTCCCACCTTGCTAAATGGGAAAGTGAATCAGAATCAAACACCAGAAACTCTTTGCAAGATAGGATATTCCTGAGTGATCTGTTTAAAAAGATATTTTAGGTAATATTTCATTAAGATTCACTTAATCTTAATTTTTTTCACAGCAATAAATGTGAACATAATGCATAGTAGCAGCACGGCAGCACTTCTGAAAGCTGAAATACGATAACAAGTGAAGTCTAGTCACAATGAGGATTTTGACATCTCGTCAAGATCTCATCAAAATATACCAGCCCCAGAACACCTGGAGTTCTGAGTACCGTTTACTTGTTCCTCTTGCATGATATGTAGCAGATAGTGCAGATGTTTTAGTTTCTCACAGTGCAGCAAGTGCCCTTCTTTGAAGGGTCAGCAAACAGTAAAGATTTCAGTTGTTTTCCTTTGACATGTGGTCTTACATAATTCCTGTGCTTGCTTCTGTGACTCCACCCTCTCTGTTAAGCAACAGAACTGTTTCTTGTGGAAATGCCAGGTTTTTTTCCAAATGTCCTAATGAAATACTTCATAGTCTGGAGGCAAGAAGATCTCATGGGAATTCCACTTTTCCCTTGTGATTTCCCTTTTCTCCATATTTATCTCAAATTTCACTCTACCTCTCTCTGTCACTCTTTTCTTATGTCTCCTCTAGTCACTTCATTGCCCATTGTTTCTTCTCTTCCCCATATTCTTTTTTTCAGCTTTTCCCACAATATTTTATTATCAGACCTGTTGAAATGTTTGCTGCTTGGATGCTTTTCCAGCATGCAAATAATAGGATAGGAATAGATTACCTATCTGAAATTCAACAGCAGAAAGATCAGAGATTTTCTACCCATTTTTCCTATGGAGACAGAACTCATTATTTGTGGGAATTTCTTTTTTCTTACCATCTCATTAAAACATTGACACATTTAAGCAATCAGATGCCCTGTATTTCAGAGTAATCTCTGCCAGCTGTAGAGGCCTGTACCACTCTGAAATAAAAAAATGCTGTTCCCTTACTACAGCTGTTAGAGATTTGTCGTAGAAGGTTTTACACAGCTTCAGTTCTTTGTGTCTATGTTTCCAAGTGACACCTACCTGTGGACAAGCTACTGTGTCTGTCCTTATTTCCTATGCACACTTACCTGAAGGTGAATTCTAGGCAGCTTTCTGGTGGATGACATGCCAGGATGGCCCAGTGACAATTTTGAAAACAAGGGAAGGAGCAGAACATCTCCTCCTTGTATTTTTCCCGACTCTGGTTTCCCATTACTCAATCACTAATAGCCTTGCCTTATGTTCTCATCTATGTTTAGGGCTGGGAAAAAAAATCCACAAGTTACTGAAATTAGCATGTTACCTTTTGGAAGGGCATTTGCTGGCTTCTGGAGCTGATGGTGACCCCTGGAGCTCTACCAACAAGGGCAGAAGAACCTTATTTCACTCCAAGTGAACAACCCTCAACTCCTAAAATTTGCTTTTCCCACCAGCAAGACTCCCTGCAATAGCTGACGCTTCCTTCATAGGTTCTCCTCTTTGCTCCTGTATGAGCTTCCCTACTTTACAGTTCATCTCAAGTTCTCCAACATGTGTGATGATACATTATCCAAAACCAGGTCTGTGTTTTCCAGGACTCGGTGCCCAGATAAAGCAGAAAGTAGAAAAATTTTAGCATGTCACAGGCCAAGGGAGATCAGGAACTACTGATGGTTTCTGCATTTCAAAACACAATTCTTCCCTTCCAACCTGTCAGTTCTAGGCACTATAAGCTACAGCTTGAAACTCTTTTGAAAGTTATTACACACAACAAAGAGAGGACAGGGTTAATTCCAACCATGGCTCCATGGCTGGTATCTGTAATTCTTCATCTAACTCGTCTGTTTGTCCTTCAAAGTGCAAAGTCCTCTACAGCAGTGGTCTCATCATTGTAAGGAGCATCCGGAAGGATAAGGAATATGGGAAATGGGGATACCAGAGAGAAGGAAAAGTTAATGTCTCTTCCTTCCCGCTCCCAATGTTTGTTTCTAGCAATAACATTTTTCTCAGAGAGATTGAGGACATGTATCCAGAAAAGTATTTCAGGTTCTCACCAAGAAATCACATCAGAGTGTGGTGTCCCCACAGACTGGCATTGCATCACAGTGTAGTAATGTTGCAGTGCAGCCTCAGGTTAGCATGAGGCAATGTGATGGCTTTGCATAATAAGAAATCAGTGCTAGAACACCGTGACGCAAATGTAACACCACAGTGATGCAACAAGTTTGTCCAGCCTTCAAAATTGGCACCAAACCCATGGCTGAATTTTTGGTGGACTTTATAATTTCCAGTAGGCTGGAAAAAATTAACACCCTGCCATTTAAAAAATGTTAGTGGATGTGGATTTTTTTTTAAATTCCACTGCACAAATTTATCTAGCCAATGGCTGTCAAGGCCTGCTCTAAAGTCAAAGCCCTCCTGCTCAGAAAAGCAAAATCTTCCACTGAAAATACAAACACAGTGCTGTGAAGCCAATGTCAAGTCAAGGCTAACGCAAAGTAAACTTGACATTCACGTGTCACCTGTCCACCCACTGCTGAGTCTTAGCTCAGAACCAGTCTCTGTCAGAGGGAAGTTTTTATGTTTGTGGCCATTTAAGAGAGAGAAGTTTCTCTAATGTGCCATGCTGGTGGCATCTGACTATTTCTTATATATACAGTGCAGTCCTTATAGAAAAGTATAAAAAACCCACATGCTGTCTGCAGTCAGTAATTCTTTAGTGAAGCTTCTAAGGCTAGACAAGAGTTTTACAACATGTCCATGCATGAAACAGCTCTGTTGTACCAAGAGTAGAGACCTGTCAAACTATGGTTCAGTCCTTGTTTCTGCCCTCCCCAGCAGTAGAGTTTGTAAAAGCTCTTTTCTAGAATATCTCCTCTTTATTGTGTACCCACTCACCTTTGCTTTCTGGCACACTGGGGAGCTTAAGCCCAGGCTCTGTCCTACCTGCCCACGCCTAAACCGAATGCACAGGGGGGAAGTATGGGCTTGGTGATATCTGCTCTCCCATTCTCACTCACACCTGCGAGGCAGATGAGCACTGAGGAAGCTACTGTGTCACCTTCTTGGCCTTGTGCAAAAGCCATGAACCCACATTGGTTACTGCAGTAGTGTGTTCACACCCAAAAAATGAACAGCTAGAACGACACTCTCAAACAGTACTGTTTCATGGCTGCCTTTGGATAGCTTTGCCTTTAATGTGACTTGCTCTCCCTGTTTCTTGCTATTTCATATGTACCTGTTTGTTAAACAGGGATTATCTATTATAAATATGGCTCTTGGCTGTTCACAACAGGTTTCACCACTTAGGTTTGGTGGCTTCATTTATACAGACTTTTACCTTTCAATGAAGGACTGGAGTATTCTCTTTTATTCTATACACATGAACAGGTAAAAGATGAGTGTGTGTTCTATACATTTTTTCAGTGATTATGGTAATTTTTCATAAAGCCTTTTCTATCCCAATATTTACCACATGGTTACTAGTCATGGGAATAAAACCAAAGGTTTCCTTTTCTGTTTTGACCATTAACTATTTAGCTGTGATCTCTCAGTGAGCACACAGAAGTCACCTCAGGAAACAGCACTGATGCTTACCATGTGTGATCCCTGATTGACTCCTGTCTGGCAGTGAGCTACTTCAGTACCGATCAGCTCCTGTACTTTCCCACAGAACAGTATATAGTGATCATCTTCTTCATCTTCACCGGATGTCTTTTGTATCTGGGGGTGAAAAGTTTGTTCAAAAAGGGCAAAAAATAAATGTTTTGTGGGCACCTGTGTGTATAAGACCTCTTACCATCAAAATTAACATGATATATAGGAGAAAAATAAATTAGCTTAGTAAAAGGAAAACAAAAGATGAAGGTATATAACACAATGAATGTATACGACATACTTTTTGATGCTATTTTTTTCCATATCCCAGAAAAAGAGAGAACCTGCTACCTAGATCAATTACGCAAGATGTGTTTTGAGGGACATCTAAGAGATTAGAAGAGAAAACCACACACATTCTTTTACAAAACTCTGGGAAGTGAGCTAGATAGAAAGCTGTTATTTCTGTCTAAATGTACAGATTGGTAAATAGCAAAGTCCACACTGAATTCCCTTATGAAGGGCTGAAGCACAAGATTAGTAGAGAATAAGGAAATACTCAATTAACATCTCGTGCTTCTGATCTGCAGAAGTGCTCAACATATGTAAGTGGACAGATATAAAAGGGAATAAAATAATCTTTTGTCAGGCATTGTTATGGAAAAAGTTGTGTCATGATGTAACATCTTAACAGATGAAGTTCCCAAAACCCAAGACTTTAATGGATTTTATAAAAGACTAATTCCCAGTGTTAATGGCCAAATCTTCTATACATTCACAGATTATGAGACTATTTAGTTTATATTAATCAGGACACAGAAAAGGATCTAAACCTTCATGGTTTAGGGACAACCACTCCCTAAACCTGATAAGTTTAAGATAGTTGTGTCTACTGTGATCAAGCAATCCTTTAAGGGCTGGGTGTCTTTCACTATCTGCTGGAGCAACTAATCTGACACACTAGACTGGGTCTAATGAGAAATCAAGATCCTTTTGAGCAGTGAGGGCAAGATAAGAGAGAGAACTGCAAGACCCACATAGCAGTTGGCAGCGTGATGGTTCAGCAAATGCCAAGTATTACAACCTTGAACCCCATGTGAACATCAATGGGCTGAGCCTGCAGAGAGCAAATCAGCAACTAACCAACGCTCCACAGCCCACCTGTAACGTAAATTGAACATCAGTAGGCAGCAACAGCAGAGAGCAAATCAGCACCCGAGCCAGACCCCCACCGCCGCTCACACGCTTTGATAAAAGCTGGCTATCAGGCTGTGCTCGTCCCTACTTGCAAGAACCAGATCAGCTGCACCAATGGCTCAAGACAGAGTGCAGTATTGTCACTCAGAGAAAGACTTTATCTTGTCCCCTCACAGTAAGAAGATTCCTAAAAGGATGGCATCCCTCTTGGAGATGAAAGAAATCTTCCGCAATGCTGATGCAGTATGCTTTGATGTGGACAGTACAGTCATCAGGGAAGAAGGCATTGATGAACTTGCAAAGTTCTGTGGAGTAGGCGATGCCGTTGCAGAAATGTATGTATATTTGCTGTATAGTTTGTAGGAATAGTAGTAAAAAATAAGCATGGCTAAGGTTAATCTGTGACAATGAATTTACGATAGGGATTAATTCAACTCTGTCATAGGAGATTATTACAGTTTAAAAAGGATTTTAGGAATAATAAGTGGAATTAATGCATAATGAAGTAACTTCTTTTGGAACTGTGAAGCCACTCAACAAACTATACTGACATAAATTCACTAGTGTAAATTTCTTTGATAGACTAAGATCAGCCCTCATCATTAAACTTGGCTAAGCACTAGCAAACCTTATTATGAGATGGAGGAGAGGGGACAACTCTCCTAACACCTCTCTTATGCTGGGGTTTCCATTGAAGCTTGTAGCCAAAGTTCTGTTAATTTCGGAGAACGGCACCTGAGCTGCACTTCAGGAACATGGGTCCCAGTGGCTCAGATGCACTCACAGAGGGAATGAAGCTTGTTTCCTTTGCCTCACTGGTTCTCACAAGAGCTCTGATCTGTGGAGATCTACCAGTGTATCCTACCAATCTTTTCAGTGTACCATTCTTCGCATTACCACATAGATATAACATAACCTAGAACCTATGGTCTCTTACCTTGTTCTTTGCTATCCTTCTTTAACTAACTATTTTTGAGAGAAACATTAAGTATCACTGTTTTGGTTTCTTTGGATCACAATTTAGGACCCGCAGAGCTATGGGTGGCACTGTGACATTCAAAGCAGCTTTAACAGCACGACTAGCCCTCATACGTCCATCCTATGAGCAAGTGCAGAAATTAATATCGGACAACCCACCTCAGCTAACACCAGGAATAAGGTAAGAAGAATTTCAGATGATCTAACAAAAAAAATATTCCAAAAGAACATGGCATAAATCAACAAAATTCTGTGACATTAGTGAGGTTGTAAGAGCATAGAGCTGGTTTTGATTGCCTTCCTACTCCATTTCCATGTTGTCTGTGTGCAAAGCTTGTATCAGGATCTTATGGCTTGAGTCCATGTCAAATGGCTAAGCATCCGTGTAAAAAGAAAACTGTCTTGGGTATTAACTGGTATTTTGGCTGGCAAGCTCAAATTCTGGCTCAAGGAATAAATGGACGTGGAAAATAATCTATTCAATCACATCTGGTTTTTGATGGGTATTGGAACCTGGAGATTTAATACCCAGTATGAACTACTGGCTTGGTCTGGAATTATATTACCTCTCTCTTACACTTCTGTGTGCAGTCACACTCCTGGACTCAGGTTAGGGGATCCATTGTTCAGAGCTACCTGTTCTGTACTGAAGTCCCTAAAAAAGTATTAAAATATCATTAAGGGGAAATACATATATATGTGTGTATTAATTAATCCTTGGGTTTGGAATAAACATTAACTATTTAAACTGAAAAGGTGGATTTTTTTTCCCTATTCAGATTGTTTCAAACAATCGAAAAGAACTTCTACTAAAAACTTAGTACTACAAAGTCTGGCTACAGTTCCAAGTCTAAAGTATTTTCAGCACATACAGTAGTTTGAGATATTGTGCTTGTATTTTCTCCTTGAAATGAAGCACATTCTCAGCTTTTGCTGTAGAAGGCATAGCTAGATGTAACTACAAAGAGAACATTGTTTCCTTGTTTAGAATCACATGACTTTCCTTTTAATTCCTTCCCTTTCTTCTTCCTTTTCTGTGTAGCCTGCTTTAAGCCTCCACTTTGCTTTTCAGTATTTAGCATTTCTGCTGTTACTGCTACCACTTCTACAGCTCAGCATTGCTGCATGCTGATCTTCCTGCTTCTAGAGCCAACTCCTGTAAAACTTTAGCTGCCTTCAAGCCCCGCTGACAATAACCGGGTCTTAAAACTTCTCTGATTCCTTTTCTGTAGCTGGTTCTCTCTTCTAAAGATGGCATCAATGTCCAGTGTCTGGGGAACCAACTCCAAGTTAGAAATTGTTTAGACTTTGCACACTTTTCAGCCCACTTTTGCATTTTGTCACGGTGGCTTTATCTCTCCCACATTCTCTACTTCTTCCTGCATTATAGATTCATTTTCTTGCTGTTGTTTTATTTCATGTAATAAAAAAATCTGAACTGGATCTGCTCTCATTTGTTCAAGGAACTAATGTGGACGGCATGAAAGTGTAAAGAAAACATTTCTAGGGACTGTTTGTTTATGAGCAACTAAATACCTGTTTGTCTCTAGACGTGATGGTTTTGTTCCGCTCTTTTCAAGCAAGCTATATGCACAAACTTGCAAGGGAAAAAAGAAAAAGCTTTGGGCAGCAGAGATAGATGGAGCTGGAAAGCAGCATACATCCTAACTAAGCTGGAATAACACAAAGTATGGGCAGCCTTATTTAGAAAAGATGTATTTTAACTTCCTTCTTATCCCTAGATGCTGCTAGGCACTCATGTTTGGTGACTGCTCTTTCTTCTCAGGGAGCTGGTGAGCAGGCTTCATCAGCGAGGAGTCCAGGTCTTTTTGGTCTCTGGGGGGTTTCAGAGCATCGTGGAGCATGTGGCCTCACAGCTGAACATTCCAACAGCAAATGTCTTCGCCAACAGGCTGAAGTTTTACTTTAATGGTGAGATACTCTTAAAGTCTCTTTTATCTGCTAATTAATGCCACTTTTTTGGTTCAAACCATCACATATTGGGCTAAAGATACTGTCCAGCGCACACAACCTTGTTACCAATACAACTAGCTCCAAGTAGGAAAATTGCATGACATTACAAAAACATGAGTTCAGATCATTTTCCAGACTTACCAAATAGAGCTGTAGTTACTTTTTAATTGCAAGCTGTGCCAAAGGTAAAACATGTTACAATTGCTGACAGCAGAGTTTCATTTTCTCTTGCTCCTTCAAGTTAAAAGAGTTTATTACACTTAGCTGCTTTCAGAGACAAACTTCACTTTCAGTGACTTTGAGGTATGTATGGAGACTGATGTACTTTAGTAGAACTGCTCTGGGCCTTAAGCTAGTGTAACCAAGCAGAACTGTAGTTAATGAGGTTGTTTCTTACTCAGTGCTTCGTACACAGTCTGTACATCATACTGGATGCTGCTTTTGAAATGTTTACACCAGAATGACTGAACCAGAGTGACTAGGAATGGATTTGTAACACTACCTATACAGGGTTTCTACTTTTGTCTTAGCATTTCAACTCTGCAAGTATCCCCACTGAAGATTTGGGTAGAAGCCTAGTTTTTACGCTTACCTTCTAATTAATTTTCTGGAATGCTGTTACTGTGAGGCTCACAGGACTGCATGTAATTAGCTGTTTTCTGGAGTAAAGACCATAGGCATATATCTTTCTTCATTTACAAGAAAATATGCTGTGTGTCTAACTTGTCCTTCCACGGTGTTCTAGGAGAATACGCAGGATTTGATGAAACACAACCAACAGCTGAATCAGGGGGGAAAGGAAAGGTTATTACTCATCTGAAGGAACAGTTCCACTTTAAGAAAGTAGTTATGATTGGAGATGGAGCTACAGACATGGAAGCCTGTCCCCCTGCTGTAAGTATTAAAGAACTGGAATTCTAAATTCCTTTTGAGCAAATCCTTTTGGGGAAAAAAAAAAAAAAAAAAAAAAAAGGTGTGCTTTGAATTCTTTATAGGACGTCAGGGAAGATCTTTAGCACTTCCCACAGCCTAAAAGAGATCTGTGTACGTCGTTTTCCTCTCAAAAACCTGTGTCATGCAATGGTTGATATCTCTCAATTTAATCTCAGTAAGAGTGTCAGCCCCTAAGCCAGGATGCTGTCTGGATCTAGTAGGACTGTGTAACAGTCTAGTGATCTGTCTCAAATCAAGTCGATATTATCACATCTGCCCTTCCCCTGTATGTCCCCACAGTAAGTGCTCGCTTCTGTGCAGAGGTCTTACTCTACCAAGATCCTGGTTCTGAACACTGATTGATGGTGCTTAGCATGAAGGTCTGGCACAGATCTGGTGCATATTTTGCTGATAGTGGCCTAGAAAGAGGGTTCATCTCACTGTGCAGTGATAATACCTTTGAAGATATCAGCCCTGACCGGGTGAAATAATAAAAAGTTACTAGAAAGTCAACTTTTATAAATGGTCATTTCACAGAGGAGAGATCTTAATTCCATCTCCCCTTTAGTGATTTTTTCTACATAAAAGTACCTCAATACCCCTTCTTCATCAGTGCTGAGGGACAGATATCCCAGTGTGTGGAAATGCACAGGAACAAATGCCAAGAGCTACTGCTGATGTGAGTTCTGACAGCTGGTCCCTTACTGTTGAATATCTGCATGACCAAAGCATCTTAGTATTTGCTTAATGCTTTCTACCTAAAGGCAGAAAAGAAGCAGTGGAAATTTTAAACACTGCACTTTCACTGCAGATGGTTTTCTAAGATGTAGAAATGCTGATTGTTCCTGGTTAATGATTGAAGGTATGGTTAATGTTTACTTTTGGTATCTACCAAATGAGGTAAACAGAGTAAAGATAAACAGTATAGGGATACTTGTGAGATGCTGCATGCACGTTCAAATGTTAACTCATTCTTGAATAGGAAGGCCTTATGTTGTATCACATTTGCATCAGATTTTCAGTAAAATCTCAGACCTGAACAATCTTGAAGTTACAAAGCACTGAGACAACTTTGCTGTTGGAACAAAAATCTAATAACAAAAGTGGTGCAAAATGAAATGTTAATGAAGTTCTTATTAATAAATTTGAAAAATGAACATGCAAAGTAAAATAGGGGAAGAGGCATGGAGGAATACCATAATTTTAAAATGCAATCTTAAAAAAACCCGTAATTGCTGAGAAGCTCCATTCCTTACATGGGACTGCAAGAATATATGTGCCCATTCTTTCTGTTTTGCCAGGACTGCTTCATTGGATTTGGAGGAAATGTTATCAGAAAACAAGTAAAAGAAAAAGCTAAATGGTACATTACTCACTTTGACGAACTGCTAAAGGAACTGGAAGAACGATAAATTATACAGTAAAATAATATATTTAACAACTATAAATGCATTATACAATGCAATTAAACATATATTTGTTTGCAAAGTTGTGTTCTGGATTTTTTACTGATTCTGGGTGTTGGGTACCTTAATGTCTGGCCTGAAATGTGTGTTGCAAATGGCACCATTCTACTCAAGTATTTTTTAATGAAAATGATAAGATTTTTTAAACAGCTTTTCCAAGGTGGAAGAATTCAGTTGATTATTTACTCACAAGTGAAGACCAAAGGTAGGAAATTATCTGTAAGTTAAAAATACCTTAATGGATTGGTCCCTAGTCAATATTGCATATTTAATGTTTCAGAATCACTGAAGCTAATGCCTCTACTTTTTTTGGGTGGTAAAATAAGAAGGGGGCCACAAATGAGAAGTTAGTCTAACTACTACTACTAGCATAAAAGGTAAACAGTATGGTAAGTACCTTCCATCCCAAAGAATCTCAGAACTAGATTAAACAGTGAACAGATAGATAGAAGACATTACTAGGTATCTCTGAATTCATTAAAATACGGCCACAGGAGAACCTGAGATGTCATCTGTTACTCAAAATCACTGTTATTTAACCTGTAGTCTGAAAGACATGAGATGCATGCACATCTGAGATACCTGCAGTATTCATCAGTGTCCATCCAAGAAGCATATTTTTAAGGCGAGTGATATAGTGGTTCTCATACTTCATTAAAATAAACTCCAAAATGGTGATTATTTTAAAATGGTCACGTTGTTTACTTAACTGTTTTATTAACAATCCACCCCCATCAACCTATAACTAGATGGAAGCTAATTCATCAACCTTTTAAAAAAATGGTCTACTGATTAAGAAAATACTAAGAAACTTATCTAGTCTATTCCTCTGCCTCCAGTATGGATCAACCACCCTTAAACTATTTGTGCTCGAAATAAGTCTAACCTGTTCTAAGTAAGCGCTTTTCTCAGCTTCAGCTACTGAATCCTAGCTTCTTAAGGATTTGTCTTTTGTGGCTACAGTGTCTGATCCAAGGGGGTTCTTATACAGAACACACTTGACAAATACTGCCTTTTTGTCAGCAAGTTCCTGACAACTCTTCTGAGTATGTCTTTTCACCCAGCTTTGCTGATACATCATGGTATTTTTATTTCCCTGATTTAGACAAATCTCATCTCTGATAATGTGAAAAGCTTTACTGATGTTAAAATATGTCACATCTTCCACTTCCTTCCATCCACATGATATCAGCACAGGAGAAAGATGGGTAGATATGACATGGTTTGTCCTGGAAAAAAATCTGTGCAGGCTCTTATCTTCTGGGTGCTTACAGAGTCCCAGCATTTTCTGGAAACTGAAGATTAGTCAGTGTGCTAATGCTCTTTCATCCCACCACATATTTCCTAGATAGGAAGAAAAACAAGTGATGTGCCTACCTTCCAAAACCTCACACCGTCTCCACGAGATAATCACAGGTTTTCACAATTTGCACCAGATCTCCTTAATTTAATAAGATTAAATTCAAGTGTAGTGAGAGAACTCCTGTCCAATTGTTTAAGTATCACCAACAATTACAACAAATACTGGTTCTGCCCATTCTGTGACATCATCAGAAAGGATATAGGGGAAAGAGGTGTTAACAAAGCCCCAGAGAGTGACGAATGGCAGCTCTCACTGATGCTGTTTAATGTTTTTGGAAAAAAACCTGAGGCAATAATTGCTTGAAGATACAACAGCATTCAAATACTAGAGAGGTAGAAGGGTTAAAAGAAAACAAATCCAGAAACAAACTTCTGATGGCTTTTTAGAGAAAGGCAGACATATAAACAGGTATACTGAATACCTGTACACAGAGTTTAAAAAACTTCACAAAATCCAAGGCAGAGAGTAGTTGGCAGGCTGCTCACCAGAACTCTTCTGGGAGTATTAAAGATGATCTCTTTTAAATTCTTCCTGAGAAAAATCTCAGGCAGCTCCAAGGCCAGCTCATGTACAATCATGCTTTTGTTTAGTCAAGACTGCATGAGTAGAACAAGTATAAACTCTTTCTGCTCTCAGTGTGTTCCTCTGCAATTCTACAGTTATGAAGCAGAAGTTCTGTTTGCTGCAGTTTTCTACTGAATTAAAAGGCCACTAAAAAAACCAAATCTAACATCCAGCTAATCAGCTACAGCCACGAACAGTGTGACATACTTCACTTCAAGTGTATGTAATTTCACTAATGTCAGAGTCAGAAGACGGCGCAGGAGGCTCCGTGCCACAGAGATGTTAACATTCACAGCAGTATCTTCTGCCAGTCTGAGTGCTATGGAAACATGGCGCTGTGCCAGTGATTTCACAAGAGCTCTTTAGGTCTGACTGGTTTGAAAAAAAATACCACCCCCCTTTCCCTGGGCAAATATCGAGCCTGACCTAACCTGGTCCAGGAGGTACCAAAAGGGTTACTTAGCTTAGCGAGTTTAAAATACTGGGAAAAATAGGAGGGAATAAAGTAGCGTGAGGGAAGTTTTAATGTTACAATCAAGCTACCGATTTACCTGAACATATCCCATCACAGTAGAGCAAAGTCTGGAGAGTAGCACACATCTGGCAAGTAATACCCAGTCTTCAGGTGGGCCTCCTGACTAGCAGCATGGGGAGGCACACCACTCCACAGAAAGTCTTTAATTTTAATGCAATTATTCAGTGAGGTAGAATTGCTTCAAGTTATATATTCAATTTGCATAAGGGGACTTCTAAGAAGAACAGTGTGCAGTCTTTTCTAGGAGGACTACAGGACAACTAAACTTGAGTTTTAATTGTGTCTTTATTACAGTGGAACAAGAATTGGTAATTAATTACCAGAGACTCTTCCAGGCCTTGTCCCCCACTTTCCGACCACTGGAAAGTGACTTGAGTTCTGAATGCTACAAATTCTGCTCTAAGAAATGCTGAAGTATTGCTAGTCAAAAGAAGGCGGCAGACTTGCCCATGAAATTAAGAAGGAAAATCACAACAGTGTTCACAAGAGGTGAAAACCAATTTTGGGAAAGGCTCTGGCAAAAAGAAGCAAGAAAAGACTGGCATTGGTTATTTATCTACTGTGTTATGTTTGGTGAGTTTACATAGTTATCTGTAACTAAGATAACAGGAACTAATCTCTCTCTGAGGACAGCCAGAGCATGAGTTTGAAGCTCAGAACAATGGGAGGCACATTCATAATACACTAGTGGGAATTCAGATCTTAGGTAGTGTATAAAGACTGAAGAGACTTCTGCCGTATGATGTCACCCTGCAAAACATCCAGTTATTCCTTAGACTTCTTATTCATGCAAAACTTCATGGTCCTTAAACAAGAGCTCTGCCTGACTGAACTTAATTCCTAGTGCTCCCAGCTGAAGGTAAGAAACATGGATTGCATTAGAACCCACAAAATCCTGTAACTCCAAAAATGTTTTTCGCTTTCTGTCTCTGACTGAGATTGCTGGTTACGAGGAGTATGTTACAAAGACAAGTAGGAACAACAAATATAGGTGGATACTGGGAAAAATAACAAGGTCTGGAAGCTGATATTGCTATCCTTTTTTTCCTTTTGCAGCTAAATAGTAGTTCCAAAAGTCTGGAAAAATGACAGCCCCAGATGATAGTACTGCTCATGACTGTTTTACAAGAAGGAACAGCTGAAATGCCCAATGAGTAAGTAAAGCTGAGAACTTTAAGCCAATATAGTACAGAATTTTCCTCAGTAAAAACCCATAATCAGTTGACAACAGAAGAAAATACGAAAACAGACAAGAATCAGATCAAATATAGGCTTCGTTCAAGATGAAATTCAAGCGAAGGCAAGAGTGCAGTGTATTTCACAGGGAAGAAAAGAAGAAATCAGATCTGAAAAATTAAGCAGAAGTTACGGAGAAAAATCGAAAGGAAAAATATTTTGTATTTATCACCACAGCACTTATGACCTCTACAACACTTAGCAAAATGGGATGTAATGGAGATATTGTAAATTCTTTTTGGAGGAGGACAGCAAAATAATGGGAAATGCTGTCCCTGACATAGAGAAGTGATATTAGTTAAGCTGAAATAGTCTATGCAATTATTCAAATTTTCCATAATAAATACTGCAAGATGAGAGAAAACACAGGTGGTATAATACATATAAGGGTTCCAGTAAAATGTGAAAATTAAAAGGATTTTATTGACTGGTATGTTCTTCCTGAAAACTCCTTAAAATGTACAAATTGGACATTCAGTAACTGATTTGTACATTCTGTATGTTACACTGATTCTTGTAGCCACTTTAAAGAGAGAATATTATTTTCACTTACAGGATGTTCACATCATTGCAGACACCAAAAGTGTTGATACATTCTAGTCTAAAAGTGAAACCAAAATAGAACTGGACATAATGGTACACTGCTTTATGCCAATCCTATTGACTCAACATGCGCCAGTTTCACACATCAATTCATAAGTACCTACTGTACAGTTAGTGAAACACTCGACCAAGCATATGTCTGAAGTCATGATTGCTTACTAAATTAAACCCCTTTTCCTAGACTTCCAAGTTATTTGTAGAGTTAAATGTATCTATCTGAACTCGATTCCCTGCAGAACAGACAACCATGTCTTGTCAGTACCTCTTTGAAAACTGTAGGTCATACTTCACAAAATTTATTTCAGGTGTAGGGATCTACACAAATGCGTGATTAGTTTCAACAGGCTTTAGAGTCTTGCAAAACAGAATGCCCTATTCTCTGTCCATAAGCTATCACCTGACAAACAGTATTATCCTCAATTAATGACTGGCTATTTGTAAATTAAGAGCTACTTACTGATTTCAGGCCTGCGAGAACATCTACTTGTATTTCAGAGCTATCTGAGGGCTTCAGAGCTTCTAATTTCAGAACTCTCACACTCGTTTTTAAAATGTGCAGTCATTATAATGCTAGACAAAGGCCACAGCAACTGTAACACTATGTTCGGTTACTGAACACTGGGCATCCTGTATGTAGCAGAAGATATTAAATACTGTATGCCATATTCAACTTGATGAGCTGTCTCAAAGAGGAACTCATATATGTCTTTGCACTTGTTTTCAATTAACCAACCTTTTATTTACAGTCCTATATTTCTTTTCTCCCTGGTACAATCGTCAGAGCAAAAGGACATTAGATTCTCAAGAAAAGAGGTCTCTTTTATAAGCTCAATACAGTATTTTTATATTTCAGACTATGATATACAATGTATACCATAAATTAAATTAAGACAAATACTTGTCACTGTATCTATGTAGGCACAAGTAAATCAGTGATTTTACTGAAGTGGAGAAATCTTCAACGGTATCATGATTCTGGACTCCATTTCCTGAATAAGGGGCACTGAAAAAAATTGAGACAGGGTTTAATTTCACTAACAGAGATCATTAGCAGTTCTGCACACTTGGTTTGAACAGATATTACTGTCTTCAAATTACTCTCCTAGATAGTGCATGCCAAGTCATCAGTAACCACCAACATTCCTGTAACTGAAGCATACTAGTTTTGAGAACAAGTGATTTTTTAAATATAATCTGTCTCCTTCTTTGAAGACAAATATTTCCACTCCTTTTCCCCATAATGAAAGTTATCTTACATTTTTCTGGTATACTTCATTTGAGATGTACCCTATGGATCCAAAATCTGACATGCTTTGCATATTTTTGCAAGTTTTGTTATGAAAGCTATCTTTGATCTCAAAGATCTCCTGGCTTCTAGTTCCAAAGTCTAAACTCCCTTTTCAAAGGAATGCATTTAACAAGGCTCCCGTATTTCATGAAATATTGGAGGCAGTAATTTAATATACATTTCACTATTGGCTCCCTACATTTTTGAACACAAACTTAAGCATTTACACCAATCTGTTCTACAGGAGAGATGCTTGTATATGGATTTACTATTAATGTAGCATTTTTTTTTTAGCAATCAGGCAACTTTCCCGAGTTTATACAATCAATTGCAAAATTCACTTTACAGATTAGTGAAATGTCCCTCCTTTCCCTTACAGTAGCAAATCTGACATACAGACAGACACACACAAGAGGTGCAAAACATTTTATCATTGTGCAATGTACTGAAGAACAAAAATGATGGCATGCACAGAAGTCTACCTCCAGCATTCCAATGAAGTTAATAGGTTACCTGTGTAATAGACTAGTTCATCCCATCCAGGTTTATGCCATGCAGCATTCCTTATATCTTCTCTGGTTTGGAGATCTTTGTAAGCTGGTGAGGGAAAACAGCAAGCATAAAGCTTAGAAGTAACTCCTTTTCCTCCTACACATGAATAGCTCCCTTAGAAGTATTCTAGTGTGTAATTAGAAGGCTGCAAACACTGGGAAGGAAAAAAGTCAGAAGCTCTCCACAAAAAGGGAAGCTCCCAAACCAACGTAAACAGAAGGAACTGGGGAAGAGAGAGAATGTCTTAGACACAGGTAAGACAGATAATGTAACAGAGTACAGTTCTACATCAGTGGTATCAGATTTCTAATGCTGGAATATAATACTCTGAATTGTTGAGATATGAAGATAATACTGCATGTTTTCTAAAATAAATATTAGACAATGAGTTTCTTCAAGTTGAAACAATTCTAACACGTGAAAAGCAGCTAAGCATTTGTGGAGAATAACACACAGAGAAAGCCAAAATACCATAATGTAGTAACATACATAAATGCTTGACTTTCCTTTTTGTAGGTGCTGTGTATGTAATGCTTGAAACTAAACTGTAAAAAGCTGACTTCAGCATGAAAGGGGATGGAGAAAAGAGACAGCAGGACATGGCTTGTGTTTGTGTTACTGAAAGCAAACAGATAGTCCCTAGTAAGAAAGGGCCATGAGAAAGTGTTGACAGAAACCAAACAAAACATGAAATGTTCACTTGTGCTTGCTTGTTTGAAGAATAAAGTTACCTACACAAAAATTAAGAAAATCAACACTGTCGATGTAAACCAAAATAGCCCTTTTAAGATATTCTTTGCCTTTTGTAAAAACCTTGTATCCTGGGCAAAGCCACCTGTCTGTTAGGGGCTGATTCAGTGGGAAAAAAGCAGGGAACACAATTTTACCCCAAAGGTGATGAACCATATACAGCTGTCCAATTTGTGAGAAAAATCCTCCAACTGCTTCATTATTATCCTGTCGGAAACGAATTGCACGAGCCCTACAGAAGAGCAAAGCAGCCATTAAAAACAGCAGATCTGGGTAGGAAACAAGTGATAATTAAAGGAAAACAGAGTTGAAAGGAAGCCGAAATGTTAAACATCATTTGCAGTACACTTCAGCAATTAAGACAAATATCTGCAATATACTGATTTTCTGCACTAAGTAATTAAAATACACCTATATATCTTGTTAGAATGAGTTAAAATTGGAGGTCTACAGTTTCACTAGACTGTGCGTTAATCATTCTTCCATGTTAGATTCAGTATAAAGATAATTGCTGGCACAGTGTAAACTGGCAAGTCATTTTTATAGCAGGTTGTTCTAAAACTAAATCCTTGTGTTTCAGTCAAACCATCTTTGCCACACTTGTTTACCACAGATTTTGTGGTAGTGGAATACAACTTTTTTATTCACATAGACCTTTGCTATGCAGCTGTCCTATGCAACACTCCAGGATTTGTTGTGTAAATAAGATCAATATTTCTCTGAACTCCCTTTTCTAAACCTGTTGCATCTTCTTAAACAGACTGTCTACCACTATAGTTATGCCTATTTTATAAAAACTCTAAATTCAATTTACTTTATTCAAATTACTATAATTAAATAAATTACATCAATGACATGCCTAAAATCCAAGTCATTACCTTTGCCAAAATACCTGAAAATACTCCAAATTGTTTAACTATCAACCATTAGAATTGCAAGGACGGTGAATGTAAATTTAAAGAAACTTACCCTGGTTTTAAGTAAGACAAAATCAGAAGCATATACTCAACAGAAGACTGTCTCAAATGCTTTTAAACTATATATTAACATACAAATAGCTTTTCAAGATGCAACTTAATTTTTGAAGATTAAAAGAGCCAAGATTTAGCCCATTTAAACTACGAGTAAGTCAGCATCTAGTGGCCTTGTGAAAGTTGGGAAAGACCAGCATAGTCTCAAGGAGTTAACCACCACTCTTCACTAAGTGCTTTCTGAAAAGGGTTATGTGAAGGAAAGCCAAACCACAGAGCCCAAAATGTTGTTTGCACACTGAATTCCTCTTTCCTTCCTTAAAGGATAAATTAAGGGTCAAAGAACTGTCTTACAAGTTGCATAAGTACAGAAGCAGACCATTAACTGATTGACTGAAATGCTTTGGTACCATTCTGCCATTTCCACTTGATTTTAAAACATACTTCTCTCAAATAGGAGAATGTCAGTGTTAAAGCAATGCTTACCAGTAATTTCCCCATTCAATCATTGTTCCAGGCTAGAAAAACAAAACAGACTATTAAAACTGTAGATTAAAAAAAGGGAGAATACGTGGACAGTTTTCACAACATCTACATACAGAAAACACTATGTATTAACAAAATGACTTCCTTCATGTGATAAGCATACTATAATCATCTGTAATTACCGTTTACTTACTGTATTACTTCTTAAGTCATTTGCCTGAAGTTTCCTTCAAATGAAAACACAGGGTTTTCAGCCCTGCAGATATTAGTATCTTGTTGGGGCCTGTCTTCATTTTGGACCCCACACTTTGAGAGCAACAACTCAGACGTCAGCTTTGACAAGAACCAGATTTAAGATGAGGTCTGTTTTCCATCTACATTGTATAAACATGCTTTGAACGTTTTACAACAGCACAGAGCTTAAAAACTAAAAATTTAAACTTACTCTAAGTTGATAGGATCTCAGTTCATAAATATTAGGCCCCTCTCTGGGAACAGGTTCATTCCAGAAACTAAACTCCAACAATAACTGGTTCTTGCGTGAGAGAAGCATGTTACCTCTTTCTTTGCGAAACTCTGTGAATTCCTAAAAAACAATGTGATTGCTGTCAAACTGTGTATTATCTTTCAACAACAAAAAGCAGTATAGCATATGGTGGCTTAGATTTTTTTTTTTAACGCTACGTTGGGGTTTTGGGACATTTAAATCCTTTAAATTGTAAAGGCATCTGAATTCTCCCAGCATATTTGAAAATTTCAAGTAGCATGTTTACACAGCACTAAGAGTAAGTGCTTCATAAAGCATTTAGGTATTAAGCATCAGTATTTCCGAGAATAAACCCTTTTCCACAGAGGGTTCTAAGTTTGTACAGGAAGCAATGAGACATTGAAGTAAAAGTGGGTATCCAAATGTGCAGGGTTTTGCTCTGACTATTCTTTGTTCTCTTCTGCGTAGAAGAAATAATTCTCACAAAATCAACACATTTTACCTTATTTTGGCGGAGTTTACTCATGACCTCATTGAGAGCAGGATAGCCTCCCTCATATCTCCACAGATGAACTGAAACAAAAAAAAAGAAGCTTTTTCAGGGATGTCAGAGACCAGTGCTAAATCTTACGGAATATCACAGTACAAAATGCTCTTCATACTAGAGAATTAGACAAAAATAGAAATCAGGTAACAGGTTTAAAAATAAATTTTAATTTAAGAAAGCACTACACAATTGAACATTTTAAGAATAATGGAATCATCTGCCTTTTGAAAAGGGTTCTCTTGGAAAATTTTGCAATCTGCTCTGGAGATAACAGAGACATTTCTAAAAGGACTTTTTGTTGCCATGCTAGTAAGAGATGATGACTTTATGTGACTGTTGTTGAAATTGAGATACAATTTCAGAGGATGACTTAAATCCAAAAATGTGTTTTATACCAATTTAATCTAAGAGCAATAGAGGTGTAGATTTTTTATTCCAGTAAATTACTCAAGCACACACAAAGATAAATGCACTTTCTGTAGGACATAAAAATGATGCAAATGTTATTTCTGATGTAAACATTACATTAAAAAAAAAAGAAGATATCTAAACATGCTAGAATTGTTACATTTGCTAGGATTTTCCCCATAAAAATAATTTCAGAACAAGTATCTACATTTGAGTTTTTTCAAAGCAATCTATCTTTAATAAATAATAATAAATCCCTTTAATAAATCATAACAAGATTTATTTACAATAACTTGATATAGCAAGGCAACAATATTTCACCTCAAAAGTCACAAAAGCTATTTTCTCTCCTCTAAAGCAGTCCTGTGCCTTTTCCAGGAAAGCAAACTGGAGACTAATGTTTACGCACTTCACTATCATAGCAGATTCATCCAGTGCACCTGCTTCTGCTGTCTTACCCCAGGGCAAATTTCATATATCCACCTAATATTAACACAGCCTGGGCACAAGTACTGAGCAAGTCCAACCCCCATAATCTGCTTTGTTACACTGCTAGAACTGTTGCAATAACATTTTCAAGGCAGGCTATGGATGCAATTACAGATACAGTCTGTGTTAATAAGTTACAAAAGCAACGAATGAGACTTGGCTAAGATATGCTCACTTCCGTTGTCTTCATTCCCCAATTTCCCTCCAACTTTTAGAATTGTTTCTCAGACATTGTTTGGTTTATCTACTGTTATTTCTTCGCATTTGGTCAGTGTCAATACTGCAATATGCTGTGAATGCAGGAAGAATTAGTATGTTTATATTTTTCAGTAACGAAGCAATGACATTGATACTATCAGAGCTCTAACAATGGAGCTACATAACAACCTACATAACAAGTATCAGTACACCACTCTGTATTCGTGGCTTCCCATTCCTTCAATTTCCCAGGGCCCAAGAAATGTTTCAGGTTTTCTCTCTACACTAGACTTTTTGTAGTTACCTCTGTATCAGCTCTTCAGTAATTTCTAGTTCCAATATATTTTCAATCTGCATAGTTAGGCAGTATCTTTATATGAACATGAACAGAAATACTTTTACTTTCCTCCAGTAAAGCTTATTGTGGAGTTTACAATGCAATCATTTTTTCAGATGGCGTGAAGATTTGCGTTTCATTATCATACAGCAATTAACAGTATGAAAGTCGAAATGAAGTTTTTATACTGGCCAATGCAAGATAAATTCTGTCTTTGTAAGCCTTTGCCTTTACCCTAAATATTTGGGAACATGATCTGTGCCTGCAAAATATTACAGGACCACATTTTACAAGCGTTTCCCAAAACTGTTAATCTACCACCTGGAAAACATGGAAGTGTGTTAACAGTAGGACAAATTTTAGGAATTAATGCTTTACTGTCAAACTCAACAAGACATAGAGCAAGCACTGTAAATGTTAATATGGCTACTGATAATTTATGCACACACACCCTCACTGTATACATTGCTAAAAGGTTTACTGTCAACAGAGATGATTTAAAGAGAAGAAACCTGCCAAGCACACGTTTCACTTGTATGGTTTTACAGTCTGTTGTACTTCTATCTCCTACCAGCCTGATCTTGCTCTCCGTACCACGTGTTCCAAGTCCCCACCAGTGCACATGGGTAGTGTTTTTCTTCATGAATCTTTGGCAGCACCTCTTGACTTGAAAACAAGGAATACAGACACTATGTTGCATTTCCTTCAGGGAGGCTACAGTTGATATGTATAACAAATCACCATACGTTTATCATTATGGTATGTAAATTCACAAGCTCTACTTTTCAGAAGAGAAGGCTGAAATACAAAAATCTGCTATACAGGGGAAAAGACAGCTACAACACTACAAAAAATTAAGGTAAGTGTTATAATTTCTTAGACTGTATGACAAATACACAGCATGGTAGAATTCTTTTGATGCAATACATTATCACGTAAAAGGTTACCCTACATATTAGGAAAATAAGTATCAGGATATCTCACTTACAGAAAATGCAGCCTAACTACATAGGTGATTTGCTTTAGGAAAAACTTTTATCAAGGGAGGTAGAATACACCAAAAATAGGAAAAATACAGTCTTCTGTACCAACTACAGTGCTATTAATTCTGTTGAGCTGAATGAATAAAACCAAGTGTTTTGCTAGATCAAGTGATGACTGTACTTCATAGTGTGCAGCCTTACCACTCTCTGCAATTTCAGACAGTGGTCTTTGAGGCAACTGACACATTAAAGCATACAGTGAAACTGCCTTAAAAATGTCTCCAGCAAGAAATTTCTGTTTGACTATTTCCAGTATTTCTAACATTTTTTTCAAACTTTGAAGTGGCCTACATTAGCATTATAAGTTTTACCGATTGCTGACTCGGTTAAGACAGCATTCATTGCACTGACTTTGATGAGTAAGTTAATTAGTCTGGCTGAACTTTGCATTTTAATATTTTTCCCTGAATAACTACCCCTCTTACTCAGTTTGTCTCACAGGTAATGAGTCTCTGCACAATATCATATCATAGGAAGTAGGCTGGTCTTGGGCTGAAAGTAATTAAATACAAGTTTTCCTCTTGATTCTGCCACTGACTTTCTAGACAACCTTGAGCAAATCTCATTACCAATTTGTACCTCAAGACTTCTCACTACATAGTGTAAACAACATGATAGACTGACTCTCCAAGGATGTTTCACCATCAGTTCGTTTCTGCAAAGCATAATGAGAGCCCAGAGAGGTAGATTTAAACAGGAATGTTAAATTATTACAATAACCCTAAAATATATTTTGTTGCAAATTATAGAAGAAAACAACCACAGAATACCTTATGAATATCATCTTTTTCCTTTTTAAAAATAACTGTTCCTAATTCCTCAGAAGGGGTCCTTAACCACAGTGATTCATGAAGTACTCTCATAATTGTCTTAATTACATTATTTATTTATTGACACATGATGACTAATCCTTATTCTGATTTGATACAGAATAAGGAATTAACCTGCTCATCTTTAATTTAGGGAGAGGAAGGAGGGAAGTTCAGAGAGGATTAGGGTTTTTTATTGCTCCATTTTTAAGTTTTCTCCTTCCCTGAAATACTTAAATTTGCTTTGGTTTGGAAAGAATAAATCTAACTACACATACTTCATCTGATTGCTGTCAGCAGTTTCTTTCTTAGCTGTGGTCTCTCTCCTTAAAAATAAATGCCTCTGGTTTACCTCCACATTTAGGCAGCTCATGAGATAACAAGGAGAAGTGGTTCGTTATCCTGTGTAACTGGACATGTTTATAATAAGCTCTTGAACGGAAAGCTGGCTGAATGCTAATTGTGCTTCTCTGTGTATTTACTTTTTTAAGCAAAAAAGCTAAAAATACTCTATGATTGAATGTTATTCCAATGGATTTCTATCTTTGTATATCAAGGAAAACAGTTTTGGGTTATCTTGCCCCATTTCAAAGCTGAACACATGAAGGCACGGAGATGTTAGATGTACAACCAACCAGTAACTGAGCTGAGGACATAAACTGGGAGTTGCAAACTTCTTCCCCACCCTCCAGCCCAGCTGGTGTTCTCACCAATACACCACACTTAAAAAATTAGTTGCAGTAGGGTATCATTATGTTCAGAATGTTTTATTTAACTGACAAGATGATCACTATCAGTGAGAAAGCACTGCTGTTTCAAAATATGCGAGGCTCACTACATTTTCAAATTTAAACATACAGTTATTGAAAATGCAGTTGTTCTGGCTCCAGAGGAGTGTTTACATAGGCAGAACAGGTCTAATATTTCTGCAATTTTGTTCTTAAAGTAGCAGATTTAAAATGTTACTAATTCATACATTTTACAAAGCTGTAACTTTTTGGAAAACCCGTAACAGTACTGCTCCCTTTAGAGGATATCACCCCAATGCAAAGATCCTATCCAAGGATTTGCATAGCTCTTTAAGAGTAGATCTCAGTAACATTACTTTTGTAGAAGGATAGAGAAGAGCTGAGAGAAAGTCGACACCTGGGTTTCTAAAATCTCTTCAAAGTTATACTTCAATTTAATACTGGCATGTAGTTTTACTTACCGGTGATCTCCCCCTTTCCTTCCTGTATGCAAACAACCACTACTTGGCAGCTGGAGTGGGACATGCTGGCATACCAGGATCTACTCACAGGGACCAGCAATTGTAAGACAACTAAGGGAAGGAGGAGAGCTGTTCCAAGAAACATCACCAATGTTTTCACAAAAGGCAACATCCTAAATTGCTGCTTAGGAAAATGACACCCCCAAGAGGGAAAGCAGGGGGTGAACTGAGTAAAGTATCTTTCATCATCTCTCTCCAAGAATAATATGATCTATTTAACACCATACCCTGAAAGTAAAAGCGGAATTTTTCCACCTCCCTTCTAAATAATTATGATATTTGCCAATTTTTGGAACAGCTTGTGATCAAATCAACATGTCTAAAATGTGAAAACATAACACGCACACTTACCAAAGCTTGTTGTAGGCGTCTAGACATTCTGGTTTTACATTGTGAACTGAAACAACAACATTATGTGAGAAATGCAGGAACAGAATAAAGAAATGATAATGTTAAATATAAAAATATCACTCACTCTGTAGTTTATACAGACTGCTGGTCTCTCTTTTGGCTAGAAGGTTGGAGTGAGCATCTTTCCTTGGATCAACTTTGCGAACAAATAGCGATTTTAACCAACTGTCTTCACGAGGTCTGCTAGCTGAAGATACCAGCCCCCTACATATTAACAAGTACATCATACTGTCACTGAGCGCGTCTTGAAAATGCCCACAAAGCAGGGAAGATAGGCGCAATCAAGCTTAATGCAAACAGTATCATAACACAGTTACATACATGTCTGTTACTAAACCTTTCCACTGAGCCACTTCCTAGCAAGGCAAAGGCAGTTCTTCCCCCACTGAGATTTACCCTCTCACAAACCATTTTACTAGATACAGAGCTGAACAGCTAACCATACGCTATCCACTTTTATTCTTTGTGCACATGGTTGGGAATGGTTGGATGGCTGCTTCTGTGGCCTATTTATCTTTTTAAGCAAGTGCCTTTGCTCAAAAAGGCCGAGTCTGTCCTGATGTATGCAGACAAGAGTGAAAAAGAGGAAAAAGACTACACATAAGGAAAATTTTGTACAGTGTAAATAGGAAAGTAACTCCCATATATTCCTATGTTGCTTAACTATAGCTCTAAAAAAGGAAGTTAAATAGCGCATTTTTCAAGATAAAAAGTATAATGCAAGTCTAATTTGTGAAAAATTACAAGTGTCAGGAAACAAACAGCATGCAAATATCTCAATTCCAAATTCTGGCAACTATATAGGGGTACAGATCCACATGCTTTGTACAACATTCACAATTTCTCCTTCTTTGAAACAGAACAACTTCACTGTCTTTTTTTATCTAACCTTTATACAGTTTCTGCAAGTACACTTCCAAAATAATACCACTTCCCTTTACACCAGAGAGTACACAAAACATTACAATTGATAATTGTGCTTTTTTAAAAACGATGTGTTAAAAGAATTATTCTTCTCTTTTCCAGCTGACAGAAGACTCCTCAATCACCACAAACTCTGCAGAAAGACAAGAAAGCTGATGTATTTAACTGATTCTCTACAATGTATGACAGAAGACCCCAAGCTCAAATGTTTGTTCGTCTTTCTCATAAGAAGCAATTCCTTCAACCTGCCTCTTTCTGATATGGGGTTTCTGATAAAATACTAAAATATTTATCTGACATCCGCAGCATTATAGCTGGAAATGTAAACCTTTTCCTTCCTCAGAATTCAACTTTTCACCCTTAATTACTGACTAGAAGATCCAGAAGATAGCTGCTAATCTTCAGCTATAAAGCTGTCTTCCAAACATCAGAAGTTTGTGACAATCATTCAAGGAAAAAACGACAGAGAAAGAAAATCTCAACTTCCTTTGGGAAAAATATCTTCATGAACATGCCTGTCTGTATTACACAGAAGTAGTTCACTCTAGCAGTGTTTTTCAACAATCAACCTTTTAGTCCCAATGTCTGAAAATAACATAATGAACTGGTTCACCCTGTGGAAGCAGGATGGAGGAAAGGAAAAGTATTTCATAGCAAAGAAACAGTAACAGCCAGAACAACAACTGCAGGTGAGATGACCTTCAGAGTTAAGGAATAATTGGTAAATACCTTATTGGTGTATTTATTGAAAATGGTGCCTTCTTTGCCTGTAGGCAAACACACAAACATGTTACTGTGCTGAAAGCTAAGCAGCTATTCCCGAATACAAGCATTTAAAAGGGCATTACACGATAAGGCTGTTGTTGCTAGAATAGAGGGTACACAGCTGCCTGCAGTAGACGTATCTCTGATTTGTCTACTGATCAGATGTCTCCTCCACAGCTGGAGGCCTGCCACAGGTGACTGCAGTTGTGTTGTCACATCTACATGAAGTGCCACAGAAACACAAGCTGTCCCAGATGACTGGGGGTAAACCCCACTTAATGAATTCAAGTTGTTCTAAAAAGCTCCCTTAAAGTAAGCACTAATGCTCACTGGGCAGCAAATGGGGCTCTAGGAGACAGAATTCAATCCCAGTCCTGCAGTGCTCATTTTTGCAATTCAGATCTGTAAACTACTGCCATTTCCTCCCCTTTATTAAACAGACTTAGCAAACTAATACTTAGAACACTCTTCTAAGAGGATTATTGTTTGCAGCAAACTTTGAAGATGAAAGAGACAAATAATCATGTTGCTTTTCTTGTGAACCAGCTTTATCAGCAGCAAGAGTAAGCTGGAGTTACAGGGATAATACTGAAAAGCAAATTCCTTTGCTATTAGTACTCTCATGACTTGAATGTGAAATTCCACCTAAAACTGGATGTATATTTAATATTCAATACAGTGAAATGAGTAATACTTTACATTTATGTAAAATCTTTTACCCAGCAATTGTAAAGTTCTTCACGAACAATGACTAACTAATCATGACTATCTAGCTAAATATACACTCTACTTATAATAAAAAATGGTAACAGCTGAGGTTTATTAAAACAGAGAGTCAGTGCACCCAATCTGAGATGCTATGGACTTATTTTTAATCCATATCCTTAGAGAAGTCCTACACTACTGGTGTCATTCTAGACATCACAAATCAAGAAGCCCTGAACTGATTACTGGTTCATTTGTGTGGGCAATATGTATCCAAGATTAGCTCTGGAAGACTAGGGACTAAATTCATGTCTCTGGACTGCCAGTTGTGAGCATCAACCACAAATTAGTTCAAAACTAATTCATCACCCAAAAGATCTACTTTTAACTAACTTCTTAACATTATGCCCCACAATATTATAATACCTGTTTCAAGTAAAACACATATTGGATCCAAATTGTTCCAAACTCCAAATACCACTAATGAAAATGTGAATATACACACAGAATAAATGTAGACACACTGTAAAGAATTACCATCACACATTTCACAATTTTTTATTTTCTGGGAACAATACTTATTAGAGTTTTCATGCAATCTTTTAAGGCACTGTTTGACTTTGCTAGCAAGTTCTTAGCCTACATACATTACCTATGGGCTTAGCTTTCTTACTACAAAGATTGAGCTGTGAACACAAAAGGATAACACTGAATAGCTTGTTTAGATTAAAAATGATGGTGAAAACACTTATATCCCACTTAGCTTCTACTTTAGCACAAAATATAAACTGGGTGGGAGATACCAGGTCAAATATTTAGGTTTTGTGGAAACCCATGTCTGCCTGGAAGAGAAAGAAAAACAACTTGTCTATAACTTACAGTTTTTGATCTGTGGTCTAAACAGATATCAAAGTTTTTTTGAAACTAAAAAACCCCACCAAAACACGCACATAAATCTCACAACGTATTCTCTATACAACTCTTCCCATTTCTGTTTTAAATAGCTGTTTTCAGTGATGCCCTTAGTCTTGCACATGGGCTGCTGCTCATTCTGAGACTTGAGACAGCAGCTTTCCCCGTTTCAAAGAGTCAGGAAAAAAATGTGTGTAGACCCATGCCAGCTTGGCTGCTTCTGTGTCTCTAACACCCAGGAAGCACGTGTGTCTTGCTTCCTACACCCAAGACACATGTGTACACATCTGTGCCCTGAGAGCTGTGTTACGTGTGTGCGCACTCTTGCCACCCAGGAGGTGTGTGTGCGTCTGACCCCTCACACATCAGTTGTGGGCACGCAAGTGCTGGCACCCAAAAATTCCATGGATGTGTCCGTGCATGTGCTCTGACACCTGGGGGCTGTATGCACATGCACACACATCCCAGCTGCTGAGGGAAGTATGAGTACATGTGCCCTGACACCCAAGGGCTGCGCACACGTGCTGGGGTCCATGTGTAGCTGTGCATCAATGAAGGCAGGGAGATGCTGGTGCGTGCAGTCATGCACCAACACCGGGGGAAACGTGGGTGTTAGGCAGGGGGGCAACCTGGCACCGTGTGTGTGGAGTGGCACCAAGAAGGGTGTTGAGTGTGCAGCCACGCACCCTGACACCAGATGCAGGGCGGCCACGCATCCTGTTGCTTGGTGGAGTTGGGATGTGGAGTAGCTGTACACCCGGATCCCGGAGGGATATCTGGGTGCAGAGCATCCATCTACTGCAACACCGGGAATACACGCGTGCAGGGTGGCTGTGCACCCCGAAACCCGGCGACGCGTGGCCGCGGGGTGCCTGGGCAAGGGTGGGGCGTCCGTGCGGCCGGAGCCCGGGGAATAGGCGGCAGGGGGGTGCGGGCACCCGGTCCTCGGCGGGGCTGGGCAGCGGCGCGGCCACCATCCCCACGCAGGGCCGGATTTGGGGGTGGGAGGGGAAGGGGCTGGCCTTGGGGCCAATGACCTTGAAGGATACCCCAAGCGGGTCGCACTCCCCGCCCCACAGGAGGGCCGCGGGCCCGACCCGTCAGCTGCCCCGGCGAGCGGGGCGCCATTTCCAGTCAGGAAAGTGCCGGGGGGTGTGTGTTGGGGGCAAAAATCTAGGCGGCGGGGCGTCGGCTCCGTCTCCAGCCTCCCTCTCCCGCCCGCCTCACCCCCTCAGGGCTCACCTGAGGGCCAGCCCGCCGCCGGGCGGGAGGCGCGGCACGGCGCTGGCTCCCGCCAGGCTCCGCCGCAGCAGCACTCGCGCCGCCATCTTGATCCGGCCGCCTCCCTCCTGGGCCGGGGGGGCCCGAGCGCTGCGGCGCAATCGCCGGGGGCGGGGGGGGGAGTGGGGCGGTGGTCCTCGGGCCACGCCCCCCCGGGGGGGGAAGCCGCAGGTGCGCATGCGCGGCCTGCCCCAGCCCGGACCCCCCCCTCCCCGCCCCGCCCGCGCAGCTATTGGGGAGACCCCAGCCCTGGTTTAGGGTCTCGCCTGCAAAACACCGAGAAGGAGCCCAAGCACGTTTTGAATCATGTGGAAAAACTTGCTGCTTATTCCCCAAATAAGTTTTTCACCCACACAGCTTAATTATTTTTTTTTTTCCACGCTGTTCCAGCTACAGTACTATTTACTTTGGTGAAACTGGTGGTGTGTTCTAGCATCAGATCCTTAAATAACTTTAAATGAAAAATAAACTTATAGACTAATAGTTACAGGACAATTCTAAAAGCAACTAGCTAATAAACATAGAAAACACGTTAATGAGCAAATCTTGTCTTTCTACATAGCACATACAAAGTTTGGATTATTTCACTACACAGTTTCCGTTGCCATTTTATGATTTTTGTATCAGCACTTTGTGAGAGTAAGTCAGACACTAGCACACGCAATGTGCTTTAACAGCAGTCTTTGAGGTGCCTCTTTAAAAAGGAGTTTAGCCTACAACTGTCATCCTTTTAAAACCAAGTTACACTTCAGACTATGTACATGTAATCACATTTTGATCTGACAGCATGCTGAGTTCTCAAGTAACCCTCCAAGAGCCTAGCTGTAAACTGAATAAAACTGACAGCCTTCCATGATGAATCAATCCTAGAAAAAAGAAGACATTTTCACAGCTACTCAAGAAAAATCACAGGAAATACAGGGAAATACTTCCCCAATTGGATGTAGGTGAAACCCATTACCCAAACAGGAAACTTTTTCTATTTCTTATAAACGTTTTATGTCTTGTTATTAGATCATTCATATCCCAAGTACTGAGGGTCAAGTTCCTTTAGTGCCTTCCTGGATACAACTTAAGTGTATTTCCTACAGCCCAGGGCCATGTTCTAGGTTGGGTCTGATTTCTCTCAATCTCTGCTAGGGATGAAGTTTCACATTTTATATTGACCTGAGCAGCTGTCAGAGCCCAGGTTTCCTTCCACTTTGATAAGGGCCTTAATCAGCCAGCTACAGTTACTAAGTAATTTACATAAACCTAAACCACTTCAACAAACATATCAACAAAAATAACCTACAGCCATACGTTTAAGATACTTTCTCAAAGCCAGAGACCATGTTCACACTGAATTACACAGAGACATTTGAATCAAGGTGTCCTGACATCCCAGCTTACTGATCTGACACACAGGACAGTACCTGAGGACTAGCTTTCAGAGCAGTATTTTTCAGTTTGAAGCACTGAAGATAATTTAAGTTTCTCATTCTTCCTGGCCCAAATAATTTGTCAAATTCAACTGGACTTTATTAGCAGTTTGCAGGCAGCTGAAACTGATTTTGTGCAGGTAAAGGAAGTTAAAGGGCACGTGATTTACACCACTCTGACAATGGAAGAGAACACAACTGATAGCTTATTAGTGTAAGCTGGCTCAGTTTCTTGAAGTAAGACATTTTAGGTTAGAGGAGCTCTGTTCAGATACACCTCATGTAGCTTCTGATCTTAAAGACCAATGACATTAGTAGATACTTCAAAAAAGATTTCTCATAGCTTTAATATACCACTCTCCCCTCCATGCAGGGACAGGGAATGCTGGGTTTTGAGGCAGATACCCCTTTAGGTCTGAAAAGTCAGCAACACAAGGCTGCTGTAACAGCTGCACACTCTGAGTTTCCTTGATATCCTGAAGACAGGACACAAAGTTCCCCAGAGTTGTACTAGGATAAAGTAATATTTAATCATTAACTGCTATGGCCTCCTAGTTTCATATTAAAGTACGCAGCAAATCAGTACCTGTATCTCTCCTAAAATATGTCAGTTTTAGCTCTTCCGATGAGACTAAGTCTAACCATCTTTACTTCTACTTTTTTGGCTTTGTATTCTCATCAGCTTCTATTTCCTGCTGGTAGTTCAAAGAGATCCATCTCTCCCAGAACTAAATACCTCCTTCGGAAATGTTACAAAGGCAACCATGCTAAGCTACCCAAAGTTTTTATTCTCATCTTACTGCCACTATAGAGGCAAGTGGCTGTGTTTTTGCTAGAGATTTTGGAAGTCAGAAAATACTACCATGTGGTATGAGAGACGGTAAGAGGAAATAACACATGCAGGTAGCTGGTTTTAAATTCTACACTTCCTTTCAAAAGGTTTAATAGCATTATCTTAAGTAATCCTACAAACAACAAAAGACTGTCTGAAATACTGAACAACCAAATAATATAATGATCCTTGCACCAAAATTAAATATTACACAGTTATATTCTTGTCTTTCTCAATACAGAAGTCATTCTAAGTGAGCAGTCAGCTTTTGAAACTGTCAAGGTTTGGGGCAAAACTACATGCAACAAAATGAAGCGTTAACACTAAACTCACATTTTCTCTATTTTAATTTAAAGATTTGAGGTGCCTATCAATCTGTAACATCTGTTCTTATAAGCAACGTTTACTATTTATTTTGACTACAGATTTCACTGAAACATTTAACGTACAACAGCAGGGCCCCAAACATCTCTGACAGAGACAAGTTGAAAACCCCTCTGTTTAAATCTTTTCCCCACTATTTGTCTGTTGAACAAACTTTAAGTTCTTGAAGTTTTTCACTTAGGTAGGTAGTATCTGCCTCGGTCAGATTTTCTGAATCTGGCAGATTTTCAAGGAATCTGGTTCCTGCACAGGGCTTTCCTGTTATTGGATCTATGACATTTCCAACCTTGAAAACAATTTCAGCCAGTTCATGTTTCACATGTTTGCTCCTTCGCTCGGGCAAAGCTTTCAGAAGAACAATGTCTCCAACAACACACTGCTGCAATGGATCGTGGGCAAAATAGGTTTTTCGTTTGTTAAAGAACTGTAGAAGGAAAAAAGGAAACCTTGGCATTAGTTTTCAAAATTAAGCAATTGGGAAATACATAGTTAATATAAAACAAACTAAATTTCACTGAAGAGAAGTCTTATATATATGTATTTGATGAGATTCAGTTTGGATCATGAAGAGAAATGTAACTGTGCACCCTACTGTTTTTCCAAAGAAAGCACTGCACTACTCTTCCCTGACATACTCTCTGGTCAGGATGTTGCTAATCAAGCCTGTAGAAAAGAGGACGGGGAAGAAAAAGCCAAGTACAAAAAGCTGTTTATAGTGAAAATGTGGATACAGGTAATAATTACAAGGTCTTGACTTAACATAGATTGCCTTTCCTATCATTACCACTTTCCACTGGCAGAAAGCGGCAGCCAGTGCCACTTTCAAGACAGCTGCCTTGGCTCTTCCAAGATGAATGACTTTCTTGTTCAGTCTAGACTTCAAGAATGGGTATTAATTCTTATCATCTTAATATGTCTAAAATTCATCAGCCCTGAAATCAGTATTTTACAGTTCATAATTTGAGAGTTCTCTTGCTCAGTTCTTTTTCTTTCATATAAAAATGGAGTATTTATTCTTATTGGAACAGGAGAATTAAGAATCTTTTAAGAAAGAAGTTAACCAGTTCTATTCTGGATAAAGTATTGGACTGGGATCCACAAGATCTGTTATCTAACCCTGACTCTTTCCTTAATCTTCTGGTCATCAAAGACAAGTTATTCTACCTACATGTACTATGGTTTCCCTGTCTAAATACGGAGAAAATACTAATTTTAAGTTCCCTGTTTGACATACATTGACAAGAAGTGATAAATACAAAGCCTGTATAGCACATCACGGTACAGATTCAAATACTAAAATACTAAGCATGCTTACAATTATGCATACAGAAAAACTGCTACAAAATTTACTGTAAAAGCAACTAACGTCAAGTTTCCAAAACAAAGCATACTCCAAATCAATATGAAAAATTAAATCTAAGTGTGAAACAACAAAAACTTACCTTCTCAGCTGAGATCAAATGAAGTGCATTGACAAAGCACTTCAAAGAAATACATTTAGCAAATAATTTGTAGTGAAGTGTCCTCACAACACACTGCTTTTCATCCTTTGCCGTCAACCTCACAGCCAAATCATTATGCAAGTTCCTTAAGGATTTTGCATTGTAAAGAGCTATCAAAAATTCTAAGTGTCAAATCAATAAAACATTCATCCACAAAGTACAAAAACCACCATGCAGGACAAGATATTAATCAGTTTTTACCTTTAGTAAGTAAGGATCTAGCACAAGCCTTGTCACTCTCACTTTGGCAGTTTTCTGCATTTTGGTTCCTATTACTTTCCCTACTATCCATTTTGCATGGACAGCTCCACGTGGTACAGACATTGTTTGGTTATGGTCATCCAGTGCCTGGGAACAAGCAAGCAGACATGTTATTTTAATGAAAAAACATAAAGTTTCTGATTAATACCAAAATTATGATTTCCATTTCAGACTAACATCTTAATTACATTATTTTGCTGGAAAAACAGGGCAGATACAAGCAGTTCAAGACTCCGTATATTGTACTACCTCAGCCTTATTTTACAATATAAGAAGGGATATGAACGTGGTCCCATTACCAGGGAGTTACTTCAGGATGACAGTAAAAATAGACTTTATAGTGTGAGGATGAGACCTGATCCCCCAGAGTCAACAAAATTACTTCAAATCATACCAGCTGTCACATACACAATACAGAAATGTGTGGCTGTTGAAGTTATTATGAATTAACTCATATTCCAGCAGCTGTTTTTGCTGGAGACCTGGTAATCAGGTCTGTACATGACGTGTTAACCCAAACAGGGAGCAGCCTATAGCTTCTGTTCAGAAAGTCATTTGCCCCGAGTATTTCATTATTAGCTGAGCTGATGAAACCTAACAAAGGTAATAAGCTTCTCAAAGCATAAATGACATATCAAAGAGTTGTACGACCTACAGCTTCTGTGTTGGTTCTTTCCTGTAAGTAATTATACTCCATTACCTTACTTGTTTAACTAGGGAGAGCTTTCTATACCACTCTTACAAGAGTCATAGGCAAAATAGATAGCTAAACATTAGAAGACTTGAACCGATACTAAAGCTTATGAAGACCAGTAACATTTTCCTCTTCCACTCAGCTGTGTACTATTAGGCACAACCGACAACTGCTTCATTCCCCATATATACATTTTGTAAGACTAAATGACACTTGATTTGATGTTGGAACACGTCAAAAGTTTAGGGATGTAGAGACACATCCGTAAGAAGCAATGCTCAGGGTTGCTTTTACCATCCTTGATTCAGCTGTGGGAGCCACAGGGCTGCGGGAGGGAGTCAGTGCGAGGGGCCCTCCTGTAAAACAGGGCTAACCACCACCAGCCAGTGGCCAGGCCGGAGAGAGGCAAACGTGCACGAAATAAGCAACACCCACAACGCACATGGGAGCTACGAGGCAGGCAGGAGCCCGACTGCTGGGCTGAGTGTCTGCCACAGCAAAGAGGAAGCTCAGACCGATGAAGAGCCTTCCTCCCGCCCGACCCGGGCCTCCGCAGCCCTCACTGCCAGCACGGCCGAAGGGAAGGCCCTGTCTGTCAGGTGCTGGGCCCCAGCTCAGACGTCAGGCGCCGCCCGGAAAGCACACCCCATTGCCACCGCCGCCCCCCAGGCCCCGCTCACCCGCCCAGGCCCCGCTCACCAGCCCCACTGCCGCCGCGTCTCAGGGCCTTAAAGAAACGGGGCCGGAAGGGGCGGGGCCGTGGCCGGAAGAGCCGCGCGGCGGTGGGGCGGGGCCAGCGGCGGGGAGGGGAGGAGCCTCCTGGGGAGGATTTAAAGGGGCAGGCAGGCAATTTGGTTCTTTCAGAAGTGGGTGAGGGGGTGTTGTACGTTTGGGCGTGCGCTGCCTCAGCGTGCAGTATTACTAAAGCTGACGGGAATGAGGTTTTATTTATTTCCTGGGCCTCTAGCTGTAGGAGATTGGAGAGCAGCTGTTTGTTTCCTCAAGAGGTCACTGTCTGTGGGGAGACCTGCCCTGTGCTGGCTCCTGTGGGCTCACACAGCTGAAGTGAGCTTCATTTTCTGGTATAATTAAGTGATTGGGGTGCCATGTTTGGCCGCAATGTGTTGTGGATACAGTTTGTAGCAGGCCTCAGTCTAGCAGTGCTGGAAGGAGGTAAGGAGACAGGTGTGAGAGCTGAGGGACCATTTTACGCTCTTGAATTTCATGGGATGAAGTTGACTCAGCACAGTCTCTTTGGCTGTGTGGTGGTGTGAAATGTGCTCTTCCACCTGCTGTTGCATATATGAGCTAAATCTTGAAATATTGAAGGTTTTCCATGTAAAACGAATAACCTGTATGAAGTGAGAGTTGGCCTGTTGTGCTTGCTTATCTGTACCCTGGTAGAAATTTAGTTCTTGTAAATCTGTATCTAAAATGAAGTGTTAAAAAAAATTTACAAACTGAATAACGACAAAAAAAAGTCTCGACTTCACCATTGCCTTTGAGGTACACTAGGTAGAAGAACCCAGATTTTTGGGACAACACTGTTAGTTCACAGAGCCTGTGGTATCTGTTCTATGACATCAGGCTGAGGCCATCCCTTTTTCTATTTAAATGTGTTCATTTATCTTTTTCTACTGGCAGGTATTTTGGCTGCTGCCTACTTTTCAGGCTTATTCTTTTTAGGCATTATTGTCCCATCATCTTTCACCACAGGAAAGGGCAGGTAGGGAATTGTATTTACTTAATAGGGCAACAGGTTGCAGTTTCCCTTTTTAAGGTGGCTGGTCATGGTGAGAACAGGCTATTCTTTGTAGGGCTGGAGACACACTGCTGAAATAGTTTCCAATTTCATTATCAGTTCTTACCCATGGATCTTGACTTGGACATTTGTTTCTCTTATTTTAGTGCCTTATTGCTTGAATTATAGTGGAGAGAAGTTGGGAGGAGTCTTCCTGGCACAGGCAGGAAATGGTTAAGAGCCTTTCATATCACCTGGGAAAGCAATTCTTTGATTTTTCAGAGGGCGCTAACATGCTGCAGTTCATAGGAAACAAAGGAAAGGGGATCAAGTATAACAGTTGTTCTTGAATTTTATTTTCAGTGGCAGAACTTATGAGGGCTGGATATTGATGTCTGCTGAAAAATACGGATTATTGGATTAAAAAGAATTTTTTTCTTCTTAAGAAAATGATCTGTGAGGTAAGTCTTGATTCCAACCGGTGACTTTAGATAACTTACTTTTAGATTAAGATGTAAGAAAAACCTTTATATTGCTGACCCATTTAAAAGCTGTGAATTCTTTGCTTAAATTGTTACTTGGTTAGGGCAGGGAGCACAGGCAGAAGTGCGAGTCAACAACTGTAAAAAGCCCACAGCACTTTCCTGTATTGTCTACATTCAAATTGCTTGCATTAATTTCTGAGCTTAAGTATAAAAATTCACAAACCAGGAGAAATATAATGAATCACAGGAATTTGCATTTAAGAGGTACAGTAAATATTTCAGCAATGACAGGAGACTTTCACATTGTAGTAGTATCTATGTTAATATACTTTAGTAGTTGATGCTTCAAGCATCTTCTAGTGGTGGCTCTTAAAGTACTTTCCAAACCTTGTTTCTTTAAACCAGACTGCAGTCCCGAGGGTTTTATGTTTCCAGCTTGTGTAAGGACTTTGCTAGCAGATGGTACAGTTGCTGCCCCTGTGCTCTACTGGTCCTCGAGGGCGGACTGCTTCTGCGGGTATAAGAGAGAGATCTCACCTTACAGTGTGCTGCTGGTTTTCTGTGTGTGTGTGAAAACAGATGCATTTTCACTTGTGTGTGGCTGACCAAAGTGTGATTGGATGCTAATAACTAATGCATGGTTACACTGAGAGCAAGTGCCATGTGAAGGGAAATCTTTGTCCTGTAGAGAGCCTGCAAACCATCCACTCACCTTGGAATTGCTAAACTGAAAGTAAATTGTACTCTCGGGAAGGTTAACTGCAGCTTGTTTGATGTATTTCAGTCTGTCTTTAATGTACTGGATTCTGGTGATTTTATTGAGCTTTTTGGGGGAATGCTGATTTTATTTTCTTTCTGTACTTTTCAGTTAATACTGTAAGTGGTATCTGATGTGTGGGTTCTCTACCATTTCAGTAGTGTGCAGTGGTGTAACACGACTGTGATACAGATAAGCATCAGTCCTTGCAAGAGTCGCCTTGCCAGTTCTTCTTGCTATTGCCTGTAGTTCCCAGTTTCCCTTGCACCCCCACGTTTTGCTCAGGTGCCAGTTTCTCCCTGTCAAAGAGGGGAAAGGACTATAATCCAGTCAGAGCTAGTGGATGTCAATTCTTTCATCTTGGACATGAACGTAAAAGGCAGAGTCAGCACCATTTAGTTCCTGCAAAATATATTCGTCATCACTGCACTGCTGTTCCCCTTATCAAGCAAAGCTTTTGTCATTTTTCTGTTGGTTTTCATAAGGTGCAGGAGAAGAGATCATTCACAGCTTCTGAACTATCTGCTCCCAGATTCTGTCTGGACAGGAATCTTTTATCACCCTGCCCTATTTTGGATTAATGTGTTATTTCTTAAGGTTATGACACACTCTGATCTATCGCATTTTGCTGCTTCTGGGTCTGGACCTTAGATCCCTGTGAAAACTGCAGAAATAAATCACTGGAGCTCAGTGACAGAAACTATCTTGAAACATGTTGTGCATGATTCACAGTTAAATGTTGTTACTGCTTTTGCATTTCAACAAAAGATTGCAAACCCAGATTGTCTTATTCAGCAAGATTTCCCTTATTTGAAAAAGTTACTTTTCTAAAAACTTGACTGTTAAGTGCTTTTGCTTATGTTGTGAGTATCTGACATTCATTTAAGCTATTCAGTGTGAAAACCTCTTCTACTTCTTTACCAGTGCTATTGATTAAAATGTAGTTTACATTTCTTGGGAAAATTTGATATTCAAAAATGTCTTTTCGCTGTGAGTCAGAATGTACTTTTCCATGGAATAAAAATTCCGGAAAGGAAAAAAAATGCTATTGGAAATGTTGAACAAATTATATTGTCATTTCAAGCAGGTTATACAAGAAAAAAAGAAAGAACTTCAAAGTCAAAATGAAGGGCACTGGTGTTTTTGTCATATTTTGAGAAAATTATTGCATTCTTCTGCAGTTGTTCAATATTATCTATTCAGTGTTTTCCATATGAAACTCTTTGAGAATGCTCTGTACTGGCCCTAACTCTGAGTTCCTGTTAAAGTCAATTGACTGTTTCAAATTATATATTAGAAATGAATTATGAAACTTTTGTCCTTTGTCTTCAATCATTGGTGTTTTTTCTAGAGCTAATAAAAGGGCTGTTTCCAGTATTGTGTAGTAATTTGTAGTTCTCATGCTTCAGTTATTTACAGTAAGTCTCTGGTTTTGAAGAAAACTGGACAGAAAAGACCTTTGGAATATAACAGGTTAAAATATAATTTTGCTGCTAGCTGTGTTGCAGCTTGCTGACTACAGATCAAAAAATTACTGGAATAATTACTGCCCTTTTGGATGCCTTCACATGGCACTCTCTTTGTCATTATTACTGTGGTCACATTACACCATACTACTATGGTCATTTTTTGGTTTTAAATATTCCTTTCCCCTTCTGAAAACACTTTTCTATGTTAAATAGAAGGGACCTGAGCTTTGCTCAGTAGTGTGCACTGAGGTGTTGCCTGAATTATGGAGAAAATACACTTTGTGGCAAGATCTGTTTTTTCACTCTTCTAAACAAAATATTCCCCGAGGACAAGGGGGTATCCTGGGGGTGATGGGATTTGGGCTCTGGATATGCCTATCCCAGAAGTGCCCTGGCTTGCACTGATTCTCGGTAATGTGAACTGGCCTCTCCTAGGACTAGTGGCATGTACCAACAGAAGGACCAGCTTGGGGACAGTGCTTTAAGGGCATGTAGTTCCCTTCGGTCTTAAGGAAGGAGCGGATAGTATCACAGTGTTTTGGATAGAAGTTCAGAAAGATAGAAATTCCATCTTACGCTTTGCCAGCATCATAATGTTCTTAGTGATTTTTTCTCGGTGTAAGACCTGCTCAACAATTTAGTTAAGCCTATTATTCCTTGTCCTAACCATTGTGGCAATGAAGAGCAGATATTGTAATGTGTCATCACACTTGTCCCTTCTCTGTACTAACCAGTGCTTTCATTTTACCACAGATGATTTTCTAGCCCTTGGATCTTTCCTTTGGATTCTTTCCAGTTAGCCCACTATCTTTCCTGAAGTGTGTTGCTCCAAACAGGACAAGACTTCAGCAGACGCTTTACCAGAGCCAACTGGACCGAGGAGACTCCTCAGCTGGTCTCAGTGGTGTCAGAAAGATGAATTTCCCCCTGAGCTTTTCTTCCCCACTCTGAGTTGTCTCAAGTACTCGTTCTCAACTCTGCTGCTGATGTCCATATGATTTGGTAACTAACTCATCTGTCCTCTGCCTCAACTTTCCTACAATTTGAAAATAAAAACTTCCGTATACATTTTATCTCCTATTTAGTTAGCTGTGGATGAGGGGGCATGTACAAAGTAAGTGGGAAAATAATCAGTGTATTTGCAAACTAATTTAGAGCTCAGCAGAAGCAAGAGGGGACAAGATACTTTATAAAATCCTGGAAGGTACAGACAAATGGAACCTTTCCATTTAAACTTTAATTTGGAATTCCTTAAAAAGAGATTGGAAGTCTGCCTCACTGTAATAGTCTTATATTGTAGGAAACCAAGAATGCTTCAGTCTCTTGACCTATATAGTTTACAGATACTAACTAGATTGTGCTAGTCTGAGCTGCTAATTTTATAAAGTAAAAAGAAGAAAAATTTACAGGATGATTTCCTGTGGTCAGGAATAAACATCTGAGAACTGCATAGTGCAGATTCACACTATCATTTAATCCCAACTTTCAATGTTTGATTTGAATGGTATCTATAAAACCCCTGTGGCTGTGGAAATTGCATGTCTCATCAATTTTCTTGAGGGCATGGAGTTGATTGCCTTTAGAATAGAATATTTGTGAAGGAATTTTCTGGAACTCTACCGGGAATGTTTCTGTTCTAAATAATGATTGGGAATCAGTATGCTGAAGAGAACATGGTAAATTTAGCTTAATTTCACTGCATATATTTTTGGCATTTGCATCACTTCAGGGAATTAAGGTGTCATGTTGTAAAGAAACTCAATAGGTTAGTTGCTCAGGAAGTCATAACTGATGGAGAAGGATTGAGTTGGATTTGATATCGTAAGGTTTTGTTCCGCATGATGTAGCGCTCTGCTGTGCGTTTTACAAGTGGGGCTTCAACTGGTGCATTTGCTGCTGGAATATGCTGCAGAGACTTTTGAGAAAATGTATTTTGCCTGGCTATGTAAAAGGTATGAGGAATGTCATTTTTCTGTTGGCATTATTCAAAAGCCAGGTATTACTTTTATGAAACTAAACATTCATCCATTGCAGTTTTGTGGCAAGAGACTGCTGAATTGTGTGGACACGGGTGATTGTATGGAGCATGAGGGCTGGATTTGAGCTTCCCTATATGTCTTCAGCCATAGTGAGAGGCAGTCCCCTGGATCTTGCAATATCAGGCCTGAATTATGTTCTTTATAGTACTGTAGGAACCCTGTGTTTGCTGAGGTCTGAGAAAAGACAGGAATAATGTTTCGGGACAGTTTATTTTAAGGAGCAAACTAAATTTAAAGGTCAAACTAAATTTTTTGTTTCAACAGCCTTTCTTATTGTCTTGGACACAAAAATGCATATTTAAAGGTGACGTTATTCTGCAAGTTTGGACTCATTCTACTTTGGAATCTAGCCAAGAAAATGTTACTGAATTTCCAGCCTTAAATGTAATGCATGTTCAATTTCAGGTGTGGCTATACTCATAAACTAAAAAATATGTCCATCCGAGGCCTGAAGAAGAAACAACCAAAGACTTTCAAAGTTAAAATTGTAACAGTGGATGCTGAAATGGAGTTCAGCTGTGAGGTAAGAGTCCTGAGCAGAATGCTAGAAAGATGGAGATTGATATTTGTATTAGCAACATGTAAACTTGAAAAGTTTGTATTATAAGTTCATGGATGGTCTTAAAACTGTTCTGTTATTTTTATAAACAATGGATTACTTACTCTCAGATGCATTCCTCTATTAAACAACTCTGACTATTCAGAATTCAAAGCTGTTTCTGTGAAATCCATTTGATTGTGACGCAGCTAAATTAGCAATAGGCCTACTTTCTTCATACGCATTCCAGCACATGATGCAGGGCTTGTTTGTAAGTATACCTACTTTTCCACAATTTTTTTTTTTTTTTTGTGACAACTTTTTAAGACACTGCCATCTTGGATAAAGAAGTCTGGTCAGAGTTGGTCCTAAGATGTTGCATATAAAATAATTTCTAAAGTGGTACTTTTGTGCTCAGTTGATCTGGAACATTCTCTTCAAATCTACCAATTGTAAACTCCAGTTTATTTCTTTAATTACTATGATGGCTGTTTTGTATCTCAGGACAGAAAAGAGAAATGATCAAATCGAAAAGCTAACTTTTCTTCTATTAGTTACAACTGTCTAGTAAATTGGATAGAGAAATCATGGCTGGAGAAAAATATGAAAGAAAGCAAATATAGCAAGTGGTCAATTGCTAAAGGAATTGGGTTGCACTATTGAGGAGGCAGAACTGTGCCTGATCAATTCCTAATCATCCAGCAACAGCAAAAAAAGACACAGTTACTTTGAGGAGTTAGAAAACAGGTCCAGTGGGGCTGGCAATTCTAATGATTTGACTGTCTTGTGGGGCATTTATTATTTTATTTACGAGGTCCCTCAGACAGAATAGATTGGTCAGAAGCAATGCACTCTGTGACTTACTGATCTATAGTACTTGCAGGCAGAGCTCTGAAAACAAAGGATTTAGAAAAACTGATTTAGAGATCAGAGTCCTTGTTAACAAATTCAACTTAATGTATTCCTTCCTTTGCTCTCTCTTCCATCTCCCCAAATATTGTTCTTGCTGGGATGATTTCCTGCTTTCTATCCAAATATTGCCTAAATATTTTTTTTGGCATAAAGTTTTTAGTGGTTGAACCATGCAATTAGACAAAATAATCTTTTTAAAATGTAGCCAAATAGAAGAAATAGATGTGCAGCCACTTCAGTGAAAAAAAAAAAGAGGCATATGTGTGTGAATTTTGTGACCTTTAATCAGTTTGCTCTTTGTGGAGCCAGGCTACTAAATTACTCTAGAGCACAGGCTCCTGTTCATTTAAATCAGAGTAGCATAAAGATTTGGCTTTGTGCCACTGAAATAGCTGAGGTATATGAAAGATGGATTTGCTTTCATTGTTTGGCATTTCTACACTGTGCCCTGACACTCCTTTGATTTTCCCAGGCCTTCTCTCAGTTTCTCCAGTTTGTATAAATTATTGAACAGGATTTTTACAAATATTAATAAAGCCTTGCTGTGTCCTAGGAAATCAGTAGTACAATCCTCGTTCCCTGTACTCAAAGTGCTTGATGCTGTGATTAAATGACCACAGCTGCTTTGTGAATGTTCCTCTGGAGGAGAGGAAGAGGAGGTAGAGAATTGTAACTATTGCACCTTTGCTGTAGAGAGCAGTGGGCATGTTTCATTGAAAAGCTTAAGGTGAAATAAGAGTTCGTAGAAGGGCAAATGGTAGACTAGTTTGCTTGACTAAGATGTAGAAAATTAATTCAAGACATACCTGTTTTCCTTAATTTTCTTTCTCCTTTAGATGAAGTGGAAGGGAAAGGACTTGTTTGACTTGGTGTGCCGAGCACTTGGTTTAAGGGAGACTTGGTTCTTTGGCTTGCAGTATACAATAAAAGGAATGTGCACCTGGCTAAAGATGGACAAAAAGGTACAGGAAACAAAAAATAAGTGTGGCAATTTTCTACATATGAAGAGATTTACTTTTAGGACAGGAGCTAAAGGAATGTATTACATGACAACTCATACTTTTAAATGGTATCATTTTTTTAAGAGTAAAGTTTTTTGTGTTTTTTTGCTCTGATTACTTCTATCACATTTGGACTGAGATATCACACACCAATTGCCACTATATGCACTGATAGCTATTAGGTTTAAGCTCAGCATTGCCCTTCCTCCTAATATACGGAAAGGCTGCTTTAAGTGGATTAGTGGCTGCTTTCTGACTTTCCTCTGGAATATTCTTGAGACCTTATGTGCTATTTTTGCTGCTGATTTTATTTTATCTGTAAACAGGTTTTAGATCAAGAAATCCCCAAAGAAGATCCCATTAGCTTTCATTTTTTGGCTAAATTCTACCCAGAGAAGGTAGAAGAGGAACTATTACAGGAAATTACCCAGCATTTATTCTTCCTTCAGGTCAGGAACAGTTTTTAACCATGAATTCCTTCTGTATTTACCCTAGTCCTTTTGTATTGTCTTTGATCTTGTTGGCAGCTGTTAGTCTCAGAATAATTCTGCTGGCTTCAGCTGTATCAGTGTCTCTGTAAAGATCTAATTTTTATGAAATATAAACTTCTCTCTTGACTGCTGTGGTTTTGTGTACTGGTAAGCTGAACGTTGTTTGCTTTCTGCATGTCTTTGTTCTCTCACTGCTTGTGCTAGGAATGGGAGTTAAAGTGCTGAGACCTGTAGTTTCATGTAAAATTACTTCTACACCTAGCAGTTTGGGTAATAATTTCACATCTGGATATTCTAGACTTGTTTTGCTCCTATAGTATGTGTTTAAAAAAAAAAAAAAAATCCATGCAAGGCTGGCATTGCTTGGAGAACTGTAAGGCTTTTGCCCCAGTTGGTCAGTGCTAAGAAGTATAAAGTGAAGCCATCATTTTTATCAGCTTCAGAAGTTACCTTGAGGACTGTGTCATCTGGTCTGCTCTGGCAGCAGCTAAATTGGATAAAGAGAGTCTCAACAGCTCCTTGTCATTGTTGTCTTAAACCTGCTCCTGTAACCTCTTGAGTAACCATGCCCTAACCTAGTTCTTTCAAAATGAGCAGAATTAGAAGAGACCTGTTATTAGATGTACACACTATGTGAGGGAGTGACTACACAAGCAATTACGGTCACAGCTGTGAAGGTAGAGAAGAGGGAAGAAATGGTGATAAGCAGCTGAGGACAATGAGCTTTTTCACCCATATCAGCTGCAGATGGAACAACACCTGTGGCTACAACCTATCCCTGAAACTAAAACTTGCAAGTTCCTAAAAATAGTCCTGGTGGTTACTGGGAGATCTTGTTGTGTATGACTCTAGAAGGCACAATCACTAGAAAACAAGAGCTCCCTAACCTGTCCTTAAATCTTCATTTTGGATTGTAGGCAAAAAAGATCACAGAATTTGATAGCCATTCTGAAATACAGGCTTGTTCATCTAGCAAGTTTCAAGAGGAGTGGAGCAGCATACACAGCTATGACTCAAACAGAAGATTCACCACAATGTGTGGTCCTTTTAAGACAAAGTCTGAAGGCATCATCATATTGTCTGATAGGCCCTGGATGAGAAGTGCTGTTCCTTTGGTATGGCACTGGTAGTCTTCTGAAATGTCCGGACATGCACGCACCGATTTCTGCCAGTCAAATAAGCCAGTTTGAGTTGTCTTCCCTACCCCATGAACTGGATGCCTGCTTCTCATGCTAGCAGAATAAATCCCCAGCCCTGACAAGTCCTCATAAGCGATAACAGAACCCATTTTAGCTCTACCATAGGGGCAGCTACTGAGGAGCTGCAGGACAGCAGTACTGTGCTCAAGAGCAGAGTTAGCTTTGTGAACACAGCTTGGTTTGTACACCATGGTGGTTCTTAAAAAATTCCATGAGATGAAAGCCAGTAAAAGCAATAAAGTTAACTCCACACATGCATTGATGCTAGTAGCTTTGTAGAGGCAGCTTTCCTATTTGTCAGTTTTCTTTTGTCCCATATATTGTTAGGGTTCTTTCAGCTCCATTAAAGTAGATGAAGGAGCAAAATCTTGGAGTACCATGTTTCCTTATCAAAATAAAGATGCATCAATCAGGAACAGTCATGCTGTGGCTCCATAGCTGCAGCAACATGCCATAGCTGTAGCAATAGATATAGAAACATTGAATTTTGGATGGTCAGCTGTTTGTTCCAAAGTCTGTGACATCCAGCTTCTCTCCTGAGTTGCTGAGGTGTCTGCTGCAAGTTACAGCCTTCTGGTGTGTTGCTTTATTCTGGTAGCTTTCAGCAGTATGTGTCTGTGCAGGTAGATTGAATGTATGGAATAAATTCAGTCTGTATCTGTAAACAAACAGTAAATACACTTGTTCCCTGAGGAGGATGTGTTAATGGAGTAATGGGAAAATGCTGTTGTTCCAAGGGTTAATATACTAAATAGAACTTCATCCAGAACCCTTAACCACTTGGCACTTTGTTTCTTAAGCTAATTTTGGAAAGGAATGAGAGGGGCAGAACTCTTTTCCTAGTCTTTTAATCCTGATTTTTTTTTCACGCTTTTCTTTTCTCCTCGAACCTGCCTTGACTAGCAGATATGCAATTAACAAATTCTTCTCATTCCAAAGTAGAAAATCAAGACTGAAACAAATTTGAACTTGCAAAGTTTCCTGACTATAAGAACTTAAGATCACACCTGGATGCTAATAGGAAAAACATGTACAGACATCTGGATGCCTACAGATTTCAGCTCTACTGACTATTCAGACCTTTAAATTAATGTGGCATAACAGCTTTTTGCAAAATGTGTGAATAAATGTAAATGACCAAAGCTAAATGTTGTCTGTTTAAAGATTAGGTAATTTGCTCCTTCATAAAGAAGTATAACCAAATGTCCTGTAAGAGCTGATTGGGAAACCCCAGACACGTATGGGAGATTTATCTTAAGTTGTTCTAAATGCTGAAGCATATGATTTGCACCATGGAGTATGAAAGCTGGAGCTTTCCAATTTGGAAGAAAAGGCTTTTCAGTCTTTTCATTCTTTCCATTTTAACAGTTTAGAAAGAATTTTCCCTGTACTATAACTGAGCTTCATATATGGTGCTCACCAGAGGCTAAATCTAAAAGAAAAACTTTATTGATGGTTCATTTCAGTTCACAGTACCTACAGTGTCAAAGTGTATTTGTAAAGACAGCTCAGTGCTATCTTAAGTAATTTTTCTTTTTGGAAATGTTTAAGACTGTGTGTTATGCAAATTTTTTTGTCTTCTGCTTGTTAGTAGCCTAAATACATTACACCTGAGAAGAGGATTTGTGAAGATTAATTTCCTCTTCCCTCTTCAGGTTTTCATGTAAAAATTACACAACTGATTTAAGATCAAGCAACATCTTACAAATTATTATACCTCTGATCTTGGTAACATCATAGATTATTAAAATGAAAAGAATGTTAAAGGAATCTTTACCATTTATACTGGGCTTTTATTTTTAAGCCCCTATGTTTTTGTTTTGCTTAGACCACTGTAATTGAATAAATTGCTTGATTAGTCAGCTTCTGTTTGTGGGGTCTCTTTTATTCTCTCTGGAAAGCTTGAGATCGTACTATTATGGTTTTCAGTATGTCTCTGTCCTTGGCAATATCAGTCAGCTGGACAGCCCTGAGCAATCTGGTCTAGTTGGACCTGCTTTGACGAGATGACATCTAGAAGTTCCTTCCAGCAGAAAATTTGATGTTTTACATTGTTTTAAAGCTAACTTTTCCAAAACAGGAAGAAAAAGAATTGCTAAAAGGAATGATGTGCAGGCAATAAAATTTGTGTTTTATAACATTATTTTTCAGGACTCCTTATATAAATGTGTGGAGGTAGCCAACTGGCATTTCTGTGAACTAAGAATGAAGACACTAACTTTCAAAAGTTTGTGTTTTTCTTTTATTAAATGTAATGTTAAGTAAAGGCTTGTTGTGTTTCTGAATGCCATTTTATTGTTGCTGTTACTCATAATGGCGATGTTTGATGCCAAGTTATAGTCTGGGCATGTCTAATTTCATTTCAAGCCTGACATAAGTCCAGATTTTGAGCTTTTTTAACTTGCTCCCTTTTTCTTTTGATTTAGGTTAAGAAACAAATACTGAATGAGGAAATATATTGTTCTCCAGAAGCAACAGTTTTACTGGCTTCTTATGCTGTTCAGGCCAAGGTTTGTGCATAGAAGACCCTCTTTTTTTATCAATCCTTTTTCTTTTTTAACCAACATACATGGTGGTATGTAAAACACAGCAGTGTTAAAATTTGCTATTAAAGTAGGTCATCCTGGGAGGTATGGTCGCAGCTAGAAAAAATAAGCATTTAGATGCCACTACAAGGATTTTGGTATTATATACTATGTTTCTGTGATTTAGGGGGTTTCTTTGGACCTAACATTTTAATGTAATTTTCCTCCCAGCTAGAATTACTTCCTATTGTTTTTAAAAATGTCCATGAATACAGCAGGTGCTGATACCAGAGCTCACAGTGGAAGGACATGATGGTTTTTCATATCTTTCAGAACATAGTTCACTTCATGGCACCAAGAGCCAAACTGATACGATGGCAGGACGTGAACACAAATCCTTAGCAGGGCTGCAGCAGCCCAGCCGATACACAGTAGGCTATATGAGTGGGTGAGCTTATGCTCCTGAACACAGCGCATGGTTCAGCTGAGGGTATGAAGTCATTCCTTCATATTTGCAGTTACTGGGAGCCACAGGCTAGGACTAGAGTCTAAGGTTATAGGCCACCTTAGTGGCTGTATTGGAGCCACATACATAGAAGAAAAGCTGGAAGTAACTTCCATGGACAGTTCAGATGAGGGGAGCCTGTTTATTATGTGACACCTTGTATACAGGGGAAACCAAAACAGTATCTGTCTCAAGTGATCACATCAAACTATGTAAGCAACAAGTTCTTCAGCATTCTGTATCTAACAAACTGAAGTATCTTTTCTTTTGTTGGGACAGTATGGTGACTACGACCCAAATTTTCATGAGCCAGGCTTTCTAGCCCATGATGAACTTTTACCCAAAAGGGTAAGTCTTTATTCTGTATAAAATCAAATCTTTGAATCTACTTGCAACACAGATATTGTTGTGGGATTAACCAGAGCATTAGAAAATGTTTTCATCTGCCTTGAACTTGGCAAAATGACCGAGTTGTGAATGGCATTGCTGCATTCATGTTGCTTGGGAGAGGCAGCACATGTATTTGTATCTTCAAAGGAAACCAAGCTCCTTCCTTTCTCTGTAGGTCCTCAGGCAGTATCAGCTGACAGCAGAGATGTGGGAAGAAAAGATCACGGCTTGGTATGCTGAGCATAGGGGTATCGCCAGGTATTGAAATAATTTCATTTTTTGGAAACCCCGTACATTTCAGTAACTGGTTATTTGCTGTCTTCAGTAAAATTTTTTTTTTTGTAGAGTGAGCAAAGAAATACTGGTTTCCAAGCTGTAATGTTAATAGGTTAATTTATAACTAAGAATAAAGACACCCACTCATCTAGGGTAAAAAGTGTCTTGGGTAGGGCTCCAAGTGCTTGTAAACTGGACTTGCTTTGAAGTCAACAGAAGCTGAGGGGTCTTGCAGAGGTTCATGACCTAACATATCTAAAACACGAATCCTGTCTCATCAGAGTTCACGTGTGCCAGAAGAGAAAAGTTCCTGCAGGAAGTTTGAGTTGTGTTGAATTTGCAGTTATCCCTGAGAGTTTAGACTTTTAATTTAAGGCCATTAGCTACCTGGAGTTACTGGTGTGTCTTCCCTGTGCAGCAGCTGCCTTTCTGTAGCCATATCACACCAGTCTCTCCCTAGAATAAAAAGAATTAATCTGATATATTTTATATCTTGTGAAAATCATGGTTCAAAAGGGTGTCAGTGCACTTAACAAGGAACCAAAACAGTAAATACATGCCATCACAAATCCAGAACGAAGTTTTGGTGCCAGTCCATGTGGACGTTCAGCCAATGCAAGACATTCAGCATGCCTGGAAATTCAGTGAAACAAGTAGGAGCTGTTGGTACCCAGAAGAAACTTTTCCTAATATTTCGGTTCAATTTCTCTTTGGCTGTTCTAGATGCTTTTTAGCACTATTTTTACTGAATGTTTTCCTCAAGAGTTATTGATGCCTCACCATGAAGGCAGAAGAATGGTGGGTGGAGAGATTCTCACCCTTCTTTAGCCTCTGCCCAAAAGCTCTGTTTAGAATTTGCTCAGGACTCATTTCTCAATGAACTCTTTCCTGAAGGAAATCCCCTCATGTCATGGAAAACAATGGTAGGGTATGTCTCCAAGGCATAATATGATAGAGTGGCAGAACTAACACAAGGATAAGATTGGACTTGAATTTTAATAAAGATTACACTATGCATGATTCAAAATAGGTACAGCTTTACTGTCTTTATTCTGTAGAGATGCTGATTTTATTACCCTTTTTCTATTGTTGAGATTAAGATGACAAAATTGAAGAAAGTACAAAGGACCAGATTGCCTGTCTTTAAGTGGGAAATGTGGTGTCAGCTAGGAGAGAAACATTGGAAAGAAATTTCCAGTATAATCATGGCTTTATTCTCTAGGGATGAAGCTGAGATGAACTACCTGAAAATTGCCCAAGACTTGGAAATGTATGGTGTCAATTATTTTCCAATTGCTGTAAGTGCTTTACTTTAGCAGTTTTCAATTGCTGTAGGTAATGGTACTGTCCTTTTAAAATCCTCCAGGGAGTTTGGAACTGGGACTCCTGACTGCTGCTTTTCTCTGATGATGGTGGGCTGTGTACTGAGTGTCCTGACTTGGTTTACTTGCCTGCTAAATAAGTAGGTGAATAAAACTTAAGATTAATGTTTTACCATCTGGCAAAGGTCTTGAGTAGCTCTGGGTACACAATAGTAAGAAGGAAAAATAGACTAAAAGTTTGAGCTTCTGTAGTCAACCTAGAGGACTGGATTTATTAGCCAGCAGTGACAACATTCATAATATTTTGTGGCAACATAAGTTTCCTAAAAATACAGATAAATATTAGAATGTGTGGTTCTTGTCTGTGATTGTTTAATGTCACCTTAAATGGCATTTACTGATATCTGTTGTTTTTTAGCAAAATAAAAACCATACAGATCTCCTACTTGGAGTTGATGCCAAAGGTATTCATATCTACAGCATTAATAACAGGTTCTCTCCAAATAAGTCGTTTGAGTGGAGTGCTATCAGAAACATTTCCTATAGTGAGAAAGAGGTATGATGGCTTTGATATATTATTCTTTTTATATGGGCATGGGTGTGGACTGGGATTCTTGGAACAGGCTGAAAGCTGTCTCTGTTTAAATAATTTGGGGGAGAAGGGGAAAATCCTAGGGAGCTTTGTTAAAAAAATAAAAACAACAGACCTGCCTTTCAGATGGGCTGCATAACCTCGGTTCCCCTAGGAGCCAGATGCTGCTCTGAGCTCTCCAAACTTGTGGAGCCCTCTATTCTGGTTACTTCCCTGCTGCTTGTCCTTTGCAATACAAGTGTGTTATCTCTGAAAAAGATATTACGAATGCCAACGTGACTAGCTGCTTTAGTTATCTCAGCGGGCATTAGATGATCTGTAAAGTCTTAATGCCATTTTCACATGCAGAAGCTGTTCTTGTAGATGATGTTTGAAGCACAGTGGCAATAGGAGACATGGAGGGAGGTATACATGGTTTTCTGCCTGAATTCTGCCAGTTTGTCAGTGCATGATTTCAGTCTTCTGCACAACCCAGCCACTGCAATTTCACTGTGAGTTCAGAGCCCATCTTTTACTTGTAGAAAGTACAGCGGGGAGTGGGTGAAATTTAGTCTCATTTCAAATCATGTGACTATGTGGAAGGCTATAATCAGAAAAACTACATTGGTACAGTAATACCTGGAATTTGTCAACCAAATGACAGCACAGCTTGTTCCATTTTCTCTGGGCCTTTTGAAAAACACTAAGGATGCAATTTGCTGTCCAGAGTGTGATGTGCATACATTAAATTGGGCAGGGCAGCCTATAGGAGTTATGCCTTCAAAAAGTTTTTGGTCCTTTCGTGACATTAAACTTCCCCTCTAGTCTGTGAATACACTACTTTAACTGCCTATTGTCGGGAAATTGGGCAGCCCTATATTAAAGCTCCACTATATTCAGTGACACATTCGCAGCCGTGCTCCTCATAGGGCAATACATTCAATCAGTTGTTATCTACGGGGTGAAACAAGCTGTAGGGCATTATGATCTTGGTGACTCAGATGGCCTGAAATTATACATTGCATTGCAAATGAATTATAGGAATAGAGTGCTAGCTAACCCATGAGTCACAGAAAACAGGATCTTAAAGAATGGAGCTGTATTTTGATGTGCACCCAAAGAGAGCACAACAGATGAAGTGAAACAGTGTGTACTGACCCAGCAGCATGAAAGCCCTTCATGTCCTCTGGAAGGACTGAAAATGGGAGAAAGCAGGAGCTCCAGGACTGTTATCTGATGGTTAGAAGAACAAGTCCTTCAGGCCCTTGATACATTTTGTGTGCACCTGCAATGCCTGGTATTCAGAGAGGTGTTTGACATCCCTCTGACTTTAATCCTCAGAAGCAGTCATTTTCTTAGTAATGTCTTCTGCTTTCCTGATAACCACTGCTTGTTCCAGTGTTCTTATACCATGCAATGCCCAGGCAGTATTGTTATGAAAACCACCATCCAGACTGGGGTGGGTCTGTGGGAGGCTTTATCTTAATAATATAGCCTGCTATGGGAGCAGATGCGGAATCTGTGTCACAGCAACCCTGGTTCTGATTCTTTTGAGCAAAACGTTTTTGCATCACTCTCCTCACATTTGTGGCCTAAATTACTGCTTCCCTGGAGACAAGTGGAGATGGGCTAAAGTTTGCATTAGTATTAATACTTTCAGCTTTGTTTTTCATACTTCTCACTGTGTTTCCTTTGTTTTTGTCTTTTGCCTGTATAGTTAACTATTAAACCTCTTGACAAAAAAGCAGAAGTCTTCAAGTTCTTTTCCTCTCAACTCAAAGTGAACAAACTGGTAAGTGTCCTGCTTTCCTTCTTTAAAACTGAGCCTGGTAATACTGACTGATACCTGAGTGAGAAATATTGTTTGTAAAACCTATGGAGAAGCCAGGGAGCATTAAGTTTCTGTATGTGTTTTCTTGAGGATTGTTCTATCTGGGAAGTCAGGGTGCATACGTTTGTCCTCTCTGGGAAGAAGAAATGATGAGTGGAAAGCAAGATGTAAAAGAAGGCACAAATCACAAAGGGAAATCCAGATGCTGGAAGAGGAGGATGTAGCGTATGGGAAGGTGCAAAGCCACTGCAGCATCTGCCTGGCTGGCTGCTGTGGGTTCTTAACCAGATACTTCCTCTCCTTTTCTGGGAGAAATGACAAGGAAGGGACCTAGTCAACTGGCTAATTGTATCGTCACTGATTGCTTCCTAACACAACCACAGGGGTTGAGTCATTTCTCAGTGAGCTTGTCGAGGGGCCGTCACAGGTAACCATGCCCTCAGATACATTTTGGGTACTCTTGGCCTGAACCTATTGCTTGTTCTTATTCAGGAAGATGGAACCAGAGGGGGAAGAAAGACAGAAGGAACCCCTCATTGTGTTATGAACTCTTCTAAAATATTATGTACCTGTGTATGAGCCTGCCCTGGGTGCGGATTTTATTGGAGGGGAAGCAGCTGCGAGCAGTTGTGCTGAACTCAGAATTGTCAATGTCTGTCCTGTGAGGTCAATGTGGGGTGCTCTGGCCCTTTGGCTGGGGCACAAGTACGTCAAAATTGCATTTGCTTTGCTTTTCTTATGCAGATTTTGCAGTTGTGCATTGGAAACCACGACCTATTTATGAGGAGAAGGAAAGTGGACTCAATAGAGATCCAGCAAATGAAAGCACAAGCCAAGGAAGAAAAAGCTAGAAAAAAGGTAGATTCTTTCTGCTCCTCTATTGTTGGAAACACCGATTATTATTCCAGATGGTGCCCTTGCTGCCCATTCAATGCATCAATATGTGTGTGGGAAGTGAGAAAGTGCAACAGGATTGAATGTGGGAACAGCTCTAGTGTGTATGCAGCATCTGAAGATGTAAGTGATGTTTGTGAAACTGAATAATGTGATAGCAGAGATTTGGGGTACATAACAGATCAAGAGTTTTCGCATCAGCCTGAAATAACCAGTGTTACCTGTTAGAGGAGTTCAGAGCTGCAAAGTGCAAGCAGCTTCAACATTGCATCTCTGGTAAATAGCAGTCCACCAGCTAGAGAGCAGTCCATTCTCTGTTAGATTCATTCACTGTGCTGCCTCAGGCCCAGATGAGATTCTGCTGCAAACCCACAAATGTGGTATTACTCATTCTGTTTCCAGATGGAGAATCAAAGGCTGGCCAGGGAGAAGCAGCTCCGAGAAGAAGCTGAGCGAGCCAAAGAAGAGCTGGAAAGGCGTCTCTTCCAGCTGGAAGATGAAGCCAGGCAGGCCAACGAGGCCCTGGTGAGTAGTAGCACATTAGTCTGAATATTCTTGTGCTTGATGGGCTTTCTTGGTTTGGAAGCTGTGTTTTTGTTTGTTTGGTTTGGGTTTTGTTTGCTTGTTTGTTTTTTCTTACGGTTTCTGTGAGATGCCAGGAATTATGGCTCAGACCAGGCTGGAGAGTTTCTGACCACTGGTGGAGAGGGTGTGCTGGAATACCTGGGAAAACTCTCATCTACCATAACCTCCATTTGCTGTGAGCCATTTGCTCCCTGTATTTGGTTCACAGAGCTTTCTTCAGGCAAAGAGGGAAGAAAGGAAGCAACCTTGGAGCTGAAACTGGGAGAAAGGGGCGTGGTGCACTGGCAACTGAAGGGGCCAGCTTCAATTTTTGGTTGATGTCTTTGTCCAGCTCTAAGCAAATCTGCCTCCTTGCTTTGTAGAGGTGAGAGGCAGTCAGGAAGTTAGGGAATTCTGGAACAGATGAGGAACACCTACAAATTATATTTTCTATACTTTTTATTTTAAGGAATAATGTTTTATCACTTGATCTTTTGGAGAAAGATGTCCCCTTCCTGACTGTCTGCAGGGGTGATTTTATAGATACTAGACCAGATAACTAAGGAAAATTGTTTCTTCTTAGCTTCGATCTCAGGAAGCAGCAGAGTTGCTGGCTGAGAAAGCTCAGATTGCAGAGGAAGAGGCAAAATTGCTGGCCCAGAACGCGGCAGAAGCTGAGCAAGAGCGACAGAGGCTGGAGATCACGGCTCTGAAAACCAAGGAGGAGAAACGCCTGATGGAGCAAAAGATGCGGGAGGCAGAGCTAATAGCAGTGAAGCTGGTGAAGGAGTCTGACCGGAGGTTAGATTTACTTGAGTGGGGTTGTGTGGTCCCTAGTGGGATACCTGGGTAGAAAGAGTGCTGCTTTTCTCAGAGCTAAGCCCATGAGGGAAGGATTGTTCCCAAAGCAATACTTCAGTGTGACTAAGATGCCTTGTGTCTTGTTCTACCTGGTACGAGGGGTTGTGATACAGGTCAAGATTACAGAGGATCAGATGCAAGGCTTCAGAGATGTTTAGTATTAAGGATCCATAATGCAGAAGTATTTTCAGTTTAGCATTATCAAAAGAGCACTGGCTACCTAGCTATCTAAATTTACCAGTCTGTATACCCTGTGAGTTATAAGGCTGTTTTCATTAGTACCAAGTGATGATCTCTTGTGTCCCTTTCAATTATTGGAGAAGTGTAAACCAGGTAAACTCATGTGGAATATAAACCATTCTAAGTGTTTGAATGTTCCATAACACTGTGCTGCCTGAAGATGCAGAACAGACCAGTGTCAACAGAGGATGTTTAACCTTGCTATTAAGGACCTCCTGCTTGTTTTAGGATACTGCCAAAAAGCTTGCCAAAATAAAAAGCAGATATGTTGCACCTCTCCCTACCTCAGGGAGGATCTCTGGTAGCCTGGAGAATATGTATCAGCAGGTCAGCTGAGCCCATGGAAATTAAGAGTAGGAAAAACATGTTAATTGAATCAGTTTGTACAGGTTTGTCTTTGAAAGCATGTGTCACACTGTGTCCAGTTCTCTATGTGACCATCCTACCACAAGTGTCTTTGGGTAAAGGAATCACTCGCAGTAATGGATCTTTTTCTGGAAGCTAGTGAGGTGCACAGTTCTGAAATCCATGTGTTGCTTTATACTGGAAATCATCAACCGTTCACATCAGAATATTTGTCTTACAGAGCCAAAGAAGCAGAGCATCTGAAACAAGATCTGCATGAAGCCAGAGAGGCTGAACGGAAAGCAAAGCAGAAACTCTTAGACATAACCAGGCTTAATTATCCTGTAAGTTTCTGCTCTGCTGGGCACCACTTCATCTTCAGAGACAGTCAGATGTTGATTGCATTTTTATAGCCCCCATCAAGCTGAGTAGTGGCATGTCTGCATCCAGCTGGGGGACAAACACCTATAGGAACAACTGGTACTTAAACACAGCATAGCTAGGGTGGAAGTTGTATTTGTTCAGGGCAGCAAGTCAGGATGTTAAGAAAGGCAAGATGAAAACAGGACTGGTGTTGGGACTTAGGGAGCAGAGATTGTCTTGCCTGCATTCATGCCTAATACTGACTCTGTGCCGCCTCATGTAATACTTTGTGGAGGTGGTTGTACTGAGCCAGCTGTGTTGTTCTGGCATGTGAATCGTCCATAAGTGTCTTTAGGCAAAGCAGATGAAGCTGTCTCTAGGAAGAAGGCAGAGCTAAGGCTGTGTACCCCAACTCCCTCTTCTGCTCCAGTCTTGCTGAGAATGGATTTCTATTATCTGCTGAAATAGATGGGAACATTGCAGCCAGGATACTATTTTGCCCTTGAGTCTGTGGGTTGTAGACTTCAACAGTTCATCTGGGGACACTCAGGTAGAAGAGAAGGGCTGCAGGAGCATTTGTCTCAGAATCCATGGGTAACTTATGAAGTGGCTCAGAGTGGAATTCTTGCAGAAGCTGAGCAGATAAACCCAAAATTAATCAATCAGATTTTACTGGTAGTGCTTGTGTTGCCTCTTTCAGCACACGGTCAAGTACCCGCAATACTTGCCAACTGATACCAGAGATGCCAACTTTGACAAAGGATCCATAAAGCTGGATTTGAAGGACATTGACCTCAAGAGACTATCCTTTGAGATAGAGAGAGAGAGGTACCAGTATTCTTATGGTGTAAATAAATATAAAAATGTTAATAATGGAAAGTACAGAAAGGAAAAAAAAAAAAAAATCTCTGGGAATCCCAGTCCATCACTCAGGACAGCCTCCTACTTGTACATATGGCTGGAGGCCTTTTACTGAGCTGGTGTGGATTACGTCTGTGTAAAACTAGCTATTTACACAGAGGAAGGGTGTTCTGGTTGCATCAAGCCATGACAAGTCCAGAACCCTTCTGCCTTGGAGAGCGTTGTGTCAGGGGCAAAGTATTTTGACGGAGTAACAGCACGTTAGAGGACAAAAGCCTCCCTCTAGTGTTGAAGTATGGCATTACTTTGATCTAATACATCGAGAGACTTTGCCTCTCTTGGCCTGGAGGGGAATGCTCAGTAAAACGTTACTAAATGTGTGAATGCTGAAGTGTGGAAGTGAACCGCCTTCTCACTGGGCCAGGGGAGTCAGGCTGATGTGTACCAGGCTTCATTTTGCCTATCAAAAACACAAAATGAAACAAAGAACTTCCTCTCTCCTCCTTCCACACACGCCTGTTGTTGAGCTATGTCATGACAATAAGTTCTTTGTCTCTGATGTGTGGACTACAGGCTAGATTACTTAGAAAAGAGCAGAAAATTCGAAGATCGACTGAAAGAACTGAAGTCTGAAATTCACGCTTTGAAACTAGAAGAAAAACAGTCCGGGCTTTACTCTCATTGGAATGAAGTACTGGGATCCTTGGATCGCTCCTTAGGAAATGTATGTACCCTAAATACCTGCCACATTTTTCAGCATGAATCATAAAAGAGAATAGTGTGGGTGTGCCAAAGGTAGTTGCTGTATGTTCAAGGCACATGCTCTAGTACCCTTGATGGTAAAATACTAAAAGTGTGAATGCAGACAAGGAAAATTTATGTCAAAACAAAATCTAAGAAGTTTTTCCTGGGCAGGATACCAGTACTGTAAGCAAAAAATAATAATGTTATTTTACAAATTATGAAATCAAGTAAGGGTTTAAGGTCTTGGAGCAAACAGTAGTTGGAACTTAACACATTCAAATGTGGTTCCTCATAGTTTGCATCACATTCTCATTCATGTGCTTTGTGGTTGCTAAAAGTCATAAAAGTCTTGGTGTATTTTTTAAAGCAGTGAGGAACTAAACCCAGATTTTTGTAGTAAGTTTCTTGTTATGTATATAAACACTCCAGCCTTGGTTCTAGCCAAACCAGTTCAAGAATAGGGCTCGCTTTGTCTTTCCAGGTTGTTCCACATGTAGGAAAAAATGGCTCTGAGTCAATGGTTTTAGAGGGAGAAGGGAGGCTTGGAAAAATCATGAGGGAAGATGGCCGTTATTTTCTGACTATGCATCTGATGTTCTTTTTGGCTTAATGAGTGTTGATATAGAGAGGGCATTAAAATTCTATGTGTTCTTTTCTCTTAAAGACTCCATCATGGATGAAAACCTTTGAAACTGGAGATTCATTGGATCTAAATCTTCAAAGACCTTTCCCTGCTTACTCGTTAAATACTACAAGCAGCTGGCCTTGTACCAACAAAATTCAACACACAGTGCCAGTGGAAAAGTCATCTTTTCAAGCAGATTCCTTGGTTGCCAACACTGTGGGCACGGGAACCAGAAAACAGATTATAAAGGTAATCAGATTTGTAAGTGAATTCCCAAATGTTGACTGAACATTTAGAGAGGCTTTAGGGACCGGTTTTGTCCGGCACTGTCACAGCCTCTCACATGATGAGTCAGTGCATGGCTGTTGCATGAGTTTGGAGCCTCTACATTGGCACACTATTCAGCACTGTTTATAACTTGAGGCCACCCATTTTTTCTCTCAGATGATCTAATCTGGAATGCAAAGCTGTAAGCCTTGGTAAATGAAACAGAGATGCCTGTATGCTGTAGGAGGATCTATGTTAAATTTTATTTGTATCATACAGGCTTGGAAATGAGAATGTGCTCCCAGGTATAGAGCACTTAAAACATATACTGTGCCTGTCTTCTGGTTTTAAGGGGCAGGGAGGAAGATATCAATAAATGCCTAGACTTCCAACAGTTCAGTTCTCTTCCAGTGTGTTCCCTGTCAGAGTCCTGAAGGGCTAATGAGCTCGGTCTTATGGAAAAACAACCTGCTTTTAAATTTTACTATAATGGAAAATCTAGTATGCATTCAAGAAGAACTGTAAGGGCATGCAGTCTTGAACAGTGGGAAGGAAATCAGCTTTCTCTAGGCAATGCTAAATGTGCAAGGCATTGGGAATAAAGAAAGCTTGATATATTTGCTGTTTTACATGAATAAAATTGGGGATTTTTTGGGTCAGTTCAAGGTTCTAGTATATAACAATCAAGACCTGAATTTTCAGGGTTGTGTGCTTAGAACTAGAAGAAACACGACTGAGTGTAACAACAGATGAGGAAGCAGCTCTTTCTAATGCAAGTAACAAGCAACTTCTAAAACAAACTTAATCCAAATAGCAGGGGTGAGGCAAATATGCTTAAGAAGGAAGGAAAAGCTATTGCAGGACATCTTGCAAAAGGCTGCAGAGTTGGAAGTAAATGAAGAACTGGACGAAAGGGAGTTACTTTGCTTGAAGTATGAGTTCAGGATGAAACTAATTTTTCCTATTTGATTTGCCTGTAGGTTCAGCAGCATGACTCGGATGTGATCTACATTTGAAGCATCTCATTTCCTTACCAGACTGGTAGAACCTGGTGACCATCTTTCTGGCTGATGCAAAATGCCCCTATAGGAGGACACTTGTGCAGCTCTGTCTGACGGGTATCAGCATAAGAGACATGGTACTATAGTCAGAGCGATGCCGTTCAGCTTCCAAGCAGCTAATGTAAGCTGGGAGCACTAAAACTGCCAGTGTAAAATGGCTGGTGTCTTTGGATACAATGGTAAGCATACAAACCCAGAGGAGTATTGTTTACTACTTATGCACTTTTGAAGAAACACTTTATACTTCTCTAAACCTTCTTCCTCCAGGTGTTTTTACACACTGACTTATCAGTGTGGTATTCCACTTTGTAGAAAGGACGCTAGGCAGCAAGTGTCCAGGAGATGTTTGGGATGAGAAAAAAAGTTGTATATGAGCTTGATGTTTACCTACACAATGGACTGATTATGGTTTTGGTTAGGTCCATGGGACATGACTCCCACAGAGCCGCTCAACATTTTATTGTTTGTCTGCCAAATATTTTCCTTTTCCTCCCCAAACACTTCGTGGTTCGCTTAATGGATTAGCATTTCTCTGTGAGAAATCTCAGCTTTTAACTCCTAGACGTAGAAGTGGACATGTTCAAATACCTCTCATTCCTGGGGGAATCCTTTGTCCAGAATGCAAAGCTTCTGTTCTCTCTATAGTTTCTGAATAGATCAAGCACTTTGTTTCTTTTGTGGTTCCAGCAAACTTTGCATACCTTGTTTCCCAGTTCTGTGTTACACAGCTTCCAAATTAGACAAAGACAAAAGATGCTATTGGTGTCTGCTAAAGTTGGACTTGTTTCTGATGGACAGGTGCATGCAGCAAAATGTCTGCCTCATTAGTAAAACCTGCTTGCATCTTCTAATTTTGTGTCTACGTTTGTGTATGTTTCACCATAAATCTTCAGTTTGAGGACTTCTGGGGAAGCAGCCAATATGTAGCTGAAGCTAAAGTAGTAGCACAGCTGAGCATGTGATGTGATATAAAAATGAAAGTTAATGTTAAATATCTTGTTCTAAAAGCTAAGATTAAGAAAAATATATTCAATAAAAGCTTCAATTTCCACTTGCTAGTAACTGCTTTGATCTGCATGTTCTGTCAATATTACAACATTATTAACAAGGCAGGTTCTAAGAACAAACATACAAATCTCTTCTGTGCACATCTGCAACAGACAGAGAGCATTCTGGGGGACAGCAGCTGTGGCCAGCTCTGTTTTCAGGCCTTTACCAGTCATGACACTTAGATGGCAAAGTGCACATAAGAGCAACCTGCAGTGCTGTCACATTCCTGAGAGCAGTTTCTGCCTCTGGTGTGCAGAGAGGAGAGGGTGTTTGTTCTCTTTACAGCTCTGAGATGCTTGCAAACTATTGGCTATCCCGGGCTGTTTCTGCTCTGTCTGGAAAAAGCCTCGTGGGTGAGATGGAGAAGCTGTCAGAGGTGTCAGACTGAAGAGGCAGATGCTGTCAAGGTCCCAAGGTTGGGTAGGTGGCAGTGGCCAGAAACTGGACAGTGATGAGATTGGAAATGCTCCTAGAGGAAAACAGTGCAAAAGAACTCTGAACATGGCATTCTCAGATTTGGGGTTGGGGAGGAGTGCTGGAATTTCCCTGGTTCTTCTTTTCCTGTTTCTTTTTTTCTTTTTTTTTTTTGTGTGTGTGTGTATGTCTTGCCACAGGTAACTTAGCTTGTACCCTCATTCTGCCACATGTGCTGGGGCTTCCTTTTGCTGTCATATCTGAGCTGTGTCATGGTATAGGGCATAGAGGAAGAGAACTGCTCCATGTGCATGATTGATTAATTTCTTTGGACTTGGTCCTGTATATATCACAGTGAAGAAAAGGAGAGGGTCACACAGCTGCCAGCTTAAAAATGAAGCCTATCTGCATGCACTGTTCTCAGCCCGCTGTCTTGCAGGTGTTCTTGCTGTGCATTGCCCATGTGCAGCACCATGTTCCTGCATACTTGTATGGGTGTTTGAAAGGTCAGCTGGGGCAAGAGGAGCTGGGATCTGCTGGAGAAATGCTTGCACAACCACAGGTGAAGTCAGATGCACTGGGCTGTTGCTGGGAAGGCACTGCAAAGAGAAGTGCCACCCGGGCATTAGTTTTCTTAAAACCTAAATATTTGCAGCAATTAAACTCTATATGTTGGTGTTTTTGATGCTCATACCTGCTTGCAGTATTGTCTACTTCTTCAAACAGGCAGCTACAGCTGTGTTGAGGATGTGAGATTGTCTTTCAGTTGAAGAAAGTGTGAGAAACATGAGCCCTGTCTTTTTCCTCATAGCAAGGAAAAGAACACAGACACCTTGTTCTAATCAGTAATTGCAAGATTTGTCACCCTGAAGAGAGAAGTATTTACCTGGTGATGTTGTCAACATCTTTGAAAGTTTGAAGCCCAACCTGACCTGACGGGGGTGCAGGGCTGCGGACCTGCAAGCAGCAGATGGTGCTGCGATGTTGCTCTGCCATGCAGCTTAGGTGGATTCTACAACAAATCAGAAAGATCTGGCTTGGAAACCTTGCCTTGCACATTGGGAATCTCTCCCAGTTTCTATGTTCCCACATTAGCCTGAACTCATAACATTGACATAATTTTTGACGGGGATTCAAAATGTGCAAGCACTATGCTCTGAGAAGTGATTGTTGTACAAACACTTAGTATTCCCATGGGTATGAACTAGCTCCCCATGCTATAAAAAAAATCCTTTAATGATTCCGCCACACCATAGTCATCATCAGCCTGAAAATGGCGTTCTGGGTGGATTTAATCCATGACTGCCAGAAGCATCTGGGAACCCCATTTCCGGTGCCATGTTATATATTTATGAATGCTATTTCAAAAAAGCATAGACCTGTTAAACTTGCTGAGAGCTCCCCGGCTCCCGCAGGGATGCTGCCTGGGAGGAGGGGGAAGGGGCCTTCGTGGGCCATTACCTGCAGCACAGCTCCTGCGGTGCTGGCCAGTGCCTATGCCCAGCAGGATGGGGGCACGCGGAGGTGAATGGTTGGAGTGCCGGTGGTCCCCATCACCCCAGCCCCAGCAAGGAGACGATGCCTTCGTCTCCTCCTCTGGGCAGGGATGGAGGTTCCTGGGGATGGACAGTTTTGCCACGGGCACTGGAGGATCAGGATGGTCCTCAACCATGCCGAGGTCCCCGTGGCCAGCCACCTCCTTCACTGCAGCCACCTGCAGTGCTGGAGCTGAAGTCACTGCATTGCAGAATGCCGCAGTCCCCCCCCCCAACCACTGTCCCCCATGCTGCCGGAGGAGCAGGCAGGACCCTCCTGTACGCCTCCCCAGCGCAAAAGGAAGCGTCAGGTCCCTGAGGAGGATGGTGAGCACAGAGAATCCCCCTGGGCACTGGCCAGAGGGGATTTTGGCCAGCAGTGCAGGCACAGCCCCCCGTGCCAAGGAGCCAGGTACGCGCGCCCACCACCGGAGCACTGCCACGACTGCCACCGGCAACGCAGGATCCGAGAGGGTGGTGACCTTCCGAGATCAGGTTGCTTCTAACATAAATAAAATGTCTGTTCGATTATTTGGTGGCGTTTCAGAATTATGTAGCCCGAGGGAATTTTGAAACCTACTATGACCCCCTAGTCTGACCAGCCTGGGTCCTAACAGCGGCCGGAGCCTGTACGGGAACCAGGTGGATGAAGGCGGCTCCGGCCTCCCTGAGGTCGCTGGATACCTGCCCGAAAGCATCTGTGTTTTCAATTTCTGCCCGTCTCTAAGGAAATGATTGACAGGCCTGCTCTACTCCAATGTCCTTCGACTGCCATGCCCGTTGCTGCTGCGCGGCGGGGGGGTGGACGGGCTCTGGGGGCTGCAGGAGGATTCTCCCCATGAGAGGAGGTGAATCCTGGGGACGGGCAGCCCCGTGGCACCAGCAGGGTCACCTCCACGGGTGCCCACCTCTGGGGTCTGGCTGGGGCTGAAGGACAGCGCTAAACCTCCAAGCAGCCCTCCTTCTGCAGCTGCCTCTGTTTGACCCCCTGATCCAGCCGGGAGAACACCAAAGCCCAGCGCCTCCCTCCCAGGAGCCCGGGCAGGAAAATGGCGTCGCGCTGAGGGGAGGTGGGCGGGTCCAGGAGCCTGGGCGGGAGCCGTCAAACGCCGCGGAAGCGATTTAAGTTCCTGGCTTTTTACAGGGACGTTGGTCAGCCGTATCAGTCAGTTTTCAAGGCGAATATTTGGCTTTTCCAAAGCGTAACTGAGGTTATTTAATGTCACTTTTGTCTCAGAATTGCTGAATAAATGGTAGCCACAGGTCTAGGAAATATCGGAATAGCTTTTGTGTGAGGTGAGGTAAATTTTCACAAATACCTATTGTCATGAACGCTATACTGACCAAAACAGGAAATGAAACCACCCCTGAGCAGCAGGTTCACACTTACTTTCACCAACTTGTCAGCAGTCCCTTTAGCTGTCCCTGCTGCCCCAAGGCTGCTCCTGGGGCTGGGACTTGTCTTTTAAAGGAGCAGCGCCTGTAGAAAGGGAGTTTTTACACATGCACAGCTACCTCACTACATGGCCCTGCACACTTCTGGGCTCCAACATGCAGCTCTTCGGCTGCAGCACTACCTTGTTGCATTTAGTAGGATGGAAGTCACTCAACTCCCCTTCCTTTATTATCACAGACGCGCACTGTTCTGCTATGGGACATTCAGGTGAACCTCTTTTGGTGTGCCCAGATCTGTTGGCAGAGGAAGGAACTGCTACTGTCTATGACAGAATATCTGACAGGTCCAGATAGAGACCTAAGAAGCCACAGAGTGACACTGATACCCCCCCAACCGCAAGGCTGCCATTGCTCACGCTCTGTTAGAGCTTTTAGGGGCAAGCAAAACCATGACAACTGCATATCTTTCCGAAAGCACAGGGTGGCTATGCCTCAGCCCAGCACATCTCCCTCTTCCCCCACCCAACACGCCCAAGGGATGGCATAATCCCATATGACCATTGCATGGCCCAGTCTTGCCCCTCACTTGGGGGGCTTGGCCCTGTGCAGGTTTTTGGAGGTGTGTTCTGCAGTCCTGACCATGATGGCAGAGATGCCAGCGTGTTGGAATATGCCAGAGCATTCATCATGGCTCCATCTTTGCTCCAGGTCAGCTCTTGTGGGAGGGTGACCCTCCTCTGTGCTCTTCTCCTTGTCCTACTCCGCAATCCTCCAAAGCTGCTCACTGCCTCCCTTTGCCCTCCTGCTCACTGCAATGCAACTCCTCAGGGAAAGGTGGTGGCAAAGATGCCAGCAGCTGGGATCCACCAGGCATTGCAGAGAAACCTGGGCAGAGATCAGGGCGTCATGGGGACAGAGAACCTGAATGCCAGATGTCCCACTGCAACCCCAGACCATGTCACGGAAGGGATGCAAGGGGGGACCATAGCGACCATGCTGGGTTTTGTTCTCATATGGAGAGTGGATCTGAACTGGCCATTTTAGGGAGCTGCATGGGACAAGGCAAGCCACAGGGGGGTTTCCCCACTCTGTGTGCACTGATCCCTACAAGTCAGAGATATTTTTCTCTCTGTCTGTTTAGTTCTCCTCCCAACCATACATGGGCATTCAAGGAGCACCGGGCCCTCTGCCATCTTCTGGAAATATTCCCAGAGCCTCCATCTGTTGTGGCTTATCCATCTGCTGAGAAGCCCTGCAGTGCTTCCTCCTGCCTGCCCAAGTTTCTCGGGTAGGGGCTCTCCTCCCTGCACACAGCCTGGGGCAGACAGGGCTCCTGCCAGCACCGGACACCCTCTTGGGTGCCATCTGCTGGGTCAGCACTCATTCCCCTTGGGTCTGAACCTCGCTGTGCTGGGTGCTGCAGGGACAGGTGACAGCTGTATTGTCACCTTGAACCCTGGGCTCTCCCTTGGGCTCCTTGCCCTGGGCAGGGATCCAGGGCTCTGCAAGCGCCCTGTCGTGCTGCCCATGCTGGTAAGAACCACGCTCTACATCTTCCTATTCATCAGAAATCCTCTTTTCTAGGAGGTGAGTGCAGGTGGTGGGGGAGAAGTCTGGTTTTGGTTTTTCCCCAGTCTGACTTAGCTTCTTCTTTTATTTTTTCTTAAG